CATAAATGGGAGAAAAATTTTGCAAATCATGTATGTGATAGGGTCTAGTGTCCAGAATATATATAGTACTCTCACAACTCATTAATAAAAAGACATTTAAGCCTATTTAAAAATAAGCAGCGTTAGAATAGATTTCTCCAAAGAAGATATAAAAATGGCTAATAAAACATGAAAAGATGCCTAACATTAGTCATTAGGGGAATGTAACTCAAAAACACAAGGAGATACCACTTCACACCTACTGGGATGGCTATAATCACAATTGCAAAGTGTTGGCGAGGAGAGATCAAAGCCCTCATATATTTCTGGTACAAATGTAAAATGGAACAGCCCTTTAGAAAACAGTTTTGAGTTTCTCATAAAGTTAAACAAGGAACTGCCATTATGAGCCAGTAAGTCCACTACTAGGTTTATACCCAAGAGAATTAGAAACACACTTCCACATAAAAACTTGCACATGATTATTCATAGCAGCATTATTCATGATAGCCAAAAGTAGAAACAACTCACATTTCCATCCACTGATGATCAAATAAAATGTATATGCACACAATGGAATATTATTATTCCATCACAAAATGATTAAAATACTGTTTCATATTACATAAGGGATGGAAATATGCTAAATGAAGAAGCCATGTACTAAAGGTGAGTGATTGCTAATAGACAGGAGTAGCTTTTTGAAGAGATGAATATTTTCTGGAATTAGATAATGGTTATGGTAGTTCAACCTTGTTAATATTCTAAAATTCATGGAACTGTGCACTTTAAAGATTGTATTTTGTAGTATGCAGTGTATATCTTAATGAAAAATCAGATTATTCTTGTGTTAAAAACTGGAGTGCATTTGGTATCTTATGTAGTTTAATATGGAGTAACTCATACCTAATAGGATCCTAGGGCTACCTTAAACTATAATTGAAAATGTGTAGCTGAATGATTTAGACTTTGATTTAAAGTTGAAATCTTCCAGAATTTATATATATTATCAGCATATCTAAGCAAATTTAGCCATCAACTTATTTTATAAGTTTAATGTATCAAAGTAAAAACTCAGACTAAAAAGTCATATAATAGAAGTATTTAGGAAGGAAAACAAATACAGAAAACTTAAAATTTAGCCTCAAATGTTTTCATTTGTCAGTGGACAACTATTAATCAGAGTCTACTTAACAATAATAGTTAGCTAAACTCATAAGTTATATAGTAAGATATATAAGCTGAGTTTTGAATTTGTAACTTTAATAAATTGAATATTAGTTTTAAAGAGTAGCTAGTTAAAAAAAATGTTAGTTTTAAAAAGTAATTCACTTAAAAATAATGCCGGAAATATCTCCCCTCTCATCCCTGCCCCTTTCCTTTGCTGAAGGGATTGTACCAGATGCTTGTGTGTCCTTACCGAGATCGTTAATACATGAGAATGTTCTTTTACCTGACTCCCCTTTTATATATAAATGGAAGCATACATACATACCTTTCTTTACCTTTTTTGCTTAATAATATATATTGATCAAAAAAAATCTTACCATTCTTTTGAAGAAAATATTTACAGAGGGCTTCCTGGGTTTACCCTCTACTTTTCACATCTTCAAAGTGACCTCTATCAACAGCCAACCCTGCATGGTGGTTGGGCTGGTCCTTCTGTCAAGTGGCCGAAAGATGCCACTGCAGTGATGGTTCTTGGTGTTCCAGAATGTTCACCTGGATCCTTGCACCTCAGATGTGGAGACAATAGATGTTAATGGCTGAACTCTATCTCTGTTTCCAAAATTTGAATGTTGAACTCCAAATCCCCAGTACCTCAGAATATGGCAAATAGTAATTCTGGCCTTTAAAGGAGTGATTAAGTTAAAATGAAGCCATCAGAGTGGTCCTAATCCAGTCTGACTGGTGTCCTTGTAAGAGGAGGAAATGTGGACACACGAAGGGACTCCAGGAATGTGGGCACCCAAAGGAAAGACTATGTGAGGACACAGTGAGAAGGTGGCCTCAGAAGCCAAACCTGCAACATCTTGAGGTTGGACATCCAGCCTCCAAAACTGTGAGAAAATAATTTCTGTTGTTTAAGCTGCCTGGTCTGTGGTGTTTTGTTATAGCAGCGCTAGTGAACTAACACAGTAAGTCTCTGATCTCATGGGTTCCTTCAGTGGACTCCAGGAATTTGTATTATCCAAACTGCTTTCTCCCAGATGGATAACTCTAAAAGCAGCTTTAGCCCCCTCAGTGCACTCTTGCTGGACACAGACCGACCTGCAGGTCTAGCTTCAGCCTCCCCGCCTCCTCCAGAGCCATTTCCCCACCTTGGATATGTGCATTTTGGTGGAGCAAGCTTGGGGCCCCAGGGCTTCCCCAGGCAAAGGAACGGATTTATGATTCTGGCATTTCTGGCATACTGAAAGGTGCATGGGGTTGGGGTGAGGGTGGTTATTTCTCTCCTCACTCTAGTTGACCTCTTAAGAGAAATGAGCCAGAAGCTTTCCCTGCTCCTTGGAACACCCTTCTCCCAACTTTGGTGGCATCCCTCCATCCCCGTCCTCTCTGATGCATTTTTCGGGCTGTGCTGGCTGCTCCTCTCTCACTTAACTGCTAAGTGTTCTAGTGCTGCAGTGTCTCCCAGGCCATGGGCTCTCATTACTTTCCTCATCTACACTCTCCAACCCGCTCAGTTCCAGGGCCTAAGCTCCCACTCTAAGGTAATGACTGACCCTGGAGGGGTAGGGAGATATTCAGTACACAAATCCTTAAAGGTGCCAAGAAATCACCTTCCCTCTCCAACTCAGTCTTCACTCATTTTGCAAAAGAAAGACACACCTTGCAAGACCTGACTCTGCCCTGGGTGCTGTAAACACCCTCAGGGCACCAAAAAGAGGCACAGCCGAAAAAGTTGATTTGCTGGGATGCTGAAAAAGGAAAATAAATCCTTTACAAGTTAGAGGGTTTCTAATACTTGGCTTGCAACAAAAGTGAAGGAGGACCCAATAGGTTTGTCAGCTGGATATTTAATTTGACATAATTTTTGATGAAAGATATTGTTTTGTTTTTGCATATAGCAAGCAGTCAAGGAACTGAGTGCTGTAACAAAATTATTTTTTTCCCCGTTAATTTTTAGAGTTTAGTAGTGCAGAAAACTTTTTAATGCAGCTTGAATTCCACAATATTTCAATTCATGAACTTAAAAATGAAATCGACCTGGGCTATTAATATCTTCCTACCTTTATTGGTATGCTCAGAATACAGGTGGGACTCAGGAGTTAGCATTAGTAAATTTAGCCATAAGAATTACCAGTTAACAGGTGGAGGATTTGAGGATTAGGATTGCTACTCAGATAGTTGGTTTTTAATATGATTTCCATCACAGAGCATAGAAGTCCTATCTGTAATCATTAAAGTGACTTCACATTCTGAATGTGAAGTATTTTTAAATTTGACATTTTCAAAAAAGATTAAATGTAGTCTTGTATTTCAAAAACTATGAATTAAGCTTTTACAGTGACAGTTGTATCTCTCTTTTTTGGGGGAACAATTTACTGAGATATAATTCATGGCACATAATTCACCCATGTAAAGCATACAGTTCAATGACTTTAGGTATGTTCATGGGTTGGTGCACCTATCACCACCATCAATTCTAGAACATTCTCATTACACAAAGAGAAACCCTGCATCATTAGTCATCAGTCCCCAAATACCTCTATTCCTACGGGCAACTTGGGCAACTACTAATCTACTATCTGTCTCTGTGGATTTGCCTATCCTGGACATTTCATATGAATGGAATTGTAGACATTTGGTCATATGTGACTGGATTTTCACTTAGCGTAACATTTCAAGATTCGTTCATGTGGTAGCATGTGTCAGTACTTCATCCCTTTTTACTACTGAATAATATTCCATTGAATGGATATTCTATATTTATCAATTCATTCACTGATAGACATTCAGATTGTTTCACTTTTGAATCAATTTTTAAACGTTAATTAATAATTGGCTCCAGATAAAGGAAAATGGCCTTATGTTGTGGTAAATATAAGGTTAATGGTTTAGGAAAGAATGGTTATCAGACTCTCTCTTTTAAACAATGGTGGAGGCAAAATTTATGTATTAGGGAGATAACTGGTAAAAGCAGCTCAGGGAAATGAGAAGCCAAGAGAAACTGTCAGCACAACATGAACTTAAAAAAAAAAAAACCCAAACACAACTGGAACTTCATTAATTTCCTGAATTACTTGAAGCAGCGTCACCGAACTATGGAGTTGGACCTTTGTCATCCTGGGGCTGCTGAGTAGGGCAACCCCCTTGCTGTGTTTGGAGGCATCCTCCCATCATGTGAGCAGCAGTTTCACTCTTTCACAGCCCAAAGGCCATATTCTTGTTCTCCAGGACTCTGGCTGTGAAAGCAGGGTAGGTGACCTAAGCTTGGTCAGTCAGATAATCCTGCCTGTGATTTTTAAGCCTGGGATCAATGACCCAGAGCCAGGGGCAGGCAGAGTGCATTTCAGTCATGGGGTAGCTGCTCCAGTGCCCACTGGAAGTGGGGCCAGCAGAGCCTGACTTGGCCATGGCAGCAGTGTCCTTGCCAGTCTCTTCCTGGGGCACAGTTCTGGCTGTGGTTCTGGCTGCTTAGCATGGGAGACAACAGCCACAGAGACGGGAGTGAAAAAAAGTAATGAAGAGGGACTAGCTGTACCAGTTATTCAACTTTATAATTATTAAATACATTGTACTTGAGTTAGAAAGTTTGTATAGTACTTGAAAATTGTAAAAAACTGGAGGAGCATGGAGAGACCATAAATCTCTTAGAAATGAAAACATTCCTATGTAGAACATTTGGTTTACTTTGGAACTTGCATTTGAATCCCTTCTCTTCGTAATCAGCAGGGCTTATGAACTGTTGGATTCCCACTCCCACCCACTGCCCATTATCTTTCTAGCTGAACACAATGTGTGACCAAGGGACTGGTCTGTTTTATTCCTTACACAAATAGAAACAGAGACACCTATTTAAAAAAATCCGTATTTATTGCATGAAGCAAATATTAACACTTTTTACCCGTTTCGCAGTATGACCTTTTCATGACTTAAATGACCTTTTTCTGAGTATCATCATAAACTAATGGCTGTCTACATACTCAACATGTCCAAATACTTATCTCATCAAACTAGACAGTAGGATGCTCTTAAAATTGATTCCTTAGTTCTTTCAGTATCAATCCTGCTATTTCCAAGCATTTTTTTTTTTGTTCCCAGCAACCAGATATTTCAGATATATTCTGATTCTCCCTGTCCCAAGATATGGACTCAGCTACTTCAAATAGAGCCAAGGTTCTTTTTAGTGGAGATCAGTATCAAAGGGCTTAAAAATTATATTTCTGAAGTTGCAAGTTTACACTCCTTTTTCAAATTTACATCCTGGTACTAGACTCTAATTTAATTACAGCATGTGATTTTATCAACTAATATTTTCCTTTGTATCTTTTAACTTTCTATAAACTTCACAGGGAAGTGTTTGGCCTGTTTTAATAGGTCCTTAATAATGTTAAATTTGGTGCTATCTATGGGTAGCTGGCAGGGTGTAGGAGTCATACAGCAGTTAAGTATTAAATGAATCCTATTTTTACATTAAAGGGACGTATGTGAAATGACACACCTGCATCTTGCTTTGGATGGCAGTTGTTGACTGCAGTCAATGTGAGCAAGGGTAGTCACTGGCCAGCTGCCCAGAAGCAGTGGTTAAGGTCTACAGAAGGTCTCTGTTCTCTTAACCCTCTACTCTTTCCTGTCCTAAGGCTAGAGTTTACTATCTCCTATATATAACTACTCTGAGTCCTTTGCTATTAGGTTTTGAGTTTAAACTCCAAGGGAAGATTTGAACAGGGCCTCCAAGTACCCTCCCAGTAATGTACACAACAGCTGCGCAGGCAGAGCTTAGGCAACACTATCTTGAAGGCTGTTCAGCAGTGTAAGGATGTTTGGCTGGCTTTGGACCAAGTGGCCATTCCTTGTTCATTCAGCTTTGGTAGAAACGTGTACCAAGCTTGATGCCCTATGGGCAGAGTCATGCACATGTGCCCACCATGTCTACCTAACCTCCCGGTTCCAGAATTGCACATCCAGAATGGAAAAGACTGGCTAGAGTGTGAAATACATACAGTGCCATCACACTCTTTACTAGTCTGGATGGACTGCTCTCCATTTTGTTTGGCAGTGCCCTCACTCCTCCCAAACAGCACCTACCAGACTTCCACTAACCATATGACAGGCATTTGTCTACTTTAATAGATGGGGAAACAGCACAGAGGATGAGTAATATGCCCGAAGTCCTAAGTTTGAATCTAGAAGCCAGCAAAACTTTCCCTTTAACTCTCTAGTCATTTATAAAAGTATGGTGTTTATAATCCATGGAGTACCTGTGAAGCAGAAATCTGGGTATTATAGTAACTGTCAGTAATTAGAGGGTTGTTTAATGATATCACAAAGCACAAAGTACACTATCCCCCAGAAATGGGAGGTACCCAGAAATTTTATGACATTAAATTATGATCAGGATAATTAGAGAAGTCTTAATTCAAACTGGCACAGATATACAATTTGCAGAAAAGATATTAATTCTTTAAACTTGATTAGATTAGAGAAGATATAACTAAAAAGAAAAATGGAGGTTGATATTGGTCAGAAAAAGAGGATAAGACAGACTAAGAGTTTTGTTAACTTGTTTGGCTGAAAGTTAAAGGAATTCTGAATTACTAGCCTGATTATGAACAGGAAGGTCCTGAACTGGTAAAACCTGAACGACTACTGAGGATGATACATGTATGTCTTTGATATGCTGAACTAGTCTTGTTTTTAACAAATCTGATCTTTAAAAAAATGGCCAAAGAGGTAAGGGTGAGGTCTTCTTTTTTAGCAGTTTTTCTTTTGGGTTGAGGCGCCATGCAACCAGACTTCTTTAAAAAAATGGCTCCCTTCCTGATTTAGGAGACTTCAGACTTCATTCCTCTCTGACCCAGCAGATCTTGCCATTTTCTCCCAGCTGTACAGTTCCACTGGCCACCAGCTGGAGGGCTGCAGGAAATATCTTATGTTCTGCTAATTTTACTCTTTCAGACAGAGTTGAAACCGTGTCATCCCTCTTCACAGGAACAGCTTCTTGTAAAATAATTTGTCCAGCATCCACATCTTCCTGGAAAAGGAAGAAAACATTTGAACATTACCTTCTGACCAGTACTGTTTACATCTAAGCACTCATGTTTTGGCAGAAAGAGACATACTCACAGATACAAAGTGCACAGTGCACCCAGTGACTGTGACACCAGCAGCCAGGGCCTGTTCATGGGCTTTTGAACCCTTAAAAGATGGAAGCAAGGATGGGTGGATGTTGAGCATTTTCCCTAGAAATAACAGAATGATAGTGGTCAGAATTTAAAAATCCTATGAATTCAGTCAAAGGAATGTATGTTTTCCTGTCTAGAATCAACAGTCAACAGGGGTAGGATTTCTCGGATGGGTATTGCTTTGTCAAAAAATGGAAATGAGGTAAAGGGAAATAAAGCTTCTCATCCAAGGAGGTCCTGGGGGCAGCAAGTTCTGTCTGGCCCAGCTGAAGACAGAGGGACTCTGAACAGGGGCCTGCAGTGACTGGAAACTGGATGGGAGGTGATCTAACCCAGATCATAGGGCTCCAGAAGAAAATTCAGTTTGTTGCTGGCACATATTATTAAAAAGGAACAGAAGGTTCTTGTGTAGTGTCTGTGTACTTGACTTCTAACCACTAAGTGGCATATCTAACAGCCAAATGCTAGTTTAGTTCTGTGGGACTTATGTCAGCAAAGGCATTGGCCTGTTTTATATTATGCCACAAGTATTCTAACTATACTCATTTAAGAAAACAAACTCCTTGGAGAAAACATGCACTTACTGCCCAAATATGTGTACATAAGAACAACAGGATGCAGTCAAAACTTTTGTGGGGAAAGGGCCATACAAAATATTATGTTTTCTAGCAATACCACCTTCCTTGTCATTTTCTGGCAATGGTCTACACTTCCTAAGGAGACAATGAACTCTTCCATTTTGGGCTACAAGGAATCACTTTCTCTTGTTTCTAAGGAAGTAGTTTCCTTTGAATATATCTGCTCAGAACATGAGATATTGTCTTTGTAGTAACATGAAACAAACTTAGGCTCTATTAGAAAAAGTGATTAATTATAGCAGGCCAAAGAAAACTGAGAGAGAAGGATAATAAAATCATGATTGTGCCACTTTTTGGGCTAAGGCAAAGGAAATTAAATTGCAACCTGTGTTACAATAAAACGTCACAGTAAATATTTCATGAGTGGGATTGTTTGGTAAGTTAACCACCCTGTTGTCCATTTTCAGTCAATTTCTCAATGTGGTGTCAAACAATTTTTGCTTACCATTCCATTTTCTCACAAAGGGGCCAGATAAAATTCTCATGAATCCTGCAAGACAGACTATGTCTGTGGAGAACTCTTCTAGGACTTGGTCAATGGCAGTGTCAAATTCTATACGACTTTTATATAACTTATGATTAATTACCTGTAAGAGAAAAATAAAGTGCAATTTTTCTCAACAAATTACCAAAATGATTAAAAACTCAACCTTTACCTAGACCATATTTCACTTCCTTCTGAAGACACACCAGGTATAAAGAATTAAGGAATGGACAGGGTAAAGTAGAAGGCAAGCAAGCCCAGGACCCACCCCAAATCCAGAAATCCAGAGAACAAGTGCCCTGCAGACCCAGGTTCTGGGGGGCCGATTATGAGCTGATGTGTAGCCTGCAGGAAAGCTCCTTTCCAAAGTTACTTACTCTGGTGGGAATCCCGGCTCTTTCTGCTCTACCTAAGCCAGCCACAGCAGCATTGTTAGAGACAACTACAACAATGTGTGCAGAGCTACTTGGTTCCCTAGTACTGTCAATGAGAGCTTGGAGGTTAGATCCTGAAAAAGAGAAAAACACAAGTAAGCTCACATTTCTTAAAAAGAGCTACACGACACTTTGAATAGGGACTAGTCAAGATTGCTGAATAAATAACTTAGAAAAGACTGCCAAAAATACATGAGGCTCTTAAATTCCCTTCTTCTTGGGAGCAGCTCTGCTTACTGAAGGAGATGCTGCCAAACCATCAATCTGCTTAACAAAGCCAGTGAGAACTTCAAATTTACTTGGATGACTTTTGGTTTTTTAACACCCCTTAAAGTAACCTCATTGATAGTAGGGGATTTAAAAATATAGAGAATCTAAGCTGAAAGCTTAAAGAGGGCAGCATGAGAGGTGAGATAGAAACCTCCTCCCAAAACCACATATAACGTGAAAATATAGCAAATACAACTAATTCTGAAAGAGCAACAGAAAAGAAGGCCGTGACAAGACTGCCTACATATGGGGAAAAGAGCAGACCTCACAGAAAAGGGTAAAGTACTAAAGCCATGATCCGGTGGGATCCAAGCTCTTCCACCATCACAGCTCACTGGTGGGAGGAACTGACGTGGAGTGGGAGGAGGAGAAGGTCTAGGACTGCTGAACACCAAGCGCTGGAGGTCTGCTCTGGGGGCACCAACCTACATTATATGGTGCTCTAGAGATTAGTGGGATTGGAAAGCTAAGACAGGCGGAATACTCGGAGAGACTGAGAATTCAGCTGCTTGTGGAGAATAGGTACCCACAACCAGCTGCTCTGGGACAAAAGAAAGGCAGGCACTCTGAGAGACTTCCCAACGGTGAGAGGGCTGCTAAAGGGGCAAGGAGTACACAGAGCTTGCTGCTCAAGAGAAAGGACAGGTGGACAAAATTGACTTGGTGAACTCAGCCCAGCCAATTGGGAATTCATGGGAGCTTCAGGTGCTCCACTCCCTGGCTGCAATGCAGCTCCAAGTCTCCTCACCATGATACACAGCCTGCCGCTCCTTCCTTCCGGCCAGCATTGGCTTACAAGCCTGATGCCCCTGTGATTGCGCCAGGCCAGCCAGTGGGCAGCCCAGGCCATGGCAGCTACAAGGGCATAATGCAGGGGCTCATTCCTGTGTGCTTGGCCCACTGGCCCTGGCAGCAGAGGGAGGCATTGCAGCTGGGAAGCAGGAAAGAGCTTTTTCTTCAGGGCGGGCACCAATGCGGTTGCCTGTGACCCCTGCTGTTGCTCCCGGCCAACCAGGGCAATGGTGCCTGTGGTATCTAAAGGATCGTATCCAAAGGCTGCTCCCTGTGTGCTTGGCTCTCTGGCCCTGACAGTGGAGGTAAGCACTACAACTGGGAAGCAGGAAAGAGTACTTTCCTCCTGGCAGGCACAAGAGCTGCTTGCCTGTGACCCCCGCCACTGCTCCAGGGGCTGAACAGTTCTAGAGAGTAGAGCTTCTGGACGCTAGAGGACGCCACCTACACCAAGTTATTTTGATAAATATGAAATGTCAAAAGAACCTAGTACAAACCCAGATCCCACAAACACCAGAAAGAGGACCAAGTGAAACTGAACTCAACAATCCTCCTGAAAAAGATTTCAAAATAGAAATCATAAACATGCTCACAGAGCTACAGAAAAATATTCAAGACTTCAGGGAGGAACTCAAGAAAGAGACAGAAACTGAAAATACAGTATTCAAAGTCAAACATACAATGGAGGGATTTAAAAGCAGATTAGATAAAGTAGAGGAGTTGGTAAATTAAATAGAAATTAGAGAACATGAATACAAAGAAGCTGAGGCAGAGAGGAAAAAGGATCTCTAGAAATGAAAGAAAACTGTGTGACCAATCCAAATGGAACAATATTTGCATTATAGGGGTACCAGAAGAAGAAGAGAGAGGAAAGGGGATAGAAAGTGTCTTTGAGGAAAAAATTGTTGAAAACTTCCCCAATCAGGGGAAGGAAATAGTCTCTCAGGCCACGGAAGTGCACAGATCTCTCCCAATACAATGGACCCAAGGAAGACAACAAGAAGACATATAATAACTAAAATGGCAAAGATCAAGGAAAAAGACAAAGTATTAAAAGCAGCCAGAGAGAGAATAAAGATTATATACAAAGGGAAACCCATCAGGTTATCATCAGAATTCTAATCAGAAATCTTACAGGCCAGAAGGGAGTGGCATGATATATTTAATGCAATGAAACAGAAGGGCCACGAATCAAGAATACTCTATTCAGCAAGATTATCAATTACATTTTAAGGAGGGATTAAACAATTTCCAGATAAGCTAAAGTTGAGAGAATTCACCTCCCACAAACCATCTTTACAGTGTATTTTGGAGGGACTGCTCTAGATGGAAGTATTCCTGAGGCTAAGTAGCTTACACCAGAGAAAATAAAACCACAGTAAAGGTAGTAGAGCAATTAAATACTATGCAAATGAAAAATTAAATCAACTACCCCAGAGTCAGTCAAGGGATACACAAAGAGCACAGAACATGATACATAATATATAAAGAATGGAGGAAGAAGGAGAAAAAAAAAAAAAGAACCTTTAGACTGTGTTTGTAAGAGCATACTAAGTGAGTTAAGATAGTAAAGAAGCTACCCTTGAACCTTTGGTAACCACGATCTAAAGCCTGCAATGGCAGTAAGTACATTTCTATTGATAATCACTCTAAATATAAATGGTCTGAATGCACCAACAGACTAAAAGTGAAGGGATGGAAAAAGATATTTCATGCAACTAATAGGGAGAAAAAAGCTGGAGCTGCAGTACTTGAATCAGACAAAATAGACTTCAAAACAAAGAAAGTAACAGGAGACAAAGAGGGATATTACATAATGGTAAAGTGCTCAATCAAACAAGAGGATATAACCATTATAAATAACTATGTGCCCAACATAGGAGCACCAAAATATGTGAAACAAATACTAACAGAATTAAAGGGGGAAACAGAATGCAATGCATTTATTTTAGGAGACTTCAACCCACTACTCACTCCAAAGGACAGACAATAAGTAAGGAGACAAAGCCACTGAACAAACCATTAGAACGACAGGATACTCCACCCAAAAGCAGAAGGATACACATTCTTCTCAAGTGCACATGGAACATTTTCAAGAATAGATCATATACTAGGCCACAAAAAGAGCCTCAGTAAATTCAGGATTGAAATTGTACCAACTGGCTTCTCAGACTACAAAGGTATGATATTAGAAATTGTGTAAAGAAAACAAAAAGGCTACAAACACATGGAGGCTTAACAACATGCTCCTAAATAATCAATGGATCAATGACCAAATAAAAACAGAGATCAAGCAATATATGGAGACAAATAAAAACAATAACTCAACTACCCAAAATCTGTGGGATGCAGTGAAGGCCGTGCTAAGAGGGAAGTATATTGCAATACAGGCTTACCTCAGGAAAGAAGAACAATTCCATATAAACAGTCCAAACTCATAATTAATAAAACTATAAAAAGAAGAACAAATGAGGCCCAAAATCAGTAGGAGAAAAGGACATAATAAAGATCAGAGCATAAATAAATAAACTCAAGAAGAATAATACAGTAGAAAGAATCAACAAAAGCAGGAGATGGTTCTTCGACAAAATTAACAAAATGGATAAATCCCTATCCAGACTTATGAAGAAAGTGTACAAAATGAGGTAGAGGGCAAGAACCTCAGCATCATAAAGGCCATATATAACAAACTCACAAAATTAACAAAATGGATAAATCCCTATCCAGACTTATGAAGAAAAAAAGAGAGTGTACACACATAAACAGAATCAGAAATGAGAAAGGAAAAAATCACTTCAGACACCACAGAAATACAAAGAATTATTAGAGAATACTATGAAAACCTATATGCTAACGAACTGGATAACCTAGAAGAAATGGACAACTTTCTAGAAAAATAAAACCTTCCAAGGCTGACCCAGGAAGAAGCAGAAGATCTGAACAGACCAATAACCATCAACAAAATTGAACTGGTAATCAATAAACTACTCAAGAACAAAACGCCTAGACCAGATGGCGTCACCACTGATTTTTATCAAACATTTAGTGAAGACCTAATACCCATCCTCCTTAAAGTTTTCCAAAAAGTAGAAGAGGAAGTAATACGCTGAAACTCATTCTATGAGGCCAGCATCATGCTAATACCAAAACCGGACAAAGATACCACAAAAAAGAAAATTACAGACCAATATCCCTGATGAACATAGATTCAAAAGTATTCAACAAAATATTAGCAAATCGGATTCAAAAATACATCAAAAAGATCATCCATCATGATCAAGTAGGATTCATGCCAGGGATGTAAGGATGGTACAATATTATAAAATCCATCAACATCATCCATCACATCAACAAAAAAGACAAAAAACACATGGCCATCTCCATAGATGCTGGAAAAGCTTTTGACAAAATTCAACATCCATTCATGATAAAAACTCTCAACAAAATGGGGCAGAGGGCAAGAACCTCAACATCATAAAGGCCATATATGACAAACCCACAGTCAACATCATACTTGACAGTGAAAAGCTGAAAGCTTTTCCTTTAAGATCAGGAAAAAGACAAGGATGCCCACTCTCCCCACTTTTATCCACTGGAGGTCTTAGCCATGGCAATCAGACAACACAAAGAAATAAAGGCATCTAGATTGGTAAGGAAGAAGTTAAACTGTCACTGTTTGCAGATGACATGATATTGTATATAAAAAACCCTAAAGAATCCATCCCCAAACTACTAGAACTAATAACTGAATTCAGCAAAGTTGCAGGATACAAAATTAATACACAGAAATCTGTTGCATTCCTGTATACTAATTATGAACTAGCAGAAAGAGAAATCAGGAAAACAATTCCATTCACAATCACATCAAAAAGAATAAAATATTTAGGAATAAACCTAACCAAGGAGATGAAAGACCTATACCCTGAAAACTATAAGACCCTCATGAGAGAAATTAAAGAAGATACCAATGAATGGAAACACGTCCTGTGCTCATGGATAGGAAGAATTAATAGTGTCAAAATGACCATCCTGCCTAAGGCAATCTACAGATTCAATGCAATCCATTGGAATTCTTATGAGGGAATTACACCCCCCAACTTCATGCTCTACTACAAAGCCACAGTAATCAAGAAAGATAATTTGGTACTGGCACAAGAACAGACCAATAGATCAATGGAACAGAATAGCGAGCCCAGATATAAACCCAAGCATATATGGTTAGTTAATATATATTTATGCTTAATATATGATAAAGGTGCCATGGATATACAATTGAGAAAATGACAGCCTGTTTGACAACTGGTGTTGGCAAAACTGGACAGCTACATGTAAGAGAATGAAACTGGATCATTGTCTAACTCCATTCACAAAAGTAAACTTGAAATGAATCAAAGACCTGAATGTAAGTCATGAAACCATAAAACTCTTAGAACAAAACATAGGCAAAAATCTCTTAAATATAAACATCAGCAACTTTTTCCTGAACACATCTCCTTGGGTAAGGGAAACAAAAGCAAAAATGAACAAATGGGACTACCTCAAGCTAAAAAGCTTCTGTACAGTAGAGGACACCATCAGGTGAACAAAAAGGTATCTTACAGTATGGGAGAATATATTTGTAAATGATATATCCAACAAGGGGTTAACATCCAAAATATATAAAGAACTCACACAGCTTAATACCCATAAAGCAAATAACTTGATTAAAAAATGGGTGGAGGATCTTAACAGACAATTCTCCAAAGAAGAAATTCAGATGGTCAACAGGCACATGAAAAGATGCTCCACATTGCTAATTATCAGGGAAATGCAAATTAAAAACAATGAGATATCACCTCACGCCAGTAAGGATGGCCAGCAACAAAAAAACTAAGAATAACAAATGCTGGTGAGAATGTGGAGAAAGGTGAGCCCTGCTTCACTGCTGGTGGGAATATAAATTAGTTCAACCATTGTGGAAAGCAATAGAGAGGTTCCTCAAAAAACTAAAAATAGAAATACCATTTGACCCAGGAATTCCACTCCTAGGAATTTACTAAAAGAAAACAAGATCCTTGATTCTAAAAGACATATGCACCCCTATGTTTATCACAGCACTATTTACCATAGCCAAGATATTGAAGCAACCTAAGTGTCCATCAGTAGATGAATGGATAAAGAAGAGGTGGTACATATGCAGAATGATTATTCAGCCATAAGAAGAAAACAAATCCTACAATTTGTAACAATATGGAAGGAGCTGGAGGGTATTATGCTCCCTCCATAAGTAAGCCAGGTGGAGAAAAACACGTACCAAATGATTTCCCTCATTTGTGGAATATAACAATGAAGCAAAACTGAAGGAACAAAACAGAAGCAGACTCAGAGACTCCAAGAAGGGACTAGCAGTTACCAAAGGGGAGGGAGGGAGAAGGGGACTGAGGGGTATTATGATTGGCACAGATGGTGTGGGGGGTATCATGGGGAAGACACTGTAGCACAGAGAAAACAAGTAGTCACTCTGTGGCATCTTACTACGCTGATGGACAGTGACTGAAATGGGGTGTGGAGGGCACTTGATAATATGGGTGACTGTAGCAACCACTGTTTTTCATGTGAAACCTTTATTAGAATGTATATCAGTGATACCTTAATAAAAAAAAGTAAAAAAAAATTCCCTTCTTTGAAAATGGATTAGTAGTTTATGAAAATATAGCTAATCCTGGTTCTAGGCTATGTAATGCAAAAAATATCTTAATGATGTAGCATAGCAATAGAAACTGTATAACATGATTTAAAACTGATGAGAAAAAAGCTGCCTAATTAAGTAAGAAAAATCAACCCTCTCAAGAATAAAACATTATGGCCTTTCTAATAGTTTCTTTGCTTTAACATCAACTTGCACCTAAAGCATACTGAAACCTTAAAATGGACTTGTAACACAATTACACTTACAGGAATGTATTCTAAAAAAAAATCAGATATGCATTTAAGGCACATTGCATACTTTAAGAATGTTCACAACAATGTTACTTAACAATAGTGGAAAAAAAATTCTACATTCATCTGAGAGAACGTGATGCTCTTATTACTTTATCTCTCTATCTACATGAGTCAAATATAAATTTTATGTCCTTATTAATATTAACAATGAAAAAAACCCTCAAGTGTTGTTAAGACTTCTCCATTACAAAGCTTTGATTCCAAAGAAGATGGGTTTTCCATTTTTTCCTCTCCTAGTTTTTCCTTCTTCAACTGCCTGCCTGACACCCTCTACTTTTCCTTTAGGAATTGTTTCAAATGCCTGAGAAACATGGAAAGGCTGAGGATGCAGAAAGACAACACTCCTTGATGATCCTCTGCCTCACCCTGCTGAGAGTATTCCCATAATCTGAAGGAGACTTCTAAAAGAGGGGAAAAGGGTGAAAGTGAAGGGCCATTTCTGCAACTCTACAGTAAAGAGGCCACATCTCACCTGTTCCAGATATTAAGACAGCCACTCTTGCCCTTTTTGGTTGGACAAATGAATGATTTTTCAGGATGCCATTCTCCAAAGCTGATCCATTTATTTGCATGGTGTCAATCAGATGCTTGACTCTCACACGAGGAAAACCTCCATTTGAAACATACCCAATAAATAAGAAAAACTGTGAATTAACAGTAATAATGGAAAGAAATGTTATTTTATGAAAACTTTAGAATACTGTATATTATTCTGAAAATAAGATATGCAAGGACTAAAATGAGTAACAGGTCTGTATTACTTAACATTACTCATCCAAAAACAAAAAAACTTCCTGAAGGCGAACATAATTACCTACCTCAGATAAAAGCTACAGCACATCATTGTATCTAAACAAAGAATGGAGGATATATTACTGCTTGTCAGTGTTCTGTCCCCACCCCTCCAAATCTTCCATTCATGGGAGTGCTATGACCTCCTGGCCTCAAGAGTAGGCATGTCACCCAAGTGAGGCCATTCAAAGATTTAATATAGGATGTTCAGACACAGAGGGACTTTTGTTTTCTTATTGCAATGTGAGCTGAAGGATGTAGGCTCAAGACATCTTTCTGGTATTTGGAGAATCTGCCTGAAAATTAAAACTGCACAAGGGAGGAATCAAAGGCAAATAAATACAGACAAAATCCACAAGCCTTGACGTCTGTTAGCTAATCTGTGTGGGTTTTCCGTTACTCTGTCAGTTTCTAGTATTTCTCATGGAGTCCTGATTCACACAGCACTTGCTAAGGTGCTCACTCACTCCTCCTTGAATTGAGCTGAAGCACATATCACAGACTGAGATGTCTTGTGTGTAGGAAGATTACATGGGGAAGTGGTTGCAGGGAACCAGAGTGAGGATCTGGGAAGAGTAATATAGAGGAGCCAAAGTAAGAGTGAGATCAAATTGGTCACCACTGTGGGCAACAGGGGCTTGATCCTTCTGGGACTCTCAAAGGAGACATGTAGACTGTGCCTCAGAACCGCTCCCTACTTCTGTCCCTAAAGTGGGCATTTACTCACTAGCTCTTATCCCATTGGTCAAGGGTTGTCCTGTGGGGTGTAGTTGTGCATGTGACTTCTACACAGAGGTGTCAGAACTCTGAGGCAGAAATGAATAGATAGTTGCTGTTACTGATGTGGGAGTGGTCATGTTACAGCTGTGTAAAGATAGTTGCCATAGTAATGGCTGGAATAAAAGGTGGGCAGGGAGCGTTTGAGACACAATTATTATATTTAAGATTATATACCTAAGAGCAACTAAATAAGGAGCAATTACCTTCAGGACATGCAACCACCCTGCCAATCACCCAGGCTTCTTCCTTGTGCTGCTGAATGTCCCTCAGAATCTGCTCTGTCAGATCCTTTGATACCACGAGGGCAGCCCCAATGCCACAGTTAAATGTTCTGGCCATCTCTTCTTCAGAGAGATGTCCTTCCTGCTGTAACCACGAGAAGATCCTGGGGATTCTCCAGGTCTGGGCATCTGAAAACAGGTAAAGGTGTTTAACTATTGTCTTACACAGGCACAAAGCTACAGAAATAACAAGTACTGCTATTTTATATCAGGCAAAACTATATAATGGCTTTTTGTAAGTTTTTTTTGGATCCATTTATTTTTTAGACATTAAAATATGTTTTTACATACTTGGCCAGCATTCACAATTGAGTGAGGTTTTGTACTGCATTAACTAACTAGATTCTTAAAAATCTCTAATGGATTAAATGTGCTAATAGCTGAATTCCAGTAAAGGCTGGCATACTACCCTTTCGTGAGTGTTTACCTGGGTCTTAGTGATGAAAATGTACCCTAAGTATGATGTAAACCTATGTGGCTTATATATAGATTTGGAAGAAATGCATACACTTATTAAAAAGTCATGGTATACAGAAAGTTTAAGATCAATATCCTGTCTCTCTGCATTTATCTTAAAATTTAGACTTAGGTCTGTTTTAAGAATATATCCTCTATTATCACAATACAATTAAAATTTCTAATAAAAAAATACACATATACACATAAAGGCCTATATATATATATATATATATATATATATATGTATGTATATACATATATTTATACACACACAAAATTCTTGAATAATAAAAGAATTTGGATAGGCCTTTTTAATCTACAGTTAAGGGATATGACTTACAAAAACATAATTATTTATTTATAATGCTCTTTTGAAAGGAAAGTCACAGTGAACTAAGGTTGACTATCAGTTCCCCTTATTTATTTGGTATATCTGCAGTATAATGTTTTTTAATGCTCTGGAGTTGATACAATTTTTAAAAGGCATCACATGTCTATGAATCTTCTCCCCTATGAGATTTAATCCCATTTCTACTAGCTGGGAATGTCCATTCTTAAGAGCTGGGCACAAAAGATTTAGTTACGATGATATGCTTACTATTCTGTCAATAGTCAAAAGTCACCAGCAATGTGAAACCAAATGGCAGTATATCCATAAAAAAAGGACTACTTAAAATGCTAAAAAATGATATTATGACAGGTAAATGTGAATTAAAAGGCAGGGTAAACAGCAGATTGCTAAACTATGAGCTTATTTTAGCACAAAGATTTACGAAGTATTTATTTATGGAAAAAAAACTGACAAAGAGTGTAGTTTCTACAAATGATCAAGTATGTCATGAGTAATATAACAAGTTGTGGAAATGTAATGCTGAAAATTCCTTACTTAAATGTGTTGTCAAAGTATGATTCTTGGAAGAAATCTCAGAGGCTGATGCAAGGGACTGAATTGTGTTTTCACTGGGAAAGATATTTGTGTAACTCAAAACACGATGGCTTTTATGACTATGACTATATCAACTCTCAATTTTCTGATGTGGGGACCATTATGTTATTTTTAACCAGTGGTGTGTGCTACAGACAGCATGGAAGGCCATGAAAAACCATTTAAAAATTGGCGAGGATGGAAGTATTTACAGAAATTGTCAAATGCACCCAGCAGCCTGCCTTTTCCCTATTCATCAGTAGGCCACTATTTTTAACCATTTGAAGAGGGTAGTGAAAACTTCCTTAAGGTTTTATGTTCACTGGAAAGCATTTATATTGCAGGAATATGTTAAACCATTAATTTAATCGTTTGCTGTGCCCTGTGCCCTTCAACTCCGTGCTATGCTAATGAAGGGATTCCTGTCTAGCCATCTCCTCTGCTTCCCTGGCTAGGCTGAGCTCCCGTTTAAGCGCTCTCCCAGTGTACCCTTCCTGTTTCCTCACTTCTGCACAACCTCTCTGACTTATCAGATTCTCTCCTTCACATACTCTCTGACTCCAGGGTTAGCTCTGTAAATCTACTCAACTGCATCCCTAGCTGCTTCCGCTGACTGATTCTGCCACCTGCCAAGCCCAAATGCATCAACTAAATCAATCTATTTTTTGGCTCCTGTCTCAAGGCTACACACGCTCTTAGTTTGGGTGAAAAATTACTTACCAGCTTCAATTTCACCATCAGTGCTGTTTGCTATCTCACTCTCATCCTGACCTGGATTGCTTCATTATTTATCCCTCTCCTCAAACCCCTGCTCCACGTTTGCTCATCTCATAAGCCCTTCTTATGTCACTAGGAAAAGGTATTATTTTGTGTTAACTCTTTCAGTTTCTACTCCCTCAAGCTAATATATATTTGTTGACTATGAGAGCTGGAACAGTTTCTCTGTCTCTTTATCCTACAAAAATAGGGAGGGGAAATCCCTGTCCCTCACTTTGCCATGAGCATAGGTGTATTCCAAGCCTTCCTTTTTACCACTAAGTTTACTGAAACAGCAATCTGCACTCACTGCCTCCTATCTCTGCCACCCATCCCAGCCAATTATCTGGTGGGTGGCATCTAACTTCACCATGCTGCTTTTTGAGTTACCTCTGAAATATCCAGACCAATTTCTGGTCCTTATCCTAGATTTCTGTGCCGCACCCGGCCCTGCTGACCGGCGGCATGTTCAAATCCTTCCTAGGAGTTGACGGTACTTTTGTATGGTTTACTCCCTGCTTCTGATTGTTCTTTTTCAGTAATTCTACCTCTGCCAACCTTTAAGGGACAGAACACTAAGGAACAACCTTTCGGTCTCTTCTGCTGTCTTGGCCATAATTATTATTACCTGCATACCAGCACCAAACTTCTGCTTAGAGACACCTTGCAATAAACACACTGAAGATTTAAAACATTATATTTCCACTTCCTGCTCCAAATCTACTCTCTTTCTGTGTTACGGATGTTACTGTCTACTCACCTGCTTAAACAGAACTTGTGACTTTGTCCTTCTAAGCACAAAATAATTCTCAAATCTGCCTCCCTTGTCTATGCCTTGGTTTGGGTCCTCCCTATGTCCTGTAGGGACCACTTAAATGCTGCCACTTCCCCTCCTGGAAGGTTCCTGGGTCCGTCTTGATACAGCTTGCAGTGACCAACCCCCTTGGAGGATCTGCTTATAGCACTTCATTTAAGTCACATGAGATAATTTTATGCCACATAAACACGGCTAATAAAAACTAAAAGGAAAAAAAAAGGAAGCCAAGGCAAATAAAGTAAAAAAAGGTAGAAAAGAGTCAGCCCTAATTTTTTGCCCAAAAACCCAATTAAGAATTTTCCACTTATAATCATATGTGCACTACTTACCACAGAATTTCCTCTCATGATATATTCTCCTAACAGTTTTCAAAGCAAAAGTTCCTTTCAGCAATCTTACCTAAATCCACCCCAAGTTTCTGAGGAAGGACTCTGGGGATGTTTTCTAGCAATCCTCCACCAGTAATATGGGCAAAGGCCTTGACGTGCCCTGAACGTAGGACAGGTAACAGTGAATGGCTGTAAATTCTGGTTGGAGTAAGAAGTATGTCCCCTGTATGTTGGAGACAGAAGACACAAATTTAGCCTACAAATATAAATCCAGAGCATGTATAAAAAACAATTCTGAAATAGACTATGACTGTGACCCTGCACAGACACACCAGTTCTACAATAATGTCCAAGTCACAATATCCCAGGGCAATGTAATTTATTCCATTCTAAGTTCAAGTAAAGAAAGACTAGCCCCACTAATTGGTTGCTCAGACATTTCCAAGCAAGTGAGTTTAAACCTGAGTGTGTTACCTAAGGTCTGGTCACCACAGCCATCTGGTGCTGGAGAGGAGTACTGGAGGAAAGATTTTGCAATAATTTTCCTCACAAGGCTAAACCCATTGCTGTGTAGACCAGATGAAGCCACTCCAATAATAACATCCCCTTCGGTGATTCTTTCCAAGTGAGGGAGTTTTTGATCCCGTTCCATGGCACCCACAGCAAAACCAGCTAGGTCATACTCTCCAGGGGGATACATGTCAGGCATTTCTGCTGTTTCACCTCCTGGAAGAAAAATAAATAAGAGCAAAGAAATCACAAAATGTTTATAAAACTTGTATAAGAAGTAAGGACACCAGCTACTCTTTAATAAGAACAATTAAACATGTGGCAATATCCTGCAGACACTCAAGTGACATGTACTCTATTAGTTGCTCAACAGAACTTCTAACCAAGCATCTCGGGGGAAGGAGCACTAATTCTCACCAAGGGTGAGTGTAGCCGCCAAACATTACTTTCATGAGATGAACACTCAGTTGGATATGTCATTTCTATAGCTAGTTTCCTTTTAGCAATGCTTTCACCTACATTTGATCTTTACACTTGCACTTATGTTCCAGATGATGGTACAGGTTTAGAGAAGTGATTTAATCAGGTCTAACACCAAATGCCTGGCCTAAAAAGTACACTATAATTCACTTCACAATCATATCATGTAAAGACAGGGCCTAGGTAGGCAGATTCCAAATTAGAAACTTTTCAAAAAGATGGATGAAAAGGCAATTTTGGCTTTTGGCAGATTTTTCCATAGAAAGAATAATATTAGAGGTACTTTTTTTGTTCATTGGTCAACCTACAAATTCACTTTGCTCAAAATTCTCATATATATTTAAGCAATATTTCTATGAACCTTGGGTACCCTTTATTCTTATTGTCACTTCTGTGAGAAAATGAGGCCTAAGATTCAGAATGCCAAAAACCCATCTGCCTCTGTTGTAGGGCCAGTAGGGAGGAAATAACCCCTACCCTGTCTGTCCAGGAGGCCTTTGAGAAAGAGAGTACTAGAAATATCGACCGAAGATCAGGGAGAAGGATAAGGCCTGGCATATAAGTCTGGGGAAGAGCGGTAGAGGGTACCAGGGTCTAACTTTTCTTCAGGTTGTGTTATCTTTATTTGCCTCATCTAGTGATATAGTTTCTTTGTTAGCTATATTGGTATTGATCATGTTTACACACCAGGCTAAAATACAGGAAGAGGAAGGATGCATGGTTCAAAAGGATGATCTTACCAAGAAGAGCACATCCAGCTTTTCCACAAGCTTTAGCGATTCCAGTGACAACAGTTTCAGTTGTATTGAGGTCAAGTTTTCCACAGGAAAAGTAATCAAGGAAGAAGAGGGGTTCTGCTCCTTGTGCCAGAATATCATTTACACACATTGCAACCAAATCTTGACCAATGGTATCATGCTTGTTGCACTGCTGGGCAATCTATGGAAATACAAGATGCATGTCCACATAATAGAATAAGCTCCAAATTATAATTGCCCATTTCTCAATGGAGGCTCACAAATATTATTGACTTTTGGCTAGCTGCTCTGAACACCTAAAGACAAAAGAACACTTAATGCTGATAAGCTATGTGGTTCAAAAGGATCCCCTTTTATGCATTAAAATCACCCCTCCATCCAGATATACCAATAATAGTGTTGTCAGAAACATTTAGATTTATTAGCCATACTATATGGTTATATGGTATGGTTTAGTACATATATGTCAAGAGGGGAAAAGTGCGTATATTTTATACACAGTAAATTCTTATGTTTCACAAAAGGCCTTTATTCACATAGGTGTCTGATTACCTTCAGTTTAGTTCCAACACCATCTGTTCCACAGGCCAGAAGAGGATCTTTGAAACCAGCTGCTCTCAGATCAAAAAGACCAGCAAAACCTCCAAGATCAACATCACAGCCTGTTGGAGAGGAATTAATTACTTGCTGCATTTCAATAGATTAGTTAAACATGAATATAAACCTATTCTTCCTAAGACTGGCTAAAACAAGAGATGCCTTTCCTGAGAATGGGAGAGGGTATTATATGCTAAAAGAATCAATCAAGGAAGTAATTAAGTATTAAAGGGCAGACAAATCTTTTTGTATTTAATGTCATGGAAAAGAAATGCTTTTCTCAATATTAGAAATAAGAAAATACAAAGACTATGAGTTTGGCTTAACCTGGCATTAACTTGGAACATTTTCCTCAGGAAACTACAAAGCCCAAATCAATTCACAATGTTTGCCAAAGCTAATGAACTAGCAAAGTACAGGAATCTGATTTACCTGGTCTGGAGGTGGCTTTTGCTGAAGGCTTAATTTTTTGGACAAGCATATCTCCAGCTGCAATGTCTACCCCAGATTCCTTGTAAGTCAGGCCCCTAAAGAATTAACACAAAAATAAAAACGAAGATATTACCTAAAAGCCAGGAAAAATCATTTTTATCTTAAGCAGAAGATATCCCTATTGATTCCTGTCTGCCCTAATGTGCTGGGCCCCAACCATAAATTTTCATTTACTGGTCTACAGCAGGCCCTAGGAATTAAAATGCATTTAAATAATCTCTCCAGTTGATTTCATTGTATCATTACTATTGAGAACTACATCTCTAAATAAACTCTTTCTTTTAGAAGTACAAAAGGAGCCAAATATACCAATACTTTCCCACAACCTGTCTCTGTTCAATTTTAGTATGGGAAGGAAAGCAGTGCCAAAACTGAGTCAAAAGAAAAGAAAATCAGGATAATTAGAACTCTACAAAAAATTGCCTAAATAATGAAGCTGAGATCTTATTGCAATGAAAGAATTGCATGTGATTCCTTAAAGCTCAAGACAAGTAAGAAACGAGATTTAAAAAAAACTATGGGAAAAACCAAACCAAATAATGGTATTCAGTGTATTATTTCCTTCCATAGAGGGTCAACACATTGGAGCAGTGAATGGTACTGTGATTTCAATAGTCTTGCCTTACAAAAACAAGAACTTTGGCTTAGATGAATACATGAATATGTGTAGTTTTATTAGAAACAAGGTGCCAGGGTTCAAATAGAGTTGAGAGCTTTGTCAGTTAACTCCAATGAAGTCAGCAGTCCAGGGTCATGCTCAGAAAGGAAACAAAGTTCTACTGGTTAAAAAAACCCTTTTGTCAGGTAGCAGCTGTCATTTTCTTCATCTTTAAAGAACTAGACTAGTATGAAGATTGCATCCCCTTTAACAGGTCATTTCAGTGGAATCTATTATTTTACAGTGAAAAATAAAATTTTAGCATGGCATTTTAATGTTCTTAGTTCTAAAAAAATTCTAGTATTAGTTTAAAAAATTTGCTTATCAGTAACAGTATAGATTGAATTAAGTTGCTAAAAATTTCTCATTTTGTCCTAAAACATATATATTTCTCATAGATGAAATCAACAATAGTAACTGTGATATAGTTAAGAAATCAAAACACCCACATTTCCAATGAATAGTTTATTGATTTTATAAAGGAATAGTTGTACATGCCAATTAACCAATCAATAAGTGGTTAAAAATACACTTCAGTAATAGGTATAAATAGTGAAAAAATGAGACAGCCAAAATTTTACAGTATATCAAACTAAGTTAGTTGCAAAGTAGATGACCAATATTATCATCTTGAATTCTTTGACAAGACCAGAACTTAAAGATATAAATACAACAGTATTTAAACATATAACTCAAGCAAAATTATTTCCCCATCTTTATTTAATAATTGACAATTATATATATTTAAAGTATACAATGTGAAAAATTCCTTAACATCTCTATGATTTCATTATATTTTTTAAACATTAGGAAATACCATGAAGTCTGTTCCATTTAATTTGAATGTTGTTATGAGTAGTTTTGATTCTAACTAAATGCAAATCAAAATCAGATCAGTCCCATAGACAGAAAAGAATACAGAGTGAGAGTATAGTACTAATGAAATTTTCTACATAGCCATTTATGTCAGTTCTGAAGCTGTGCTATAATCCCTCAGTAAGAGATTTACCTGGGCTGTTGGAAGAGAGCTATGGCACGATAGCCAATGTCCTTCCTGTAAATGGCTCCCTCAAACTTTATAGCAGCTAGTCCTTTCTTGGCTTCTTCAAGGGCTGAGATGAGACTTTCCCGGATGGCTGTTACTGTAAGGACTCTACCTCCATTAGTCACCACTTTGCCATCTTTTAGGGTAGTGCCTGCTTGGAACACCTCTAGTCCTAAAGCTTGAGCCTCAGGAAACCCTGTGAGAGAGTACATTTGACCTATTATTTGCAGTAACAATATTCTACACTCGCAGTTTATAATTTCCAAAAGTTTTGAAAATCTTTATTTCACTGAAGTGAATTTCCCAAGAATCCTACCAGTAAGAACTAATGCAATATACTAGTCAATAGACCTTTTCTTTTAAGAACAGTTTGTTCTGCTCTAGGGTGACAAAAGTATTCCTAAAACCTTGTGTTATCATAAATCTCATATAAGAACTATTGTTTCAATGAGAGAGGGGGAAAAAAAAGCTCTGGCCTGAAAAGTTTGAGACTTTGAGACTTAAAGGCACAAAGGTACTTTCTCCTGACAAAACGTCAAAAACTAAAAAGATAAAATCTGAACATCAATTAATAAGTCCTGCATTTGATCACATTATATTTAAGAATAAAGGAATTTTTTTTATCATAGCCATTCAAGTAAAGTTGCTTGCTTTCTTTTTTAAATAACCAATAGGATCACTGCAATGCAAACTGATTCTTACTCTTTACCCTAATTAACAGTTGTAGAATTCTAAGACAAGCTTGATTTAAATTAGGTTTTGCACTCAGTCTAAAATTCCTGGTTTCATTTTCTTCTGAACTATCTTTAAGCTCTCATATACAATTTTACTCTTCAAATATTAGTAGACTATTATTTTCTAAATTCTAAAATGACTAGCATAGACAGTTTATACAAAGATAAATTCTTAGTTAAAAAGAAAGAAATTCTTATATCCCGTTTTTCTTTTTTGGTCTCCATTACTCTTTTAGCATCATATTTGGTAGTTTGTTAAGACGTGTCTTCTCTAAGTGTTTTTATAACAGGGGTATTCTGTCATTCAGATACTGGAATACTGTTGGTGTTGGGAAAACCCAGTATTGCAGTGTCAGAAATGACTACTACACCTGTCGCCTCTACTTAGGGAAATTTCACCAACACAAGGGATCTTGATTCTAGCCCTTTTCTCTGTTCATTTTAAAAGGCAATCAATTCCTAACTGCCCAGTGGCCATGTGTGGGATTCATAGGGCAATGGATTGGTTTTCTGGGCAAGACAGTAACAGGGTGTTTGAATCAAACACACTATTGGGGTACTGAATTAGGCAAAACTACAGCCTGCTAGGCTTATGGCACTGGAAGTTATCTGGCATTTCAAGACACTGTTTTATTTTAACATCATTTAATTAGATGCCTCAACCTCCTGTAAAGAGAAACAGAAGAGAAGGCTTTACTTTATTATTACTAGTATTATTTTTTTAATTAAAGTATCATTGACAATCTTATGTTGGTTTCAAATACACAACACAGTGGTTCAACATTTACCCATATTATCAACTCATCCCCTCCAGTGCGGTCACTGTTCACCAGCGATGTGTTACAGAATCATTATTTGTATTCTCCATGCTGTACTACTATCCTAGTGACCAACCTATATTGTGACTGTGAATTATTGTGCCCCTTAATCCCTTCCCCCCAACCCTCTTCAACCCCTCCTCTTTGGTAACCACTAGTCTCTTCTTGGTATCTAAGAGTCTACTGCCATTTTGTTCGAGAAGGCTTTACTTTTGAAACTGTTTTAATCTTCTCATCCAAGTGACTATGGTATGCACTGCAAACTGGGGGGGGGGAGCACTAGTGATCATGTCTCTAAAATTTCTCACTGATATGCTTTATTCCAACATTCCTCTGACTTTCATACATTCCCATTATCTTCCTGGCTCTGGGACAGGGGAAGAGAAGGCAGTACTGGGTGATTCTTGGGAAAATTGGGTAGGCCCACTTAAATATTCCTTGTGCTGGAAAGGAAATGGATGGTAGTTCTTAAATTTTGGATATTTGAACACCAATATTTAATAGGTAATATGGTTATGTTAAGAACCCGTGAAAGGTTTCCTCCTCACACCCTTAAAATGAGCAGAGCATAGCCCAGGAGAAAGGCCTACTATGGTATCAGTTACTTGTCACATTGTAATTCAACCTTTTGTTCTGATATTCACCTGTTATTTCCACACCCTTGGTGTAGTCTCCTGGGTAACCTTTACTTGCCATGACAACAGTTACGGCAGTGCGGTTTTCGTGCCAAACAGGCAGAGATGTGCAGAGCTGGCCATCTAAGGTAGACTGAATCACTTCATAAAGATCACTTTTAAGAAGTGGGAGGATCACCTGTAGAAACATAATCAACATGGCAGTTGAGAGCAGTTTTATTTCTCTTTAGAAATTTCATTCACTGGGATACCAGCAGAACTTGCATATATTTCTCAAAGGTAATTATTTCAATGCTGGTAAATCCTGAGATTAAAACAACACACCTCTTCTAGAAATGAATACTTTATATATTATCTTTAATGATTACCCACTTGGCACTCTGGATCACCAAAACGGCAATTAAACTCCAGAACTTTTGGGCCATCCTTGGTCAGCATTATACCAGCATAGAGAACACCTTCATTAAAAAAGAAAAAATCTATAATGAAGACATTGTGCTGAGACTATAAAAATTAGAATATAAACTTCTAATACATGATAGTGACTCTATAGCATCTTACTACACTAATGGACAGTGACTGCAATGGGCTATGGGGTGGGGGACTCTTGTTAATATGGGTGAATATTGTCACCACAATGTTGTTTATGTGCAACCTTCATAAGATTGTATATCAACGATACCTTCAAAAAAAAAAACTTCTAATGCTTGAAGTTTTGGAATAACCAAATGCTATAGTAGTGGTCAATTAAAAGGTGGTGAAAAAAGAGAAACTGGGTAGGTTTTGTCAAAGGTGTAAACTGACTCAATGATAATGCCCACAATGACAACAGTGTGCTTACCTGTGTATGGCATACCCTCCTGCCGCATGCCATCCACCGTCCTCTGAAGAATGGTATTTTTTATTTTTAGCAACAAATCCTTAGAAACCTGGGGAACACACAGGAATACTTAAATTTAAGTGGTATTTTAAAAAATGATCTTGGAAGCGGTATCAAGTGGGACATCGAAAACTATCACTTTTTTTTTTAACCACTTGATTGGCTAAGCACTTTAAATTCATAAAAAATCCTCACACTAACTCTATCAAGTAGGAATTTAGCATTATTCTTACAAAAGAAGAAAGACTTCTGAGACATACAAATTGTAAACAGAAGCTGGATTATGTATTTATTGATCAGTGTCAGCCACTGTTTTAGGATTAAGTGACCATTAAGTCACCTTTTACTACTAAACATATAGATTTTCAAACATATACATGATTAAAGGTCACTAAAAAGTTTCCTGAAACATAATAAGAATGAAAAAAGCCCTCTTCCACCTTACGACTCCTTTGTATTCTTTCAATATAGCCTATGCATATTTTATCTACTGCCTATAAATTTAAGAATGTTGCAGCTGATATATTTAATTGTAAAAACTAGACTTAAAGATTGTTCTCATATTAAAATCACTTTTATCAAATGGTATTTTTAGTATTTATAGTCTAAAGTCAATCTTGTTTGGTTTTTTAATCTGTTAATGAAGAAAAATATCTAAAGGCATATTATTAGCAGAAAGGATTATGGCTATCATCAATGAAAAGAATGGATGAATTTCTGAAGTGCTAATCTACTCAATGAAGATTTCTTATAAATCTTTGGGAACACACTTTATCTATAAATTATGAAATAGAAAAATCAAAAGTACAAATTATGGCCTGCCTGGGTTCTCAATTCACGTGTCCCCACTTCCCCAGACTTCCTTTTTTAAAAAATATGGATTCATAAATTTGCATGTCATCCTTGCACAGGGCCCATGTTCATCTTCTCTGTATCGTTTCAATTTAGTATATGTGCTGCCAAAGCAAGCACACAGACTCCTCTTACTGAGCACTTATGTGATGACCTCTGATATCCAAAGATGAGTAAGAGGTAATTCTAGACTATAATTGGCTCCCATGGGTTAAAAACAGGGTATAAAGAGGAGGGGCTAGAAGGATATGTTCAATCCATACTTAACTTAGTTCTTCAAAGGTTTTCAGATAAGGTTTGTTTTAAGAGTGAGACTATAAGAGATACTTTTCATTTACTAGGAAAACCAAATTGCGGATTAATTTATAGAACAAAACAAAACAAAACAGAACAGCTTCACCTAGAAGACCAAAAACAATGATGACTGAACTTCAGCTTGCTTCTGGGAAGTACCTGAGGTGCTGGGCAGTAGGCTCCCATTCCCCCTGTGTTGGGGCCATGATCTCCCTCCAGCAACCGTTTATGGTCCTGTGCTGCAGGCATGGGGGCCACAGATCTCCCATCAGTGAAGCACAAACACTGTAAAGAAAACAAAATAGTCCACCTACCCTAAGTGCCAAGAAAGTTGGAAAAAAGTAATTTAATAAGGAGAACTCTATGTACTTTGACTCTTCTCAGAGGAAAAGTTGTCTTTTCTTAAAGTAAAATGAGTTGAAACATAAACAACCCTAAGCTACCTGTATCAAGAATCACAAGATACTCAATTTCTGAAGAATCTGTGTAAGTTTAAAGCGTTGGGGAAAAAAAAATCAAGCTACCCCTAAAGTAAAATATTTCAACCTTTCCCACATTTAAATTTTGTGATATAAGTCTAAATCCCCTACTGATACACTAGTGATGATTAAAAGAGAATATATTCTTTTCCATTGTATCTCCAATACTAAAAGTATACAAATTCTTTTGCTAACTGCTGGGTTATGCTTTTAGATGAAGCAACCAGAGTAAACTAAGGCTTTTTTGGGCTCACAGGTCAGACAACACAGCTTCTACTCTATAAAGCCAGTAAGATGAATATACGTACAGACACCTCTTCTCCTTCAAGGAGTTCTTCAATGACAATTGTTTCTCCAGCTGCTCCAAAAGCTTTATTCTTAATGTAGATTAAAAAAAGAAAGATGTAAATTCTAAGCTTTTAATATTTATTATTAATTAAATGACAATAATTAATAAAATGACAATTGGCCATTGTCATTTTCCACCATTTGTATTATGATCAAATGCACTATTATTGAAAATTCCCTTTCTAAAAGCCTCAAAAGGATCCTAGTTTTAAAGTGGCAATGATCTACAGCTAGCATGAGTACACATGACATGAACACATCACTTACAATCTCCTGGGAATCCAGCTTCCTAGTTTCAAATAAGGTAACAGGAAAACAGATGCTTTCATCGCTATTTCTGATATCTCATTATAATTATGTATGTTTGCCTATAATAATTATACTGAAGAATTTCTATAAGGAGAGAGGGGAACCCACCATAACCAAGATGGATCATATTAGAAAAGTAAAGTTATTAATTCACTGCTTTACTTCTCTTAGATCTGGGACATAAAGGACAAATACTTTTGTCATCATGGATGGTGGAGAATTTATTTATATATTCTAGTCTGAGGATTTTCCACCTTTCAGTAGAAGATAACAAAGGATACTAGAACTTACTTCCAAAGAAGAGAATCTGGGTTAGCCATCAGTGTACATCTATAATAACTCTTTTATAGAGATGGATTATAATATATAGTAATGTGACAAGTAACTCACCAGTATTTGCTAGATATGTTTTCCTTATCTTGATGTACATTTTGTAAACTTAAGAGTATTTATCTAGTGTGAATAAAAAATCAAAAACTTTTTCAGAGGAAATCAACCTACCTGCATGATTTCCTGTACAGCTTTACAGGCCTCTTCTTTGCTTTCTGCAACAATCACCCCTTTCCCAGCTGCAAGACCACTGGCCTTCACAACCAAAGCAGGGAAGTCTGCACTGTGAAGACAGAGTAATCTTCAATACCAATAAACCCTTACAACTCAGAGGCTGAAACGATTTGGGATTGTGCAATGAAACGCTATAGCAACAACTGAAAAGCAGAAAGAAAAAAATTACTGATCATACCAATACCATTTTGATGCACTTCCCACCAGGAAATTTTTCCCTTATGTATTCCTTTATAGTTGTTATTATAAAGTACACACAATTTTGCTTTTTCATTTATCATGAGATCATATAGGAAAATCTTTGGAAGAATAAAGTAGTTGTATAGCACAGATATTAAAACTGATCATTAAGATACAAAGGAGTGAATTGTATTCTCATTCAGGTAGAAATATAGCCATATAAGACCAATATAAGCATGGGTACATGACCGTTTCTCAAAGTACACATAAAAAAAATGTAGTTGGTCATTTCTTCAGTTGAGTGGGACTGAAGATCTAGAAGGCAACTTATCCAAAGTAAGTAATAAAATTGTTACTTATTCAAGGCATCTGGCTACTTAGGAAATAATAATATTCAGTGTCTAAGAAACCCTGTAGGATGAAGAACGAATAAAGAATGAAACTGACCTAACCGAAAGGACAACATACCAGGTAACAGGGAGAAGTGTCAACAAGGAAAGGGTAAAGGTGTGTGTCTGCCCACATTCATTGATTGCTCAATGTTTTCCATGTAACAGAGAACAAGGATGTTAATTCTAAGATTGAGGATTGAGTAGGGGTACCAGAAGGCCAAGGGATGATTCCTCAGTCTAATTAATTATTTATGAAAAAAATCAATATCCTTTATGTTGTAAGACGCCACTGTGTTTGTCAATCTGGCTGTGAAGAGTGCATGACTGCAGACCCAATCTATCTTCCTCCCTAGAAATTATTAATATATTAGAAAAAAAAATCATCTTTCTGAAAGGCCACATGATTGTACAACTATATATGCACAGAATTCCATTTTATTTTGATGGTGGAAAAAGGCAACCTATACAGTATGTTGTTTTAAAAAATTATCTTATGCAAAACTTGTGACACAAAAGTGATCTACATATTTAAATACTGTAACAAAACCACCACCTTCTAGCAGCCTTCTAGCTACCTCATAATGAAGCTGTAGGCCTTCTCAGGTTTGTTGAAAGCTCTCCATTGTGCGGTTGGGATTCCATGTCGGTCCATAAACTCTTTGGCAAATCTTTTGCTGGACTCTAACTGAGCTGCTTCTGCTGTGGGGCCAAAGCATCGCACTCCTGCAGACATCAGGTTCCCAACAATTCCTATTGATGAAAACAAGTAGCCTTAGGTGAGCAAGGTCTCAGTAGGGTCTTTTCATTCTAAAGAATTAGGATTAGACTAAATCTACATTGAGATAAATACATTGGAAGAATAAAGTAGTTGTATAGCACAGATATTAAAACTGATCATTAAGATACAAAGGAGTGAATCATATTCTCATTCAGAGAATGAGAATTCAGGGGAAAAAATCTAGAATCCATAAATTTCAAGAGGGTGAAAACTCTTTTCCCAATGTAGTATTATATTAGATTCTCATCAGTAAAAGGAATTGGACTATATGCTCCTAAGCTCCTGTTGGCACTGCATATATTGTAATAAATAAACAGAAATGAGCTTTACCAGCAGCCAGAGGTGCTTCTGGTCCAACAACTATGAATTCAATGTTCTCATCTTTGCAGAACTGAGCAAGGGTAGTGTGATCACTGATTGAGATGGCTGTGAAAAGAACAAAGAAACAAACCCATCTCACTTATGAAACAGTGTTGAAGTTGACTGTCATGCTGAAGCCAAGGACTACACTTCAATATGCTTAGTAACTGTTGGTTTTCTTTTATTGGTATAGGTGATAGTTTCACCACAAGAAATTCAGAGCACAATGCATTAGGCTAACCAACAAAGCTCAGTTTTCAATCACTGTAGCCAGCTGGATGAAAATACCAGTAAGTTTCCCAAAGAACTATAAAGTACTTTCTCAACTATAGCATTCATGTCACTAGTGTTGACTGTATAGTAAACAAAAAGTATATTAGAATATACTCAGAAATTGGTTTTTAAATGTCATTCATTCAAGATCTACTGAGACCACTATGTGCTAGTCACTGGGTTAAGATGTTAACATAAACAGGGTCCCTATACTTAGAATGCTATATTCCACTGAGGGAATGTCGGGTGATAAATATATAAGCAAAAAAATGCCAAGTGTGAACAAAATAGGCAATTTTGATACAAGGTGAATTAGGCTATTTCTGGTTGAGTCAGGGTGTTTTCACACACAGATGTTTAAGCTAAGAACTGAATGATGATTTTAAGATGTAGCTCACTTCTCCAACCTTTAAGCTAGGTCAATTTTCTTTCTTAATTGAGTTCTAAGTAAACAGCAGTAGAATCAACCATATACTAAGCATTGGTTGTTTCTACACTGCTTTCCTGTTTCACTGTATCTGGACTAGCATTCTAAAGTTGGCTGAAATCTGGAATTATTCTGCACATATGTGGTATTTGTGATGTGTAAGGAATTAAGTGCAGAAAAGATAGAGTTCTCAATCTACAAAAATTGCCTGAGTAGGATGAAGATGGCACACATGCACTTTGGCTTAGGAGTTGCAAACACATCTGGGCTGAGCAGACCCAACTATTTCAGCCCAGAAGAAGGTAGCAAGAGGATACACCTAACCGGTTGCTGCAAGTGCTGTCATGACAATCTTGGGAGACTTTAAGGGGTTGGCCTGCACATAAATTGCATCTAGATAAAATGTGCCAGTTTAATAAACAGATACACTAAGAGCTAAGTTCCTAGGGAAGCAGAGATTTTATTTATTTTTTGCTTATTATTTTGGTTCTATGTATGCAATTATCTCCTCCCAGTTTGTGGCTTTTGGGTCTATGTTCTCTTCATAAATATTATGTACCACACAGGGTACTAGGCACAGTACAAGACAAAAGAGTTCCTTGCCCTCATGTAGCCTAAGTTCTAGAACTTACAGCTGGCCTAAGGAGGAAATAAAAATAGATGGACAACAGCAAAGTAAAAATAAATACAAATAATGGTTCATGACTGACAACAAATGAAATGCGGATGGACATGCTTTACTTACAAACTTTTGGAAAGACCTCTTTGAGGACATAACATATAAGAGATCTGAATGATGAGGAGCCAGTCATACTAGAGGTGGGAACAAATACAAAGAGCAGGAAGCTCTGTTTGGGAAACTGGCAGGACTGCATGGATAGAAGACAGTGAAAAGAAAACAAAAGATATAAAGATTGGGTTGGAAAAGGCAGGCAGGAGCCAGATCACAGAAGACTTTGTAAAGAACGTTAAGGAGTTCTGAGTTTTATTCTAACCACTATGGGAAGTCACTGAAGAGTTTAATGTACCATAAGAACTGATCACTTTTACCAGTGGAAGAGATAAAAGGTGAGATCTATTATGGCATTAGAATTCCAGAACTTACATTTAATAGCACTGCTCAACTTTTCATTTCTGAAAATACACATCAAAATGTCTTTAATTTATATTGGGCATTTGTGACTTTTTAAATGGATGTGTTTTATAAGGAAATGCCACCCCCAAACAACAGGGTACCTCCAAATAAGAAAATGTCACTCTCCAACAACAGGGTACCTTAAATTTACAATAGATGGCAAGTATTCAAATTACCACATACATTTAAAGGTTAAGAAAAACATTCAAATTTGGATAGCAACTAACTTTATAAATAAATAGATGTTGCCGACAGCTTATCATTTATAATTATTGACTTACTGCTCACTTTAAAACATGATTACCATTACCAGTATTTGAAATCTTTTCAGAGCAGGCAGTGCCTGCATTTCCTGGGGCAACCAACACCTGTTTGACATGATCAGACTGTGCAAGTTTCCAGGCCAGTGTATGTTCCCTTCCTCCATTGCCAACGACAAGTACTCGGGCTGTCATTGCTGTTTGCAAAGCAGGAATTTAAAAGGAAAATGAAAGCTGCAAGAAGAAAATCACAGTTGATATTTTAGAATGCACATACTTCACAAATTGCCATTTCTAAATATGGTTTAAGTAGTCATACAAATGATATTTTATTCCAATGAATCATCTGTGAAAAATTACGGTTCTTAATTTGAGAAATATGATTGTACTCATTGGTTAAGGAGTGAAATGGCAACTTAGTCCCTTACCTGATTGAAAAAAAAAAAAAAACTTCTGTGAATAATCACCCTTCCTTGGGCTTCACTTTTAAAAGACTTAATAATCATCAAGCCTCAGTTAAAAATGAATCCTGATGTTTTAAATTTAGGCCCCAAATTTAAATGAACTGTTTTTAAACCTTGAGGTCTTATAGACTTTAAAGTTATCTTAAATTGAAAGAATTCAGGCTAAGGCATAGTAAATTTTCCACCTCTGAGGGCCACACAGTCTATCTGAAACTATAGAGCTCTGCTGCTATAGCACAAAAGCAGCCATAGACAATTCATACATGGCCAAAACATGGCTATGTCCAGTAAAAGCTTACATAAATAGGCAGTGGGCTGTAGGTTATAATTTGTCTATCTCTGTTCTAAGCAATAGGAAGGTACCAGAGGTTTGTAAAGATAAGCATGACTGTGTTTCAACAAAACTTTACTTATGGGCACTACAATTTGAATTTCATATAATTTTCAAGGGTCATAAAAACACAATTCTCCCTTTTATTTTTTTCCAACCATTTAATGATATAAAAATTGTTATTTGGTGAGCTGTACAAAAACAGGTAGCAGTAAGGATTTGGCCCAAGGGCCAGTTTGCCGATCCCTTAAGAAGATAGTGGAATTATGTTAGAGAATTGGTAGAGAAAGGAAATCTGAACATGTCTCACTTCACTTCTGACATTTGCTTCTGAGCAGTATAGGCACAACAGGTACCTCTCAAGTTAGCTGTGTGACCTTGACTAAACTTTTACTATCTGTAATTCAATTTCTTCACATCTTTAAAGATAAAAGAGAACTTGCTTTATGAGGCCATGTATGGATTAACTGAAATGACACATAAACAATTAGTACAATTTGACACTCAGCAGTAGTAAATGCTAACTTGTCATATTTATTACTTTTACCTAATTTGCTACTTTAGGGAAAGGTGTTCAACAGGAAAAAAAAGCCAAGGGAATGAATAATTTGCCACATTAGTAAATAATTTACTAATTTTCAGAAGATTAATTATGTATAAGGCAGACTGAAAATGAAAAAGAAAACTGAAATCGGCAACTTCTTGTGAGATACTAGGATTACACATTTAAAGGAAAATCTAAGACGATATTATAAAAAACTAACATTTTTTTGCTCACTCTGTGCCATATGCTATTTCAAATGCTTTTCATGAATTACCTCACTTAGGCTTTGTGAGAATCCTATGAGGTAGATACTATTATTGTCTTCACTTACAGGTAAGAAACAGGTTCAGTTAGGTTAAGTAAACTGAGGGAGGTCACACAGCTAAGAAGAGGTGAAGCCTGGATTACAATGGAAGCAATTTTACTTTACATACTTACAGTTGATATGGTGAACACTGAAAATTTGAGGAAGAAATACAAAATTATTTTCTGAGAGGGAAAAGCTGTTTTAATGGAAAACAAAGACCTGCCATGTGGATGGAAATATCTGAAATAAACATATCTTTAAATCTAGAGGAAACATTACAGTCAGTTTGAATAAGAGGCGCAGTGAAGGTAAACTGTCCTGGTTACTACAGTAACTGGGTCACTGACATAGAATTAGGACTCAGCCTGAAGGAATTTACACCAGGAGTGGTTAGGAGGCCTACCTGCTCTGAACAGTGGCTTGGTTTAGGTTGAGACTGCCCCTTACTAGCTGGGACACCTTAAGGAGCTTAATTAACCTTCTTGGGCCTTAGCCAGCTAAATGGGTAACTTACAACGAGAATCAGCGGGCCAGGTAAAGCCATTTCAAAGGATTTGGTGGAATATATAAAATAGAAAACTATTACAAAAGTGGACCAAATAACCGGCTAGAGGATGGGTACACACCGGGAAAATATGCAATTTACGCTTATGACCTAAAAAAACCATAAAGATACAAAAAGGCCCTGATATCTCAAAACAGGTAAAGTGATAGGATCCGATGTAAACTTCAGTTAAAAGTGACAGCACATGGGCAACCCACACCCAAGGCATTTAAAAGTAAGATGAAAATTCCTACAGCCAAAATACCTCCTACAGTTTCACTCAATTCCTGGTGTTAAATCTCAAAACCACAGCCATAACCGAACTTAAAAGCGGAGGGAACTTACGCACCAACACAGAGAGGTCTCGCCGCTTGTCCTTACAAGCCTATTCCGCGCGCTCCGAGCCCGGGGTCCCGCCACGCGCCGGAAGTCGGCCGAAGGGGATCCGGCGCACGCGCACCCCCCGCCCCGCCCGGGGGGATTGAGCCTCCTATTGGTTCGGGCGGCCAGGGGTCCCGGCCGCGAGGCAGTCAAGTGCCAATCCCTCCTTTGGTACAGAGCAAAGCTACCAGGGCTTTGCCCTTCTACGATGTAATGCTATAGTATCCCGTGCCTTGTAACGTCGCTAGTCCTCCTCCAGAGCCTCCTGCGCTCTGAGGAGGGGGAACGGCAAAATGCTAAACCTCCACTGAGCCAACTGTGTTTGCTACAGTCAGAACTGACCAGACACTTCCTGACATGTCTTGCTCCTAACGAGACTACAATGTACCAGGCCTTGAACACAGGTCACTCAGGACCTGTGGGCTGATACTAAAACAAAACAAAAAGAGAGGCAAATTATAGAATGCCATGACAACTGGGGACAAAAAGGTGTTCTTCGTATTCACATCCCGGGGGGCGGGCGCTGATTAGTGCTTTCCCGGAGGCATCTCCCTGGCGAAACTCAACTTGGCATCACCCGGGAATGCTGGAGGCCACCTGTCAAATACAGTTGCCCTTCTTACTCCCTTTCCTCATAGCATTTAATCTCGGGCGTTTAGTGGCTAAAATAAGCCACATAAGCCACACAAATGCCGTTAGGGACTGAGAACTTAAGCTGATGGAGTCGCCACAAGACAGACTTCTCCTGTAATGGCGCCTGCGTCAGTCACTAACATGGCGGACTCGGTCGTGCGCGGCGCAAACGTCAGCAGCTCTACCCTAGCCGCTCAGAAACAGCGAAGGAAAGCGAGGCCGTGCTTACTGATTGGTCCAGCGGTGGAGCGCGCAGGTCTGGACGCTCCCACAGGAGCCAATCAGAAAGGCAAGAGAAGGAATTGGCCGCTGCGCCTCTTCCCGAGGCATGCTGGGAGCCTGGAGGACTAGCGAGGAGGAGTTGAGAGAACGGAGCGGACGCCATGGCGACCAACATCGAGCAGATTTTTAGGTCTTTCGTGGTCAGTAAATTCCGGGAAATTCAACAGGAGCTTTCCAGGTAAGCGCTTCCCAGACTCTTCTACTCTCAAGGGGCCGTTAGGGTCCTCTGCAGCCTTCCATGGCACCTTTCTAAAGAGTCGCCGTTTCTCGCCTCAGGCCCCGCTACAGCTCCGCCTGGGCCTGGGATCCATTTTCCTCCCTACCCCCCCACTCCCGATCGGCTCGCTCCCTTCTCAACGAGGAACTTAGCCCTTTCTGAATAACCCAGATTCCTTTTCTAGAACCGAGTTAAGATGTTCACTCCTGTTTCCCATTTGGTCATCCCCTACCTTTAGCTACTTGTAGGCCTGGTTGTCCACCGGGGACGGGCCTAGTTCCTTTCTCAGCTCCTCCTCCGCCGCGCGTTTCCCCTCCCCCTCTCCACCTCCGCGGATTTCACCGGCCGGTGCCCAGGACCGGAAAGGGTCCCTTAACGGCCGTTTCTTGGGTAATCTTAAATCCGCTTTATTATTTGCAAGTTTGAGACCATTTGAGGGTCGGGATCCTTTAATTAGATTATTTGGGCCCTAGAGCCCTGTGACTTCTACCAGGCCCCATCCTAGATTAGAAATTCAAAGTAGCTCAAATTGATGTTACCTACTTTGACAAGATATTAAAGGTGAGGATGGAAAGGGACTTTGGATTACCGATAATTTATTAATTTCTCAGGTGGAAAGTGGGCTTTGTGTGTAGGCCTATATTTTTTTTGCTACCCCCGTCCCAATTGACGTACCTGACGGACGCGCAACTTTTGTCATTACTGTTCTACTCCACATAGTTTACCTTTGTTTCCACAAAATTGAACGGTAAGAGATTTCCAAAGAAACAGTTGTTTACTCAAGAAGGAAAATAGTGTGGGTCATGTTGTCGTTCACTGGTTGTCTTTTAGTATTTTTGCTTTAATAACAAATATCCTGAGTTCAAACGTTTTCGGTAGTTGTATTTTAAAAGTTGAGAGTAAGCGCAATATGTGAATTTGAAAATGACCCGAATATGTGATTGTAAATAAGCACTCAGATTAACAGAGTTATTGGTGCGGTGAGATAGTATTGTTAGAAGTATTATTTTTGCAGAATATGTTGTTTTTTAAGTGGGAAATAGGACCGCCCGCTCATTTCATTGCTTCCTAAAATTTTGTTACATGCTAGTGTTTTTAGGGTGATGGGTGATGAGAAAAGACAAGAGAAAGGGAATATAATTTTTCTGAAAGCTTTTAGTTGCATGCAGTAATTGTGTTTGCTTATTGAAATGCCTTGTTTTTAATATCTTTAAAAAGTCAGTTTTTGTATTAGAAAATAATTGTCATAATTTAGAAAAAATTGAAAAAACCCCAGAGTCATTGATGTTCTTAATGTGAATGTTTTTCTTGTGTGTGCAGATTCACACACGTATTCTGTGAAATGAAATTGTTTTTTTCACTTAATACACTGTGAACAAGTTTTGTCTTTTATCAGAGACTCAGTAGTCTTTTGGGACATTTTTCCTGGGCTCCATATGATTATGTTGTAGGAATGTACTGTTGGCTATTTAGGTGATTTGAAGTTTTCTTCCTATTTCAATAATTGAGATAAACATCTGGTAGCTTTAAAATGATTATTTTCTCATAGACTTTTTAAGTTATACTTGTCTGATTTTTAAATTGTGGTCTTTATGTGAGGTGATTATGAGTTTGTAAGTGCTTAGGAAAAGTGTAAAAGAGCTCTAGAAAGCCTGAAAAAAATGCTAGACAAAGCAATTTATTACTAAAGGGAATATTCAGTTTTCTCAACATGTAATACAGTATCAGTGTAAGAAATTTTAAATTATTTGTCATTTCACTTAGCTACATTTCCCTTTTTCCATCTATTTTTACATATATCATTTTGGGTGAGGAGAATGACAGTAAGATAAAGTAATTTTCTATTGGTTAAGAGAATGCCTGGTTTTGAATACCAGCTTCACAAAGCTGTTTGACCTTCAGCTAGGTTTCTTGTCTTTGTGCTTCATTTTCCTCACTTATAAAATCAGAGTAATAGTGCTGGTCTTAGAGTTTTGTTAGGATTAATTAAGTTTAAAAGTGTAAACCTGTGAGACACTAATTAATAGCCAGTAAAAGTTGCTGGTATAATATGATATACTGTATTGTATTGGAAACCAAATGTTCCTTGGTAACATTTTGTTAACCACTGATTTCTTTGTTTTTTTGACCATTCAGCCTTTTAATCAGGTAGTGGAGCATGATTGATTTTGTTACCAAAAATTTGAACGTGTTGAAATTATTTTTTAAAACAACTGTGTAAATTTACCCAAAAAGAGCAAAAATGAGTTGGTAAATGACATGTCTTATGTAAATAGTCTTCTGGCCCTGTGAATTGAATATAAATTAAGTCACCTATTAATTACTGTTAGTGTAAGCAAGTTGTCACTTGTTTCACATGAATTTTTTTGAATAATCAAGTTTCTTTAACACTAAGATTTTTGACAACTGGGTAAAAATTCTGTAAATGATTTTTCTTCATAAACTTAAAGGCATTTCAATAACTCATTAGTTTACAAGCTGTCAGAGGCTACAATTTACCCTTTTCATTCACTGTGTGTGTTAATTTTGTGTTTCTTAATACTGTTGACAGTTGTGATCATGCAAAGGTGCAGCCTTATCGTAGCTTCTACTTTCATGATGTGTTAAGTCATCTTTTTCCTTGGATTTGTGATTGTGATCTTAAGTATTTTCCCTTTGAGATAAATACACAAGTAATGCAAATCTAAATCAACTTAGATTTCTGGGAGTATTTTATTTAAGAAAGAAATGAACTCAGAAACCTGTTCTGAAGACTTTTTCTTTTAACTGTCACAGCTCTGAAAACTGTAAAAATGAAAATACACCAACTATAAGTAGATAGTGTTAACTATTGGAGGGGAATATCATCTGAAAGAAAAAAATGGTGGGATGTATGAACAATAAGATTTTTATTTTAAGTAACTGAGTTAAAAATATATATTGTATGGTGTGGTAAAAATATTCACGAATTTCGATGACTTTTCTTGTCAAGTGGAAGAAATGAAGGCCAGCTCAATGGTGAAACAAATGCACCTAGTGAAGGAAACCAGGCAGGTGATGTAGCTGCCTCCTCCAGGAGCCTACCAAATGAAGAAATAGTTCAGAAGATAGAGGAAGTACTTTCTGGGGTCTTAGATACAGAACTACGATGTAAGCCAGGTAAGTTGGAGATAATCAGCTGTCTCAGAAGTTTCAAGAATTTTTTCAGTAGTAATAAACATGTTATTTCTTGACTGTAAGGGTATTTAAAATGTTCATGAGATCTAAAACCAATAAATCTCCAAGTTTTAGTTAATTTATTTAGTGAAGACTTGTTTAAATCCTTTGAAAATATATTTGTACTGAAACATGAGCATTGGTGAACTTGTTGGCTTTACTGGTGGAATGGAACTTCATTTGATTCAGTCTTGTAGTGCTTCAGTGACAGGATTTTCAGGATTTCAAATGTGGGTTTTCTTCTAGTAATGTTTAAGTGTCACTTTTGGAAGGTGTAGGAGCCTAAACCAAATCTAATGATTTTAAAACACTGGGAGGTTGTATTTTAAAAGCCCAGGTTTAGAGATTGCCTTGTTTCTGCATCCACTCCTCTCAAAAGTATCCTGAAAAGAGAGGAATTACTGTGTATTAAAAGTTTTTGGAATTGATTAAAATAATTGGTGTTTAGAAATAAAAGATGTATGGTCAATCTCAAAAATAGCTAAATCTTCATTGAGTTTTAGAAATGGTATGGTATGGTTTTTAATTTTTAGTATTACTATTTTTGATATAGGGTATGGTTAAAAAAGAAAGACTAGCCCTATTTAGATTCACTGCTCTAGCAACTTTTTCTTGATTGAAGTCTAACTTAGGTGACATTTGGTGCCTCATAAAAAACTAATAGATGATTAGTTTTGCTTTGGAATAGGTCTCATGTGTTAATTTTTCCAGAATCTTAGTGGCCTGGATTTCAGGAGAGTTTTTTCTGGCATCACTAAGATTTATCTAATATGATACTGGTACTAGATTAAATCCCATCTGGTTGTGCAGTGGTTGTAAGCTTTCTCTTTCAGATAAGCAGATTTAAATGTTCTTAAGTTACATGTTAATGCCTGTAAGAACTTACTTCCCAAAATGAGTGTATTTTTTAAAAATAGAAACATTAAAAATCAGTATTAGTCATTTCAGGAGTGTATTGGGGGAAAAGATGTTATTTTTATTAAAGTGTAATATGAGTGTGATAAGTCAAGTTTCATATCGCTGTACGTGTATTTGTTGTTCAGGCCTTTGTATATACTGTATAAGGGCAATCACATTTGCTGAGGGGCTTACTGTGTGCCTGGCATTGTTCAGTGTACTTGGTATGTTTTAGTTTACTTATTTAACTCATGAAAGAGACACAGAGTGTCAATAATTTGTCCAAGTGCATTCCTCTAGTGAGTGGTGGGTTGATTCAGGATCCAAAAGCAGACATTCTGTTCCAATAGGAGTTACAAAATAGTAACAAAATACTTAACATTCATATTTTTAATAGAAATTTTAATAATTGGTAATACAAAAGGTATTCATCTGTAAGTAGTTTAAAAGTAATTTTCTGGGTAATTCAAGAGGTGGAGAAAATCATTTAAAAATGAATTTAGTGAAACACATCTTAATAATAATTCCAAATGTTTTGTGATATTCTGAAAACTTTTAAACCCAGGCTTTAGTTGTAGAAAGTAGTAGTGGGAAAGTGAGTTCTAAGATTACTGGTTTATGGGAAAGAGTATATATATATATGATGACTTTTTTATTTAATAAGTATTATACTATGGTGTTCTAATGTAGAATGTGAAATCTTGGTTTATGTGATTTATCTAAACTACTTTGGGGAATGTTTGACAAATTAATTTCCATTGATTTCAGACCTGAAGGAGGCCTCCAGAAAAAGTAGATGTGTGTCTGTACAAACAGATCCAACTGATGAAATTCCCACCAAAAAGTCAAAGAAGCATAAAAAGCACAAAAATAAAAAGAAGAAAAAGAAGAAAGAGAAGGAAAAAAAGTACAAAAGACAGCCAGAAGAATCTGAATCAAAGCTGAAATCACATCATGATGGGAACATAGATTTAGAATCGGATTCCTTTTTGAAGTTTGATTCTGAACCTTCAGCGATGGCACTGGAGCATCCTGTAAGAGTGTTTGGCCTGTCTGAGACCAGTGAATCTGCAGTTGTGTTAGAACCTCCTATACTATCAATGGAGATCTCAGAGCCACACACCTTAGAAACTCTGAAGCCAGCTACAAAAACTGCAGAACTGTCAGTTGCATCTGCATCAGTAATCTCAGTGCAGTCAGAGCAGTCTGTGGCAGTAATGCTGGAACCATCCACGACAAAGGTTCTGGATTCTTTTGCAACAGCACCTGTGCCTACCACAGCAGTAGTGCTAAAGTCATCTGAGCCAGTTGTAACAATGTCGGTGGAGTATCAGACAAAGTCTGTGCTGAAATCTTTGGAGAGCATACCTCCAGAGCCATCAAAGATCATGTTGTTGGAGCCTCCAGTAGCAAAAGTGCTAGAGCCATCAGAAACCCTTGTGTCATCAGAGATACCTACTGAGGTGCACCCTGAGCCAAGCACATCAACAACAATGGATTTTCCAGAGTCAGCTGCAACTGAAGTGCTAAGATTGCCAGAGCAGCCTGTAGAAGTACCATTGGAGATTGCAGATTCATCCATGACAAGACCACAGGAGTTGCTGGAGCTGCCCAAGACCACACCGTTGGAGCTGCCGGAGTCGTCGGTGGCCTCAGTGATGGAGTTGCCGGGGCCACCTGCGACCTCCATGCTGGAGTTGCAGGGGCCCCCTGTGACTCCAGTGCTGGAGTTACCTGGGCCCTCTGCTACCCCGGTGCCAGAGTTGCCAGGGCCCCTTTCTACCCCAGTGCCTGAGTTGCTAGGGCCCCCTGCGACAGCGGTGCCTGAGTTGCCGGGGCCCTCTGTGACATCAGTGCCACAGTTGTCGCAGGAATTGCCAGGGCTTCCAGCACCATCTATGGGGTTGGAGCCACCACAGGAGGTACCAGAGCCACCTGTGATGGCACAGGAGTTGCCAGGGCTGCCTGTGGTGACAGCAGCAGTAGAGTTGCCAGGGCAGCCTGCGGTAACAGTAGCAATGGAGTTGACCGAACAACCTGTGACGACGACAGAGTTGGAGCAGTCCGTGGGGATGACAACGGTGGAACATCCTGGGCAGCCTGAGGTGACAACGGCAACAGGGTTGCTGGGGCAGCCTGAGGCAGCGATGGTGCTGGAGTTGCCAGGACAGCCAGTGGCAACAACAGCGCTGGAGTTGCCAGGGCAGCCTTCGGTGACTGGGGTGCCAGAGTTGCCAGGGCTGCCTTCGGCAACTAGGGCACTGGAGTTGTCGGGGCAGCCTGTGGCAACTGGGGCACTGGAGTTGCCTGGGCAGCTCATGGCAGCTGGGGCACTGGAGTTTGCGGGGCAGTCTGGGGCAGCTGGAGCACTGGAGCTTTTGGGGCAGCCTCTGGCAACAGGGGTGCTGGAGTTGCCAGGGCAGCCTGGGGCGCCAGAGTTGCCTGGGCAGCCGGTGGCAACTGTGGCGCTGGAGATCTCTGTTCAATCTGTGGTGACAACGGAGCTGTCAACGATGACCGTGTCGCAGTCCCTGGAGGTGCCCTCGACGACAGCGCTGGAATCCTATAATACGGTAGCACAGGAGCTGCCTACTACATTAGTGGGGGAAACTTCTGTAACAGTAGGAGTGGATCCCTTGATGGCCCAGGAATCCCATATGTTAGCTTCTAACACCATGGAGACCCATATGTTAGCATCCAACACCATGGATTCCCAGATGCTAGCGTCCAACACCATGGACTCCCAGATGCTAGCATCCAACACCATGGACTCCCAGATGTTAGCCTCTAGCACCATGGACTCCCAGATGTTAGCAACCAGCTCCATGGACTCCCAGATGTTAGCAACCAGCTCCATGGACTCCCAGATGTTAGCAACCAGCTCCATGGACTCCCAGATGTTAGCAACCAGCTCCATGGACTCCCAGATGTTAGCAACCAGCTCCATGGACTCCCAGATGTTAGCAACCAGCTCCATGGACTCCCAGATGTTAGCAACCAGCTCCATGGACTCCCAGATGTTAGCAACCAGCACCATGGACTCCCAGATGTTAGCAACCAGCTCCATGGACTCCCAGATGTTAGCAACCAGCTCCATGGACTCCCAGATGTTAGCAACCAGCTCCATGGACTCCCAGATGTTAGCAACCAGCTCCATGGACTCCCAGATGTTAGCAACCAGCTCCATGGACTCCCAGATGTTAGCAACCAGCTCCATGGACTCCCAGATGTTAGCAACCAGCTCCATGGACTCCCAGATGTTAGCAACCAGCTCCATGGACTCCCAGATGTTAGCAACCAGCTCCATGGACTCCCAGATGTTAGCAACCAGCTCCATGGACTCCCAGATGTTAGCAACCAGCTCCATGGACTCCCAGATGTTAGCAACCAGCTCCATGGACTCCCAGATGTTAGCAACCAGCTCCATGGACTCCCAGATGTTAGCAACCAGCTCCATGGACTCCCAGATGTTAGCAACCAGCACCATGGACTCCCAGATGTTAGCAACCAGCACCATGGACTCCCAGATGTTAGCAACTAGCTCTATGGATTCCCAGATGTTAGCATCTGGCGCTATGGACTCTCAGATGTTAGCTTCCGGCTCCATGGATGCCCAGATGTTAGCGTCTGGTACCATGGATGCCCAGATGTTAGCATCTAGTACCCAAGATTCTGCTATGTTGGGTTCAAAATCTCCTGATCCTTACAGGTTAGCTCAAGATCCTTACAGGTTAGCTCAGGATCCCTATAGGTTAGGTCATGACCCTTACAGGTTAGGCCATGATGCTTACAGATTAGGGCAGGATCCTTACAGATTAGGCCATGATCCCTACAGACTAACTCCTGATCCCTACAGGATGTCACCAAGACCCTATAGGATAGCACCCAGGTCCTATAGAATAGCTCCCAGGCCATATAGGTTAGCACCTAGACCCCTGATGTTAGCATCTAGACGTTCTATGATGATGTCCTATGCTGCAGAACGTTCCATGATGTCATCTTACGAACGCTCTATGATGTCTTATGAGCGGTCTATGATGTCCCCTATGGCTGAGCGCTCTATGATGTCAGCCTATGAGCGCTCTATGATGTCAGCCTATGAGCGCTCTATGATGTCCCCTATGGCTGAGCGCTCTATGATGTCAGCTTACGAACGCTCTATGATGTCAGCTTACGAGCGCTCCATGATGTCCCCGATGGCTGACCGATCTATGATGTCCATGGGTGCTGACCGCTCTATGATGTCGTCATACTCCGCTGCTGACCGGTCTATGATGTCATCGTACTCTGCAGCTGACCGATCTATGATGTCATCTTATGCTGCTGATCGCTCAATGATGTCTATGGCAGCTGATTCTTACACCGATTCTTACACTGATACATACACAGAGGCATATATGGTACCACCTTTGCCTCCTGAAGAGCCTCCAACAATGCCACCATTGCCACCTGAGGAGCCACCAATGACACCACCACTGCCTCCTGAGGAACCCCCAGAGGGTCCAACATTATCCACTGAGCAGTCAGCATTAACAGCTGAAAATACTTGGCCTACTGAGGTGCCAGCATTACCTCCTGAAGAATCTGTATCGCTGCCTGAAACTGTGAGTCAAAATGAGATTTCAGAGCCTTCAGCATTGCTTGCTAATTATTCAGTGTCAGCATCAGAGCCTTCAGTTTTAACATCAGAGGCTGCTGTCACTGCCCCAGAACCACCACTAGAGCCAGAGTCTTCAGTTATGTCAACACCTGCAGAGTCTGCTGTAGCAACAGAAGAGCATGAAATTGTTCCAGAGAGACCAGTGACTTATATATCTGAAAATTCCATGTTAGCTGAACCATCTATGTTAACATCAGAGCCTACTATTATGTCAGAAACAGCAGAAACCTTTGATTCCATGAGAGCTTCAGGACATACTGCCTCAGAGGTATCTATATCCCTGATGGAGCCAGCAGTAACTATTCCAGAGCCATCGCAGCAGAGCACCCTAGAGCTACCAGCCATGGCTGTCTCAGAGCTGCCAGTCATGGCAGTCCCTGAGCCATTAGCCGTGGCTGTTCCAGCCCCTGCAGTCATGGCTGTCCCAGAGCTCCCAGCTGTGGTTGTCGCAGAACACCCGGCTGTGGCTGTCCCAGAGTACCCGGCTGTGGCTGTCCCAGAGTACCCGGCTGTGGCTGTCCTGGACCCACCAGCTGAGTCTCTCTTGGAGCCCATGGCATTGGCTGAGCCAGAGCACGTTACTATTCCTGTGCCACATGTTTCTGCCCTGGAGCCTACTGTGCCTGGCCTGGAACCCACAGTGTCAGTCCTTCAGCCTAATGTGATTGTTTCAGAACCATCTGTTTCTGTCCAAGAATCCACTGTGACAGTTTTAGAGTCTGCTGTCACTATTTCACAGCAGACTCAAGTAATATCAACTGAGACAGTTTTAGAGTCTACACCAATGATACTGGAGTCTAGTGTTATAAAAGGAATGAATTTACTATCTGGAGATCAAAGTCTTGCTCCAGAGATTGGCACGCAGGAGATTCCCATGCATTCAAATGAAGAGTCACATGCTGAAGGACATCCGAAGAATGACCCTTTTGAAAGTGAACTTGGTATAAATATAGACAATATAAATAATCATTTAATTGCTAAAGAGATGGAATATAATGCAGTGTCTGCTGTCATCACTGGTGCTGTTGGTGAAATTGGTGAAGAGAAAATTTTGCCCATCAGTGAGACTAAACAATGCACAGTATTGGATACCTGCCCTAGTGTTAGTGAAGCTGATATAGGAGAAACTCTGTCTTCTGCTGGTCCTCTTGCTCCTGAACCTGATGCAATGGGAACAAGTATGGGTATTGAACTTGGCGTAGCATCTGCTTTCAGTTCAATTAGTAAATATGATGTTGAAGTATCTTTAACTACTCAAGATACTGAACATGACATGGTAATTTCCACCAGCCCCAGTGGTGGTAGTGAAGCTGACATAGAGGGACCTTTGCCTGCTAAAGACATTCATCTTGATTTACCATCTAATTTTATTACTAAAGATGCAGAAGGACCATTACCTGTAGAAGAGAGTGACCAGACATTAGCAGTTGCTCTCAGCCCTAAAGAAAGTAGTGGAGAAAATAAAGAAGTACCTCTCCCTACTAAAGAGATACTGTTTGATTCAGGATTTTCTGCCAATATTGATGATATTAACGAAGCAGATTTAGTGAGACCATTACTTCCTAAGGACATGGAACGACTTACAAGCCTTAGAGCTGGTATTGAAGGACCTTTACTTGCAAGTGACGTTGAACGTGACAAATCTACTGCTAGTCCAGTTGTAATTAGTATACCAGAAAGAGCTTCAGAGTCTTCTTCAGAAGAAAAAGATGATTATGAAATTTTTGTAAAAGTTAAGGACACACATGAAAAAAGCAAGAAAAATAAAAACCGTGACAAAGGTGAGAAAGAGAAGAAAAGAGACTCTTCGTTAAGATCTCGAAGTAAACGTTCCAAGTCTTCTGAACACAAGTCACGCAAGCGTACCAGTGAATCTCGTTCTAGGGCAAGGAAGAGATCGTCTAAGTCCAAGTCTCGTCGCTCTCAAACACGTTCACGGTCACGTTCAAGACGCAGGAGGAGGAGCAGCAGATCAAGGTCCAAGTCTAGAGGAAGGCGATCTGTATCAAAAGAGAAACGCAAAAGATCTCCAAAGCACAGATCCAAGTCCAGGGAAAGAAAAAGAAAAAGATCAAGTTCCAGGGATAACCGTAAAACAGTTAGAGCTAGAAGCCGCACCCCAAGTCGTCGGAGTCGGAGTCACACACCAAGTCGTCGAAGAAGGTCTAGATCTGTGGGGAGAAGGAGCTTCAGCATTTCCCCAAGCCGACGGAGCCGCACCCCGAGCCGACGGAGCCGCACCCCGAGCCGACGGAGCCGTACCCCGAGCCGACGGAGTCGTACCCCGAGCCGACGGAGCCGCACCCCTAGCCGGCGGCGAAGATCAAGATCTGTGGTAAGAAGACGAAGCTTCAGCATATCACCAGTCAGGTTAAGGCGATCACGAACACCCTTGAGAAGAAGGTTTAGCAGATCACCCATCCGTCGTAAAAGATCCAGGTCTTCTGAAAGAGGCAGATCACCTAAACGTCTGACAGATTTGAGTGAGTCATTTTAAAATTTGGTGGTATTGTGACAATGTTTTAAATCTGAATTTTTTGTTTTTTATCTTTGAGGCAAATGGAATATTTTGGGTTATTTAGGATAAATATTTGTCTTAAAATTTTTATAATTAGATTAGCTTTGTGCTTAGAAAATGTAGCATAAGTATATTTGTAACATTAAAAAGAACTGCTTTGGAGTATGGTACAACCAAGATGTTCATTTTGTTTGAACTACCTTCCATAACTAAAAATGAAAAGTACAAGTCCAGTTGAAGACAAGACTAATATGTGCTCAGATTGTTATGTATGTATTCCAATGTAGATTCTTGCAAGTAAGCCTAAATTTACAGTGTTTTTTTTTATAAGATACATGTCTTTAAAATGAAAATACAGGACTCTTTAATGTTTGTGAAGGTATTTCTGGTTTGTATAACGGGTAATGGAATTTTGGAGGGAATTTTGAATGTGAGAGGTGGATGGGTGATACTAGCAAAATAATGTGAAATTCATTAAAGTGATTTTAATTATCTGCCTGCCTTTAAAAATAATGTCCTCTAGTTTCTCCTTATTTTAAGAAGTGTGCAGAGATGATTAAAGCTTGATGGATAATGCATGACTACCGGCAATAATAATATATCACTATAGATTGGACATAACCCAGGTCAGGGTTATGTAAAGAAAGGCCCTAATAGAATAGAAGGGAGAATGCATTCGGTTCAACAAAAGGTTTCTGAGTTCTTTTTTTTTATTCAAAGCAGAGGAATAGTATGTAATTCTTGAAGTGATTATAGATAGTAAAGGAAATGTGGATAAAATGTGTATATATGTCTCTTACCAAATAGCAAAACTGCCAAAGAACCCCATATTCTGATGATTGCTCTAAGTACTGGTATTAGGTATTGGCATAAGTAAGGCACTTTGGGAGCACAGTAGAAAGGAATGCTACATTCTGACTTACTACTTGTTAGAAGTGGCACTTGAAGATGTCAGAGATAAGGAAAGTAAGGGTGTGATGATTTTAGAAAATAAACTTTGGCAGGTGTGTCTTAGTGTGTTTGGCAGGGTGACCATTCTAGTTGGATATTTTAGCTCTTTTGCATAATTGAATGGGAAGCTAAATGTGGGCTTCATTCTTTCAATTAAGAGTCATCTGCTTAGTTTTGAGCCAGCGTGATTTGATTACAGCTGTAAGGGCAGAAAATTAATGCCTTTAATTTTGTTAGTGTATAAAAACTTCAGATAAAAAGTGTACAGCCTTTTAGAAAAACTCCTTATATTTTTCCTCTTACAGATAAGGCTCAGTTACTTGAAATAGCCAAAGCTAATGCAGCTGCAATGTGTGCTAAGGCTGGTGTTCCTTTACCACCAAACCTAAAGCCTGCACCTCCACCTACAATGGAAGAAAAAGTTGCTAAAAAGTCAGGAGGAGCTACTATAGAAGAACTAACCGAGGTAAGCTAGATAAAATTTGTTTTCTTTCTTAAATGGATTATTCCAGTGATGTTGACTCTGGAGCGTGCCAAAACCCGAATTGTGGGCTGAACTGATAATGGCTGGCACCAAGTGGCCAAAACCCGAAATACAGATGTGGCAGCGGCAGAAGCTCTGTTTAGCAGGCCATTATCCGGGATGGCTAAGCTCCGCTAGCTAAAAGTTACTTCCCATTACTTTTGCTTTCCAGTTTTAGAAGCCAAACTGACTGAGGAGTGGGACGGTTCGTTTGAATGGAGGAGGTGTTAAGTGAGCAACACGCAGAAGCTCGCCTACAGTTTCGTTTCCATTCACGACGCGTTCACTGATCGTCACGAGTGTACTGCATAAACGCAAAGACACAGACAATCTTCAGAAATGATCTTTTGCCACCGGAGCTTGGAAATTAATGAGAATAGCTGGCCATTGCCTGAAAGGAACTTCTTTCGCATCAACATTTCGGGTTTTGGCTGTTTGGTACCAGCCATTGGTGATAATGGCCGGCCATTATCAGTTCTTTCTGCGGTTCGGGTTTTGGCAGTAACATGTATTTTAAACACACTTATTTTTGTTTTTAAGAGTTTGATCTTTTCAATTGAGGCTTTTTTTTTTTGGCTTTATTAATATTTTTTTTGTTTTTGTTTTTTTTGGGAGGACGCTGAAGTATTGCTGCTAGGATCCAGAAATACCACACTGTTTCATATATTGAAACTTGTTATTGGCTGGCCTTATGCCAGTCTGCCACTGTCAATATATTCTGTTCCCCTTAATTAAAAGCTTGGTATGCTGTTTGTTTTTGGCTAAATGAGCTTTTTATCCTATTGTAGTATTTTCACTTGATAGTGGATGTGACAAATTCTACTGCTTGTATAGAAACAAGTCCACCCAAATTTACTGACCTTTTTATAAAGCCAGGAAATGGAGTCTGTTCCTTTTGCTTCTCAGGAAGGAATTGACCTTGCTTTACGTGTCAGACCTCACCAGTTGTACCCTTTCCATCATTCCTTCCTTTGCATTTGTGAGTTCTATTCCTTTAGCCTACCAAACATTTATGGAGAGGCATGTTACTATATAACCCCATTGCACATGTTTAAAATGTTTTATTTTGCCATACATTTAGGGATCATATAGTTTCCTAATCTTTACTTATTTAGATTTATCAATATGAATTATAATTTTTAAATTTAAGGACCTAGTAAAAGCTTCTGTTGCTTATCAACCCCAAGCTCATCTAAAACTTTGTGAATGCTTAGTGTTTCCCTGTATGTTTTTAGCCTCATCTTTAGCCCTCTTTTCCTTTCTAGTATGTTCCTTCTCACCTTTTTATCACACGTAAGATGACTTTTCTTTCCCCTGCCAATCCTTACTCTAAACTAAAAATCTGGCTTAGAATCTTCAAGGAATATCCCTTGATTATCAAATTGTGCCTGATTCTAGTCACTTAAGCTTTTGTTCTTCCAGCACTTATGTACTCAGTTTGTATTATATCAGTTTGCACTTGTTAATTGTGTTGCTCTGTAAAAGCGTTCCTCAATTATTTCACGTGTATGTATTCTGTCTTGAACTAGATTGTAAGCTCCTTGGGAGCAGGGACCATGTCTTCTACTCTTCTACTTTTTTTTTTTTTTGTATTCCCTGGACAGTGCCCAGTACAGTGCTCTGCACATAGTAGGTGCTCAATAAATGTTGTTGATTGACTGATGTGCTAGAGTGTGTTTAAATAATAGCTAGTAAGCTAATTAATCTGTTAATCTTGCTTTACTTTTGAAAGTTGATTGTATGTGATTCTGATTTTCTTTAAGAAATTACATGTTACTCATAAAGCTTAAGATTTATCTTTCGTTTGTTTTTACTTTTTAAGAAATGCAAACAGATCGCACAGAGTAAAGAAGATGATGATGTAATAGTGAATAAGCCTCATGTTTCGGATGAAGAGGAAGAAGAACCTCCTTTTTATCATCATCCCTTTAAACTCAGTGAACCCAAACCCATTTTTTTCAATCTGAATGTGAGTATTACTGTTTATATATTGATAAAACAGCAAGGCTAAGGAACTACTTAAATAAAACTCAAGTGGAATTTAACTTTTAAACTTTTGGACTAACTACTGTGAGAAATAATGAACAAAATCATTTTCAGATTATTTTTAATTATGAAAACATTATTTTTTAGATTGCTGCAGCAAAGCCAACTCCACCAAAAAGCCAGGTAACATTAACGAAAGAGTTTCCTGTGTCATCTGGATCTCAACATCGAAAAAAAGAAGCAGATAGTGTTTATGGAGAGTGGGTTCCTGTAGAGAAAAATGGTGAAGAAAACAAAGATGATGATAATGTTTTCAGCAGCAATTTGCCCTCTGAGGTAAGTAAGAGGAATATTATGTATTTTTTCTTTTTTATACCTGAATCTGCCATTTTTATTGTAATTTTATATCTGATTTGGATTCTGTTTCACTCTTCTTAGGGCCGGGTTAAACGGCAGGGCCGGGTTAGACGACAGATGAAACAACCCGCAGCTTCTCATTTGACAGTAACTCGATGCAATTCACTTTGTGGAGCCAAACCACAAAGTGAAAAGCATCGAATTGCAGAGAACAGTGTTATCACATCCCTACCCAACATTGGGCCCTCCTTGCACTTATGGGAAGGTAGCCCAAGGTACAACTATTTAGCTTCCCGTTTTGCCTCAAGGCTCTATAGCTCTAGATTTTGGTGGTAGCAAATTTACTGGGTGGAGGGATTGAGTGGAGAAAGGCAGATCCTCAGGTTCAACACAAGAACTGGATTGGAAAAGGTCATTGTAGGCTGATGTGAGCCTCTTGGATACATAGCCCATTGCCTTTAAATAATGATTTCTTACTATTTCCCTGGGTTGTTTGTCAGATAGTCTTTAATTTTAATCATTTCTTCTCCCCTGTGCTAGCTTGGCCCTTTTGAATTCTTGTGTTTAACCTAATGCTCAGCCTTGGTACTCCATTTCCCTTCTCCCTCCCCTCTTTGCTACTATTAAAAGTTGGAGAAGTGGAATTCACACCTTGAAATTTCCATGAGGCTATAGTTGTATCTTGTCAAAATGACGTAGTAATAACGCCAAGTGTCAAAACAACCCCATTAAAATGCTGCCTGGTTAAATAATGTGCTGCTAAATACAGTGCACATGAAAACAGCAAGACTGTATATATATGTAAATATATATATATATCTGTATCTTTGTATGTATCTCTGTATCTGTATCTTTGCTGTATCTTTTAATAAACAGTTTACTTTTATTTAACTTGTTGTGCAAAATCACGCTTGGGGGATCTGGGAGGGTGGAGACTTACTAGGGGGGGGGTGGGAGTTTTAAATGATACCATAGATTAGTTACCACCTGTTGCCCTTGGTTTCCAAAGACCAGACATTTGTCCAAGGACTGGACTAGATATGTAAAACCCTTAAAATGTGGGACTTCTTCCCCATTTCCTTTTCTTGCAGTTCTGGGATAGGTCAGAGAGACTTGTACTTGTCACCGTCAAGGTTCCCTTCATTGGCCTTGCCACCATCTTCCACTAAATACCTCTGATACTATAAATAAACAAATCCTGTTTATAAAATCAGAAAGTGAACAGAACCCAAATCAGAAACTTGTTTCCCCTGAGCTATTCACAGGTGACATTTTTACTATGGTTTTTGACCTGCAGCGTTTTAAAAGTTCTATACAATGAAGCTGGACATAACTAGACAATGCAACTTACAGTCATCAGTGATGATCTATACCTACATGGGGTTGAACAGCTGAATCAAATTATACTGTCACCAGTGAGGGAGGGATAGCTGGTTTGGACATTGTTGTAGTAAAATCAGTTGAGTAGCTTAGTAGCTAATCCCCAAGTCAGGCTACCTGCACATCTCAAGAGGGAAACCTTAACTGACAATGGCAACTGACTTAAATCTTGTAGTAGCTGAATATGAGCCCTGGTAAGAGGACTAGGCTTAGAAATTCTAATGCATATGCTTTTAGTAATTTCTTGCAGATTAAGCATTTAACAAAGTTAGAGAAAACAGGGAGATTATGTGAGAAAAATTTTCCAACAGAGTGAAGCCCTATAATTTTGCAAAGTTCCAAGGGATTTTCCTGAGAAAATAAGTGACCGTAACTATTTTAACTTCAGTTGAACATGGGGAAAGTTCTTAGTGAATCCTGATGATTGTTTCTTTCTGAGTGAGTTTAATGTGTTTTTATATATTTTGAAATTTAGTACTCAGCCATTTTCAGTCTAAACACTAATGGTGTGGTACCTTACCTTGTTTGTCATCAAGAGTGGGTCTAAGATTTTAATTGTAAGTTGGAGGAATTACTCCAAAGAATTCCCACAGGGAAATGTTGGGTATTCAAGTTACGTAAGTAAAGGGGTCTTCTGTTAAAGCAGGAGAAAAAAACAGTTCTGTTTAGAGGGCTAAATAAATGAAGCAGATTTCTCCTCTGAGAGGATATATACAACTATTTGACATTAGAACTCTTCTAGCTTATTTCTGAGAAGATTAGACTAAAAAATGTTTACTGGAATACAGTTGATAGACCTAGGTTAACTTTAACTTTAGCAAAACAATCCCAAAATTTTAGGAAAAGACACAGGATTTTGTTTTGCTTTCAGGTGTCTGTAGTTTTACCTAGCAATAATAGACACCTAGAGGAAGTGTTCTAGTTATTAGCTGCATGCTAAGTAAGTGAAGCAGGTTTCTATATGTTCTCTGTGTCAGTGTTTGGAATACTACTGGTGACATTTTCTGGAAGCACTGACTCTTGACTAAGGTTGAAATAGAGGCAATGTAGAGTAAAAGGAAAGTTCTTTTAAATGGTCAATATTTTAACAATAGTCTTTTTCATTTTTTTACCTAGCAGTCTTTTTCATTTTAATAAATATAAATGGAGTTTGTGGTTCTTTAGTTTTAAGCATACAACATTTAGGCAAAGATCACAGATTTAATCTCAGCTCTCAGCTTTGCTATAATCCTTAATCCCACCAATTATCTAGCACATGAGTGTTCTTTGGCATAAGTATGAGTGGATAGACGTGGATGGATCAACATAAATCCATATCTTATGGAATATCAACTCAACAGACTGTGTGCCCTACTACCATAGCATCGTCTTCCTACCCAGAAGCCAGCCAGCATCATCCTCAGTAAGAGTGACTACAGAACTTTGAGCATATTTGTGTGGATTTGATTTATAAACAAACCAAAAATGTTGGAAAATGAATATTGAAAAAAATTGTCCTTGGGGGCATTAATTTTTGGTAATGAAGTTACCAGAGGCTTATTGATAAGATGTAGGAGGTTTAAATGTAGTCTCTGACTTAAAATTTCTTGGGTTTACTGTCATAAATGTTTTCGAGGTCCAGAGGTAACTAACTCTCCATTAAGGTCTAGTGATTGCTTATATGTTAAGATAATTTAAATTTATTGAAGAATATCTCCACATCCCAGTGAAGCTTAAGTTTAGGAAAGCTAAGTTCTTGGAGTAAGATGAAAATTTCAATTGGAAATTAAACACACAGGTCCTGGCTTTGCTAGAATGTGTTCTCTCCTTAAAGTCTCCTGGGAGGTGAACACTGAATTTCTCTCTGAGCTGTTTCAGGGTTATCTGTTTTCCTATTTAACTCACTTAGACTAAATGTAAGTTAAGCGAATTTTATATTAAAAAGGTTAATTAACTTTGAAACCCATATGAAGCAACAGATGTGCTATACATAGTGTGGCTTTTGTAGTTATCATTTTCAGTATGATTTTTGTATCTTAATTTCGCTAAATATTTTTAAATCATGTTTTTTATATATAGGTCAGGTACTTTTTCCTTAGTGCTGTTTTCTTGTAATTAAAAATTTCCTTTCATACTGTCATTTAATCAGATAATCTGCAATTACTTATGTAGAAAATAATTGTGGTATTACTGACCCCCTCCTAATAATTCTCTTTAGCTCTTTTATATTCTATCATTGACTTTCCAAGAAATATCTTTAAGATGCTTATTCTGTTTACATTAAAACATTTTGTGTTAACAAATGCAAGTAAATTGACTTACAAGAATTTTTTAAATCAGAAGATACAGAAATAACTTATAACTTAGACCGGGGGGAATGCATGTTATATGGTGTCAATTATGTATTTGATTATTACTAACACTTTTTTAGGTTATAGAAGTAGTAATTGGCTGTGTTGCTGTAGTAGATGAAATAACTTGGATAGGTTTTTATTAATGTGAGAAGTGAAACTATAATTTGGGCACTTCTATATAGTTTATATAGATTTTATATTTTAGAACAGGTTCTAGGAAACAGGAAGTTAAGCATTTGCCCCCATTATAATACTTAGAATGTTACTACACGATCATAATTATACTTTGTACATTAGGCAGAAAGTCTGCTGTATTAGTAGAACAAATAAGGCTTCTTGATGACAAATTTAAAATAGTATTCCATTTAAGATTTTTTTCCCAGTTTTTAGATTATTTTGGTACTTAACACATTCCTATTTTTGAGCAACATTAAAAGATGGTTAAGGTTCTAAGTCTCCACTATATAGTATAATCCCTACTATATACTATACACCCCCTACCCCAAGTTCAGTGTCATAGTCACTGGCCACTGAAAAATAAGTTCCTTAATTGCACTAGCCACATTTCAAGTGCTCATTAGCTGTCCTTGTAGAAAATCCTATTGGACAGTGCTGCTCTGAAGGGTAGTAGTGATATTTTTTGAGTGTTTAAATACTAATATGTAATGTTTGGTCTAGTCCTTGAATATTAAAGCTTTGCATATTATGTTTGACTTTAATGTGTTAATTGCATACCCTGGGTTACCATGAAAAACTGGAAACATGTTTTTTTTTTTTTTGATGCAAACTCTTGATGATACTTAAGAGGTTAAGAAAATCCTGATTCGTTCCATTTTAAATATACTTTACATTTAATAAATGTGAGTATGAAATTAATAGTAAAATTACTATTTATTAATGAAGTTTTGACATACTTGCAGCTCATTTGATAATCCTGTTGAAGAAGAAAGTATTACCTCAGGAAAAAACTTAATTGTATCTAAAGTAAATTTATATTAAACATCAAGGTTGCTATATTAAAATTCCTTTTAGGGCAAGACGCGAGTTTAACAAAATACTACTGAGGTTTGAATGACATTTCATCCTTGGGATAAATGATGAGGTGTTTAGGTTATCTGCTTAACTCAATAAAGGCTTAAAGAAAAAGTACGAAGATAACGTTTTCAGAAGAATGCATGCACAGATTGGTATATTCATTTGGTTTCCATTTGGAAAGAATTAATTCTAGAAACGTTGAAGGTTTCAGAGCCATCTTAACTACTTTTTTGACTGTATAGTTGGGAACTTGGGATCAGATCTTGGGATGGTGGGTAGATAAATTTTCCTCAGTATCTCCTCTTCAGATTTTTTAGAATAAAAACCTGTTATTTTACCTAAACACTAACAGGTTTATAAAGACTGCTGTCAAACCCAAAGTAATTCTGGCACAGCTAATGAATAGTATTGGAAATACATTTGGTGGCCTGCAAAAATTACATCAGTAATCCTACTTTCAGTTTTAGGAAACATGCAAGGTAGGCCAAAGGAGTATAAGCTATTGACATGAAATAGCTGGGTTCCTGTTCAAAGCCCTGGCAGTTGGTCAGGATTGTAATAGAAGTGAAAAGTGAATTTACTAAATTTTTCAGTGTTTCAGTCTGATTTAGATTATTTTTTATAGGCCCCAGAAAACTCTTAGTGTGCGTAAATTACTAAATTGACTTAAGAAATTAAAATCTCTTCCATGAGATCTATAAATTGTCTCATAAACAGTTACAGAATGAAGTCAGTTTCATTTTGCTTCATTTTTAAGAAAGCAGCATACAAGAATCTACTTTGGTACTTATGTGGAAAAGATATTTTGCTAAAGGAGTACTAGGTGATTGATTCAGCAAAATAACTAGAATGATGGAGTGATTAAAGGAGTCCTAAAGGTAGGAAAAGGAAGATAAGTAATCATACATGAGAGGAATACACTCTCATAGTCATACACCTTCCTCTACTGTGTAAAGTCTTGTTTTTAAAGAAAGTATTTCATAGGCATTACTCAAATTGTAGGTAGCCTTATGAGTTGTTATAACAAAACACTTAGCTGTTAAAACTTTACTGACATCCTTGTATTTGTTGTATCCATGTAGTACCTTTTAGTCACTCTTTGAATATGAGAATAAAACCTTCCCATGTCAAAAAAGCATTTTTCCAAAAAAGAACTTTTTTTGGGTGAGATAACTAGAAAATATTAATGGGTTGAGTTGTGTTAGAAGAAAGAATTGGAGTGTTGACAGAAATTGACCTGATCTCTTAATGTTAGAACAAAATACATCAAATACTTACTTGATGGATTTTTCCTTCCGTGGTTGAGCCTTCACATATCTGACAAATTGGGAATTAAGAAACATTTTAAAAAGTTAAGCCATAAAGTCACCTCTTAGCATAGTTTTTACAGGTAGAATATGAGCTTTGAAAAGGAGTATCTAAGATATTGCAGTGTATCTTTAGTTTTAATTTGTTATTGTTATGTACTGCCATGGAAATAATAGGAAATATTTTAACTTTGATCATAAATGTATATAAACTGAAAACTAAAGACTTATTTATTAATATAGTGAATATTGAGTTCTTAAGACCAAACTATATCTATGAACAATTGCCAGAAGGTGAAAATATATGCAAACGAGTTAGAGTACAGGCAGATCCATTTATGTGAGTCTAGGTTTCCTGCTTGCTCATTCAGGAATCTTGCTTACTGCTTCTGAAGTCTGCTGATGAAATGTAGTAGGGTAAAGTGAGAACTGCTAATGGGCATAAAATCAGTAATTAAAAAATAGTTCAATAAATTATATTTATAGTACTATAAACAGCTATTTTGTTAGTGAATGCTAGGGAATTTTAAGTTCTTCATGGAACTTCCTGTGATCTTAATTTGATGCAGTAGAAATACAAAATTCAGATTTTGGGTTGAGTTCAACTGCTGCCTCTGATGCATTATAACTTACCTTAAACAGTCTTGTCAGCTCTCCAAGGTTATGTTATTTTTTGGAGTCTTCTGACTTTACAGAATTATTAACATGTGATACTGTTACTTTGTTGTTGACATTTAGCAAGTAAAGATACCGACCAATTTTCAGATTGTAGGGATTCTATTGTAATTTGAGATAATTATCTATGTTTTCTTTCTTAGCCTGTGGACATCTCTACAGCAATGAGTGAGCGGGCACTTGCTCAGAAAAGACTCAGTGAAAATGCATTTGACCTTGAAGCCATGAGCCTGTTAAATCGAGCTCAGGAGCGGGTATGTAACAGTTTTCATGTATAAATGAGAATTTCACTAAACAGATGTTTGTGACAGAAGCATAATTGGTGGCATGTTGTTGAAATGTTGATCCTTATCTTGAAAATCCAAGGAAATAAGTCATTTATCTTAATTAGGTAGCTTTGTTATTAAATAGAAGTGATTTTGGGGCCTGATCATTGATATGCTAATATTTATTGTGTACTATGTAAGCAGGAACTGTTTCCTGAGAGAATAAAATAGAGAAAATACCCTTGTCTCATAGAGTTCATAATCTGGTGTATAAAAATAGTAGCTATGTGCCCTTAAAAGCCCTGTGAGATGTAGCTACTAATATGAATTCCTGTTTTCCAGCTGAGAAACTGAGATAGAGTGTGGTTAATTGGTGGCCCATGTTCCTAAACTAGTAGGTGGGGGAACTGAGATTAAAACTCAGGAAATCTGAGTCCAGAGTCTATGCTTCTAACAATGAACAGCTACTCTGCTTGTCCTCTACCTTTCTGTGGTAGATGTATGTACAAACATTAAGTAGATGTTCAGACAAATAAGAAATACATTGCCTGACGGTACCAGGTGTTTAGTAAATACACTTTGAAAGAATGACAACTGATTCTTTAACCATCACCATAAATGCTGGTGTGATTAATGTAGTGCACAAGTTTTAAAGAAAGCTGATTTATGTATTTGAATAATTTGCTGTTATTATTCCTTAAGCATATATCATGAGTTTGTTCTGGATTTATAATACCTCAAGGAAAGTAGTTAAGAACTCAGGCTGTCATGACATTTATTAGAATGTATTTATATAAGATACCTCAAGTGGGAGGGGAGGGGATCATCCTTTGCTTTATAAGCTCTTTCTGTGTTTCACGTATCCATGTGATACTTTGAAGAATGAATATTAGTTACGGTTTTCAGTTATTAGAGATCTCAAATCTTGTTATCAGTGGGATCTACTGAATGTTACCAGCCTCTTTGGAATGTTTAGAAAAACAGTTTTAAATGTGTTTAAATTTAGTATATTTTTTTTAAAGTTGACTATTTAAATCTGTTATTCAGCATTTTCAGGTACTAAAACCATTTCATTTAGTGAATTAAGTCAGTATCAGTGGCATTTTAATTAGATAAGTAATTTTACTTAGTTAATTGAAGCATCTTCTTTTCTTCAGATTGATGCTTGGGCTCAGCTGAACTCTATTCCTGGCCAGTTTACAGGAAGTACGGGAGTACAGGTTCTGACTCAAGAACAGTTGGCTAATACTGGTGCCCAAGCCTGGATTAAAAAGGTACAGAATATAGGCACATACAAAAGTGTCCAAGTACAAAGTTAAAATAAAAAAAATATTTTATTAAAAATGCACAAAGAAGCCAGTGACTGTAACCTAAGTTCATGAGTAGACTTGTTATGTGCATATACTCCAGGATGGATACTGAAGATGGACCTGACTCATGAGATAATGGCAAATGTATAAATGTGGCTTAAGAGCTGCTCATTTTGTATCCTGAGGTTATGTTTTTTATTGCTGCTGGTTTTTGTGGGGGTGGTTTTTAAAACTATTTTGAATGCTAGTAGTGTATCCCAGGTGCTGTTCAGAATATTCCACAGTTCCTGTTAAACTGTTGATCTAATGGTTTCAAAGCAGTGGTTCTCAAATTTTTTCTCATCATGGGATACTTTATTACAGGTTTACTTTTGGTGGATTACTGCCCCCAAGAGCTCTCTACTACCCTAATTTTCCATTCCTCTATTCCTTTGCCCTTCTCTCCCCTTCCTTAGTGCTTGCACTCTCCTGTAAGTTCCTTGGCCTCTATTCTTCACCCTTCTTGTCATCTCTAGCCCCAGATCCCTATGGTGGTCAGCTATTGGTTACAGCAAGTGGTTGGGAGGCCCCAGCATTCACATTGCATGTGGTGTTCTTGCCATGGGACTGGATGGCTGGGGGAGGATGGCTAGAGTGTGGGGTGGGCACTGCTGAAGGGATGAAGGGGCTGGATGGGGATGGAGAATACTATCTGGACCACCATTTAGGCCTTGGTGGCCTCTGGTGATCCATAGGCTCCATTTGAGAACCACTGATCTCAATGAAAACAGGACATATAAGACCTAAATTCAAGGGAGAGGATGGACGCCCCATGCTGTGAAGATGTAGGTGCTCCTGGTTTCAGATTCCTGCAGTGAGACCTGTGAACTCCATCTATGGCTGCCTCGTTTTGGGGAGAGTCTTAGGTGGTTAAGAACGGCTTTCTGAAGAAACGTGTTCTGGTGAAAGGGGTGTTGCTTGATTGGATGGGTGATGGGAAGTTTGTTTCAGGAATACTGGCAGCATAGCAGTGCCGAAACTGGGAGGCTGCATGGTCTAGTGGACTGGGAAGGTTTCTTATCCTGCTAAACTCCTGACTCCTTTTGTGATCATGGGCAAGTAATTGGAATTTCAGTTTTCCCATTGTCTCAGGAAGACAGGTCCTTATTACTGTTTCACAGGGTGTGATAATCTATAGTGTGATGGGTTCCTATAGAGAATTGCCATGAGTAGCCAGTGAAAGAACAGACTTTCTGAAAAATGAGATTTTGGTTGCTTTAGACCTTTAATCTCGTAACATTTATTTCAGTTTTGATAGTTATCTCTGGTGATCTTTTTCCTAATAAAATGTATATTTTCACTTTTCTTGCCATTTTTAGGGAAATAGTTGGACTAGTAAGTGTATAGTGAGTACATGGTCAGATTCATTAAAAAATAATGTATTTTACTAGAGTAGGGGATAATGTTAGGAAAAATATGAGAATCTAGCAAAATATTTTAAAGGTTGAATCAAGTTTGGACTTAATTACAGTATTTAAAATATTAGTGACTTGTAGTATTTGAAAAATGGCTTCCATATCACTGGGAGAATTATAAATGTACATCTACTTTAACAGTTTTAATTTTTAATACTGTTTAATCTTGAAGCTTGAGTACTCTCTCAGTTAGACTTGAAACTTATATGGCTGTTTAGGCACTTATATGGCTGTTTAGGCACATAAAAATTAAATAGTCATGTACATTACTAGATAGAAACTTCTGAATGTAATTCCATGACAAGATTTTGGGCTTCACGTGCCAATCCGGAATGTTTGTATACTTAAATTCCATGTTAACATAACTTTAAAAAGTGAATCGTACTGATTCAACTGGTTCCCCATAAATCTTCCTTTTTTTAAAAATTTCCAGTCTTCTAGGTGCTTGACAGATTTTAAATAATTTAATCATTTAAAACATTAGTATAAATCATTGTGATAAATTAGCTTGAGACAAAGATGTGTTTATTCATCAGACCAAATCTTAAAATAATTACAGAAGGAAGCAGTGCTTTCAGGAAAACTTCCATTTGTATGTTACTGAAGAATGTTTGCTACTAATTTAAAGGAAGGAACATTTTGTTAATAAAAGCCAGAACATGTGGAAAAGTAGGCAACTGAAAATTTAACATTTATTACAAAACTATCTACTAGCTGTGTTTAGGAAACCTTTTCTAATGATGGTTTGGCTTTTTCTTGCCTTGCAGTAGCCCAGTGCACTCCTTGTATGTTAAACCCACACGAAATGCTAGCATTCTCTGTATTCTTAGTTTGTTGCAGTATATTCTTAGATGAAGAGTAATGGGAGTTTATCATTATCATTCGTGTTTAAAATTAAAAAATTTTTAAGTGGTTATTTAAAAGAACCTTTATTTTCTGGAAGGGAAATGATTTTTGGACATTACCTGATGAATATTGTGTACTATTGTAATCTTATTAATCAGCTTTTTTGGTGAACTGTTTACACACTGTGGTAAAGAAACAGATAAAGGTATTAGAGAATGGAAACAAAATTGGAAACCTGGGTTATCTGGGGATTTGTATTATACTCTGCACAGCTGCCCTTTTTTTTAGGAGTGTTTCCTGGAAAAGAGGGGCGGATGAACCTGAAGTAAGTAAAAGTCATCCTAGGTGTGTAGCAACAAGGCAGTTGATACCCAAGCATCAGCTAACTTTCCTCTTTATACATCAACACTGCATGGCCTGCCCCAAATAAGGAACTGAACCAGGGGTATGTTTTTACCTCCACAGCTGCCTCCTTCCATCAGAGCACCTTGTTGAACTTAATGTCTAGTCACACATCATTGGCATGTTTTCTTCCCAGCATATAACTTTAAAAGCTGGGAAAAAAATAAGATTATACAGTTTTACTTCTGTGTAAAAACAATACTTTAAAAATTTAGTATTAACTTATCAATACAGGAAATGATTAATGCATACTATACTACCAAAATTTTTGACTCCCTCTCTTGGTAAGTTAATGACTTGTTGCTCTATATTTGCTAGAGAATGTAAATCTAAAATATAATAAGGGGAAATAAAGCATGATTTGGAGATGTATGTTATCACTGTTTAAAACATGGCCGTAAAGATCAAAAGTAGAATTCAACATTTTGTTATATACATGGGTGCCCTTTAGAGAGAGGTACTGCATGTTTCTTAATGTGTGAAAATAATTATTGATCATGCTAATGTATCTATAATTGTGCATCTTATGACATTAAGTGGTTTGCTGCTTTGATGGAAATTACGGTTCAGTGGGTTGGATACAAGAGAGATGACTGTTCACAGAATAACCTGTGAACTTTCACCCCTCTGTATGGAAACTTGTTTCAGGGCCAAATCCTTGTAGCTGTCTTCTTGCCCCGGTCAGTGCCAGCCCTACTATTCACAACACTGCTGCTACCGAGGCCTAGGTATGTAAACGTTTAAGGAGTTTTTTAAAAGTCTTTTAACATCAAGCTAGGTTTTAAAAGAATTCACCTCCAGGTTAAAGGGTTATCTTTTTGCTTCATAGGGATTTTCTAAGTAAAATATTTATACTTGCTTTATTGGTAGAATGGGAAAGAAAACTTTGGATAATGACGATATGTTTCTTCAGTGTCCAAACTATTTCTGAATGATTTCTGGGCTTTATTCATGAACTAGGTACACCTGGGACAATTAATATTGACTGTTTTAACATTGCCTTCTTTTTATTTTGCAAGCTAAGAAGAGGTACCAGTGAACCTAAATAGTGGACGAAAACAGGAGTGTTCTAATTTTTTGGGGGGTGGGGGGCATGAGGGCCACTGTTTTAAAATTGCCATTTATTCGCTGTATTTGACTTTCAAAATACTATTATGTTAATGTGAAAATAATTAGAACATACACACTGCAGTATGTGTAGAAGAATAGAAGCATTGAAATTTTATTGCTAAAATATAACAAATCTAGAAGTAAAATAAGATTTCTTTTTTAAAAGTTACACTGCATTTATAGTCAAATTCTAACTGTAAAATGGGGACATTTTACCTTTCTTTCTTTGGATAGGATCAATTCTTAAGAGCAGCCCCAGTAACTGGAGGAATGGGAGCCGTTTTGATGAGAAAAATGGGATGGAGAGAAGGAGAAGGATTAGGAAAAAACAAAGAAGGAAATAAGGAACCTATCCTAGTTGATTTTAAGACAGACCGAAAAGGTAACAAGGTTTTTTGGGAATGCTAATTATACCTCCTTTAACATTTAGAATTTCATTATTTCATACATTCTTTTGATGTCAGCAGTCTTGAAATGGAGGCCCCTCATCTGGTTTATATACAGCTGTTTGTTAGAAAAAATAAGTTGAGCCCATTTTTAGCAGCTTACATAAATACAAGTTGAGTTTTTAAAAGGTAACCTTTGTTGTTGAATATTATGGAAATGTGGGGCATATATCTCTATGATTAAAATTTTTAGATTTCTTGTTTAGAAAATGGAATTTTCATTTTGTTTTCTCTTGACAGGAAATATAATGCTTGTATTTGTTTCTAGGATTTGTTTATTTTTTCTTTCTCAGTTAGTTTATCCTACATGATTCTTATTTCTTACTGGAGTGCTGTTTGGTTTTCACTTTACACAACGCAAATTTTTGCACATCCTTCTTTTCAAGCTCAGTAATTGAGTGCGCTTAGATTAGGGCTGGAGAATATTAGCCCAACTGGTGACCTTTCCCTCTTCATATTGCCTTGAGTTTGGAGCACGTTGGAACTTTTCTCTGCCTGTATTTCGCTGTTGTCCTCAGATACCTGGGGGTCTATCTATAGCTTGCATGTAGTTGCTAAGTATTAAAAATTTAAAAGATACTTAGTGCCCACTGATAATAGCCAATTGGTTATCTTTTAAATAATTTCTTACCTTGGAATAATGGGCTAAGTAGAATTCTTGATCACATGCAGCTGCCAGCTTGTGATTTCAATAGTTTGTCTAAGTTTGATTTTTAAAAACTAGAATTTATTTTCCTTGTCTTTGTAATAATAAAGGTAAGTTGAAGGTAATGCATTTTAAATTACTGTCTTAATGAATTTGGCTCTAGCTAAATTAATATATTTACAAAATGTTTGCATCAGAATTTCTACTTTGTTATCCACATAGAATATTCTGTTGCCTTTTCTTAAACAATGATACTCAGAAATAGTATTTTTTATGCTGTAGTAGCATTAATTCAGACTTTAAGTCACTGATTATGTCACATTGACATATTGCTTATACAAGTAGTTGAATAGATTCTGTGTGTCATAAAACGTAGTTTCTTGGAAGAAAACATCTGTAGATGCATTGCTTAATTCCAGGGAATATTCTCTTTGGAATTGTACCTCCTTTAACATTTAGAATTTCATTATTTCATACATTCTTTTGATGTCAGCAGTCTTGAAATGGAGGCCCCTCATCTGGTTTATATACAGCTGTTTGTTAGAAAAAATAAGTTGAGCCCATTTTTAGCAGCTTACATAAATACAAGTTGAGTTTTTAAAAGGTAACCTTTGTTGTTGAATATTATGGAAATGTGGGGCATATATCTCTATGATTAAAATTTTTAGATTTCTTGTTTAGAAAATGGAATTTTCATTTTGTTTTCTCTTGACAGGAAATATAATGCTTGTATTTGTTTCTAGGATTTGTTTATTTTTTCTTTCTCAGTTAGTTTATCCTACATGATTCTTATTTCTTACTGGAGTGCTGTTTGGTTTTCACTTTACACAACGCAAATTTTTGCACATCCTTCTTTTCAAGCTCAGTAATTGAGTGCGCTTAGATTAGGGCTGGAGAATATTAGCCCAACTGGTGACCTTTCCCTCTTCATATTGCCTTGAGTTTGGAGCACGTTGGAACTTTTCTCTGCCTGTATTTCGCTGTTGTCCTCAGATACCTGGGGGTCTATCTATAGCTTGCATGTAGTTGCTAAGTATTAAAAATTTAAAAGATACTTAGTGCCCACTGATAATAGCCAATTGGTTATCTTTTAAATAATTTCTTACCTTGGAATAATGGGCTAAGTAGAATTCTTGATCACATGCAGCTGCCAGCTTGTGATTTCAATAGTTTGTCTAAGTTTGATTTTTAAAAACTAGAATTTATTTTCCTTGTCTTTGTAATAATAAAGGTAAGTTGAAGGTAATGCATTTTAAATTACTGTCTTAATGAATTTGGCTCTAGCTAAATTAATATATTTACAAAATGTTTGCATCAGAATTTCTACTTTGTTATCCACATAGAATATTCTGTTGCCTTTTCTTAAACAATGATACTCAGAAATAGTATTTTTTATGCTGTAGTAGCATTAATTCAGACTTTAAGTCACTGATTATGTCACATTGACATATTGCTTATACAAGTAGTTGAATAGATTCTGTGTGTCATAAAACGTAGTTTCTTGGAAGAAAACATCTGTAGATGCATTGCTTAATTCCAGGGAATATTCTCTTTGGAATTGCACAACATGGCCTGGGTTTGGGAAAGCATACTAGCAGAATTAGCAAAGAAGTGGTTGCATTTCCGCTAGGATAAATGGAAATTGGGAAAGCACTGACTTCAGATAGTAATATTGCTCAGTCCTTTTGGAAAGGGAGATGGTATGAAGTGAGACTGTCTTTTGAGAACATCTGATGTTTGACAAGTCAGAAAGGGCTGGTTTGCTGGGGGAAAAAATGGACCCATTTAATCCAGAGACAACCCTTCTCGTTTCTTTTAAAGGGATGGGGAACCTTTGGAACTCTCGTGCAATAAATAGCCACTACTTTTCAAACTTACAAAGAGACATCTGGAGTTACTGATAATTGTGGTGCTTTAATATGTAATTCAGAAAACATAAGAATTTAATGTGTGAACATTTGATTTCCAATACTGAGGTATATAAAGTATAGATTTATATATTGAAACACAGTAAAATAAAGTCAATATTGATAAATCAAGGGTAGTGGGATTTTGAGTAATACTTATTTAAAGGCATGGATTGAGGTTCAGGTTTCTACAGAAGGAAATCATTGTTTTGCTATATTATAATTTAAAATGATGCTTTGAAATTTATCCAGTGAATATTGGCTTTTTTTAAAGGTCTTGTGGCTGTAGGGGAAAGAGCACAAAAGAGGTCTGGGAACTTCTCTGCTGCAATGAAAGATTTGTCAGGTAGGGGCACACTTTTTAATTTGCTCCTGCTCCATCCTTGCAATGACTTAATTTATTGCCACAGATGGAAATAACTGGTTATTTTTTTCCTTTGCAGGCAAACATCCTGTGTCTGCCTTGATGGAAATCTGTAATAAGAGAAGGTGGCAACCACCTGAATTTCTCTTGGTCCATGATAGTGGCCCTGATCATCGCAAACATTTTCTCTTTAGGGTAAATATGAATTTGTGAATTAATTGTATACTTTTATTTGATGACTTAGTGTTAGAGGGAGAGGGATAAGCATTATATGATCACAGGATTAATATATTTGTGGGTTGGGAGTGTATATATATATATATATATGTACAGATAGAGTGGTGTGGGATTTAGAAACACTGAAGTGTGCTTTAGTAGGACCTGTAAATACCCTCTTTTAAAAGTATGTTATGGGGAAAGATGTGGGCAGAATCTGGTGAACAGTTCTAGTGGAACATGGGGAATTAAATCAGTCTTACCAAGACTTTTTTTCTTCCAATTTGGAGACCTGCTCTTAATTTGCAGCCCCTTTTCCCAAATTATGTGCTGCTTTCGGGTTGTAATTAGCTTGACTTACCATAGTATGGGTTTTGTATTTTTGTAAACTATTAGCATTTAGTGAAAAAATACAAAGCTAATAGATATTAAAGTTTGATGCTGTTCTTATTGTATGTTTTTCTTGAATAGGTATTGAGAAATGGAAGCCCTTACCAGCCCAATTGTATGTTTTTCTTGAATAGGTATTGATAAATGGAAGCGCTTACCAGCCCAGCTTTGCCAGCCCTAATAAGAAGCATGCTAAAGCCACAGCAGCTACTGTGGTTCTTCAAGCAATGGGCCTTGTACCAAAGGACCTCATGGCTAATGCCACTTGCTTCAGGAGTGCCTCACGTAGATAGATTGAGGTTTTATATTAATCATTTCAGATAATTTTACTCTGCATCAAAATGTATTTCCTCTTTAATGTTGTAAATATTTGGCAATTTAAGACATTGTGTAAAAAGCAATCTGTACAAACATCTCCAGGCTTTGATTTTTGTACCATGGAAATTGTATTTAACCATACAGGGTTTTGGTATGTTTATATTGTTTACCTTAGTGATGTATTTGTTTAAGTGGCTAACATCCAAACGATTGTTTGAAGGCATCCGTAATCTTCAGTGTGGAATGTTAAATGACGCTTTTATACTGTATTTTGTACTATGATGTAACTTCCCTTCCTTATGGCTAGGCTGCTGTAACACTTGCCTGTAATCAGTGAAGGGCTGTGCACCTTGTACTAGTTCACAATGGGTTCTGCTGGACAGATACTGGGCCAGTGTTATTTGAGGTAATCAAGCAAGATCTGTTCCACAGGGCTAATGCCACCATCTCCCCTTAAAATTTTGTAGAGGATATAAAAAGAAAATGGTATAGTTGTGTGATGATCAGCACCAAGTCCTGCGTTTCCGTCAAAGCCACTTGGGCCACAAGGGAGTTAAAATGAAGTCCGACTAGAATTCTACTGCAGAGGCCAAGTACATTTAGTATGGCATTGAGTTGTGATATAGTTTACTTTGATGTGCATTTTGAATTTCAGCTACACCTAGATAGACGTAAAATGGTAATTAAAATGCTGTAACCAACTTATCTAATAAAATCGGCATCCAGCCACTATTTTGTTGACTATGAGAAAGTTTAAGTTTATGTTAATTTTTAGGGACTGATAGAATATTTCATGTGTATTACAGTGGTATTCATATGTTATGTCTCTAAACTTTATTTTCAAAAGCTTAAGGCCCAAATATAAACTTCTCTGGAATAAATGTGGTGTTTTATTTTCTGGATTATCAAGTGAACACACATACTTCTTCACTAAGTGCTATTATTTCTTTACCCAATGCTTTTGTTATCTAAGCACTTTTATTTGAGAAAATTTATATATACACATGCACACGTACACATACACACACACACACACACACACACACCCAGAACATTAAATTCTGTACCATAAGAGTATAATTAACAGTTTGTAGTGTTCTTCTGTGTGGAATACAAAATATCCTTATCTGGATTAACATGCATTATAAAAAACAAGTTTAATATATTTGAGAATAGAGGAATTGTAAATTAGTAGGAAAGCAGCTATGGGTAGAAGCATCAACAGCCAGTTCCATACATGTTGACTACGTTTGTTTTCTACCTTCATAAAACTAGAACCTACTTAATTGTTTTGCCCTACAAATACAGTTTTGCCCTAATGCCATTAGTCAGAATGCCATGAGACAGTTGATACTAAGTCAGCCTCAATTTCCCATTTGCAAAGAAACAGTTTTCTGCTTGTTTTATAATTATATTCTAGGGAATCTAAAATTTTCATTGAGTTTTTAAAGAAGTTGTAGTACTTTCATATCTGACTCTTACCAAAATGGTAAAACTTTAAAACCTCAATCCTATTGCTTAATGTGTGTAATAAAAGTTAATGTAATAGATTAACATTTTAAACATTTTAACACTTTTAAGGTAATTAATGTTCATTTAACTTCCAAAATGAACTTTAAAGCCAAAGGTATAAGAATCTTGAATTTCCTTGCTAGAAGGCTTTTTTCCTCAAAGATTCCTTTTAGGCTTACTTTGATATTCAGGATCTCCAATTATAAATGTAGTCACTCATTTCCACATGCCGTAAAGATGATTTCCCCAATATTGGTACTTGACTAAGTTGATCCAGAGTTTTAGGGTGCAATCCACAGTTGGCAAGCTCCTCAGGAGTGGTCTCCTGTGGAAATTGGTATACAAAGTTAGCAAAAAGCACATCAGTCTTTGAATAAGAACTTTTAATAATTACCACAGAACTTTGACAAAAGCTTTGTAAGATAAGGGCAATAAACTATCGAGAAAACTTTGCGTAGTGACAAATACTAATTTTGGTTGTTTTTATAACTGGCAGACTAAAGTGTAAGGCAAGTTTAAAGGTCTTACCACCTCTTGAAAACCTACACATACCCAAAATTAAAGGAAGAAATGTGGCTAAATACCATAATTACAGTAAAGGGATCACTATAAATTCTGGATCAGAGGACAATGAAGGTAACTCTCTTCTTCTGTTTAGTTACTATTGAGTATGATAGCCTCAATTCACAAAATTTACCTCAAAAGCAATATAGACACGCCTTCTCAGTAATTATAATTGATTACTTGATTTTTGAGTAATACAGGTAACTTGAAAAACAAGTTTGGCTGCATATATTAATTACTTCCCCTAGTTTGAGAAAATTTCATAGCTGTTTACTTACCTTATCCAGTACTTTTTCTATTGGTGGGCAGATATTAAATACAGCAGTTGGCTCATGTGTATACAGTCCTGCAGAAAATGACCCACTCTGTGAAGATTTGAGTAGCATGGTCACTGAATGTAGAGAATGAGGCATGATAGGACCTGTAATCTCCAAACTAAATTGATCCTTGTATCCAGAATAAGTTTGTGTCTTCACATTTACACTTCGTGCCTTCAAAAAAATTCAAAGAAATTGTGTCATCTCAAGCTTTTGTCCCTAACAATGTGTTCAAGAACTAGATTTTCCTCTCTTAATAATTAGGGAACAGAAGCAGTTCATAAGACACCAAAAGAATGTTACGTGACTAAGATACTTATATCACAGTCTCCAGCATCCTCCAACTCAAGAGAACAGTATACAATATCCTTTCTCATTGATGGATGCACTTTCATTGGAGGATATAGAGAAAACTCAATTCTGTTGCTGTTAACATTCAGTATATTGTATTTACACACATTTTTAACAATCTGGATATAATTACTTTTCTCACATCCATGATGCAGGTTCTATCTCCTGTAATTTAATCTCACATTGTTGGCTCTGTTTTATTGGTTGAGACAAAATGAGATTAGGCAACTTTTCCTTAGGATGGCGAAGAAGGAAAGTAATACCAAAATGGTTTTGTTGCCAATTACCCTATTTATAATGATAAAAAAATTATACATAAAACATTTCACTTAATTCATATATTTTCATGTAGTTCCTTGTTTGTAACTTCTATCAAGGAATATTTTTTTACTGGGAAGAAAGCAAAAAACATGTATCATGTAAAAATGGTAGATGGTTACTGAAAGCAAATCAAGAATTTATCCTATTAAAAAGATAAGCACTTGTTAAAAAGCTAGGTTTCGAGGATTCGTATATATAGAATATATATATATTTTAATTACCTTCAGCATTTGCATTGTGGCACCCCGAAAAGCTATAGGGGATAAGAGGGTTGGTGGAAGTCCTGCCTGTGGACCCGAGGTAGCAGTTAAGCTCCTACAGTTGATCAAAAAATTTAGTAATGTGAAAGTGTTCATTCCCTTCACCAACACAACAGACTCGGGCCTGTGATCCATTTGCACTTCATGTTTCTCTCTATGCCTGAAAATGACCATCAAGGAAATGGCAAATGCAAATCCCACACCAATGGGAAATGCAAGTCATTCTGATTCTGAATCACCTGGGGCCCTTTTCCCCCATTCCAACCTGTAAATGCTCTTGCTACCTCTTCACTGCAATTACAAGGCATGTTTAAATCACAAGGATTTCTCTGAACATCTGAATTTGTTAGGAATTGACACCTAACTAAAATTATCTTCTTCAGTCAAAAATGTTTTCTCCAGGAGCTTACAGAAAATGGGATGTTTTTACTTAAAAAAAAAAAAAGTTAATAGTAACCGTTCATGGCTTGTTGATACGGGTTTTTGAAAGTCATGACAGAATAGTTTTAGTATGATCTTAAGATAATTCAAGATTATAGTCAAAACTGCCAATTATTATAGTGCTCACTAACTCCATTAAATGGAAAACAGTTCTAGTTAAAGGCAACTAAAAGGATACATCTTGATAGACAGCATGTCTGGTTTTTTAATTTTATCTTGCACACCCATCTCTTCCAGCCAGGAAAAACTTTCTTCTTCATCCTCATCACTGATTACTTGCTCCCTAGGAAATTGGCAGTTAGAGCTCCCAATTCATAAAGCTGTTTCCTTTAAAAATCATTGCACTGAGTCTGTAAGTCACTAGACAACATAAAAGGTTAGATTAGCCACATACTCCTCATGTCCCAGGCTTGTTCCAGATGCTTTTTTCTTCTCATGGCCATTTTCTTTTAATAAAGGCAAGGAAAACTCAATACCTACACGAGAAAAGAAAAATGTCACCGAGCTTTCTTTAACATGACCTAAAAGAATTTAACAGGTGTGCTCTTTTAGAAACTATGAAATTTGAAAATGTTGAGTTTTTATATTTCATCTACTAAGTAGCTTTCAAGCTTTCTTGACAGCAGCCCATCTCACACACACACACACACACACACACACACACACACACACACACTCACTCACACACACCCCTTGAAACGAGGTGGTTCAGGAAATAATACACTCTTACTACATGTGGTACTCTTTCATAAAGTATATTCTACTCTCCATTTTTAAAAAGGTGCCAACTGAGTCCACTAAATAGATTTTGTGATCCACTCATGTGCTGACCCAGTTTAAAATCTGTTATTTTTAAAAGGGTGTAGGTAATTTGTACTATAAAGGAATATATATTATAATATTAATAATATTATAGAGAAGTATAATCAGATTGGGAATTTTCAGCCCAATATGTGTTTAGAGATCAGAGAAAGGAACATCATTTAAAGAAATGTATAAAGGACAGCTTAAATAACTGTTGGGAAAAATTAGAAATGAAGAAGTAAGACATTTCTTAATACAGGTAAAACTGGTAAAAGACAATTCAGCTGGTAAAAGACCATTCGAATTTTAGCTTTCAAGGAAAGCATTTACTATATAGTATGGTCGTCTCATTTTAAACCTATAGTTTTACCTTCATTTTTCATAGCTTCTCTGATGCCTCTAGTTGTAGGAGATATGAGAGCTGTGATTACATCATTTCCTGCAAATCCTGCTGCACGGAACAGGACAGTAAACTGATAGGTACAAACGTAGAAATAGGGGCAAAATTTTGTCTTCAGAAGATTATATAGAGAAGTGAAGCTCACAGACCTATGATGCAAAAACATTTTTTTTAGCTATTATTAAAAAATTCAACATCTAAAATTTAATTTTGTACAATTCAGTCTGATACTCACTTGATTTAAACACAACACAAATATCACAGATAACTTTGAATTTTTTGTCATTACATACAACTCGGCTTTTAAAGGACTGAAATTGGTCATGGGACTTCTAAATACTTTAACAAATAGTGTTTACCACTTAAAACACTAACTACTTTTTCCTTAAACTTAATTGATAACTGGTTGCTGGGCAGCTTCTGCTGATGAGAAGTAGCCACTGACAGTGTTAAAGAATTATGTCCATGTATATTTAATCAAACACATTCCACAACTGCATGAAGAGTGAATAAGAGCAAGGAAATCAACAATTAAGATGTTGGTTATTAACAGTTTAGATAAAATAATGTAGAAGGACACAGAGATCCTTCTACCATTATACATTTCCACATCATAAAGAGTAAGGAGAGAAAACTGCTAAAATGAAATTTCTCTACTGGGTTGCACAAGTTTTTACTGATCTTACCAGTCACTCATTAAAATGTGTTGCAGGGTTTCATCATTTGACCAAGGGCTTATCCTTCCGGTCATTTTTCTATCAGCTCCAATGCGAGGAAACAGTGGTAGCCAAGAAAAGGCAGGGTGGAGCCAATAGATAAGGCTTTGCTGGAAGGCACAACGGAGCTTGGTGGAGAGTTTGGGATCCTAGAATCCAGAGATGATAGTGATTGGACAGTTTCTGCCCCATTAGAAGTATAAAATTCCATTAGAAAGACACTTCCATTAAAAATATACTTCTGCCTATAGGAAAGTGCTAATAAGTGTTACAGGGGCTAAAATGTGGCTGGTTCTTGTTTGGGAAGGCCTTTCTTGCCATCAATTAAAGACTGCTAAGCCATCTATCAGAAAGGAACACTCATCAAACATAGATGGAAATGTTCCCATCTCTTCTGTTCTCTTGAGAATATTGACCATCTTTTTTATCATGAGAGGTGGGGTGTGTGTATGGGTGTGTGGGTAACATTATGTTCAGCTCCCTCCCACCCAGTAGTTTTAAAAGAAGCCAGTAAAAACTGATAATGGGAACTGCAAATTACCCACATTGGTTAAAAAAGATGGACCAAGTCCTCTTTCAAGTAATCCCTTTTAACCTAGTTTGAGCAGATGAGCTGCTTGGAAGTAATGCAGTTATATTTCTCTAAAACCGGTCGAGAACTCATGAACTCTACTGAACTTAGAAGAGCCCATCAGCCAGGTAGCAAGAATTAGTACACTTATGGAAACGATATACATTATGTGAGACAATCAGTAAAATAACCAGCAATCCTGCTCCTCAATTGTTTTTCATGTATTTAGGCATTAGAAAGTAATGGGTTTAGTTCAAACAAGGCCTGCCTGCAATACCAACTGATACTCAGGATAGGTCTCCAAATATAACGGGCGATTATTGAATCTGATGGAAGGTAACTGTACGAAAGCACCATCTAGGAAATACAAAATTTCCCAAGACCTTGTGTCTTTAAAATGTCAGAAGAAAGTTTTAATGGAAGGAAATATCTCTGGTATTTTGCAGAGAAGTATATGTTACACTTAATCTGTTACTTTAAAACATAGCTACTACCTTTCAGAATTACCTGGATACTTTGAGGCAGAGTAACTTCTGTTGCCCTACAATGCTGCACCACACCTTGAGCCTCTTCCTGTGCTTTCAAATGATCTGTCCAGGTAAAGGGTTGAGGAGAGGTGAAAAGGAGTCGAGTTTTAATACTCCAGTCCGCAGGTAACTCAGTACTTTCTGAGGATGGAATATCAGATTCGGAGGATGATATGTGGGGAGTCTTTTAGAAAACAAAGAGAATGATAATTAGTAAAATACCAAGGAAAAAAGCCTTCCATCTACAGACTTTATCAACTAACACATATACTCATGATCACTGAAATGTCAACATTTTATAAACTGTATAATAAATAACATTGAAAATACACTACACACTGAAAAAGTCTGGAAAGAGTTACACTAAACTGTTACCAGTGGTTATCTCTGGGAGGCTGGAATTTCTTGCTGCTGTTTAGGGGTGGTGGTGGTGGTGGTGGCAGAGGAGCAGAGTTCACATTTTAGTATATAAACAATATAAAGTTCTATATGGCTTAATTGCAAGAGACATGTACTATTTTCATGATAATTAAAAAAAATACAATCTTTTGATATTGTTATTAAAGCAGAAATCTTCTAATATTTCAAAAAGCACCTCTTAAGCCTCTCAAACTCTGGAACCAGGGCCAGCTAAGCCTCTCCTGCAGGTAACGTAAGTGGGGCTTTCAGAAGCCATATTTACAAAGCATTTCCTGACTTCAAAAATTTCCTCCCAAACTGTTCTGCTCTACTTTTTCAAGTCAATATTCTCCACATCACAAGGAATTCTTTGTGTGACATCACCAAAAAATAATAGGAGATACTATTTCCAAAAGACATCATAAAGGCCATTTATTTACAAGAGAGGCTGGGTCTTGGAGAGCTCATCTAGCCTCCTGCCAACAAGGACAAACTATGCATTCACTATCACAACAGAAACACCCAGGGAATGGAATCAGGAGTGAGTGGGTGAGCGTGTGTGCGTGGTGTCCAAAGTTCAACGATATGCCGCAGCACATGGAGGTAATCCGGGGAATCTGGCTGAAAATTCCCAAGAGGACTCAAAGCCGCTGGGCCTGGGGGCGGTTGGCTCTGAGGGTTGAAGCTAGCGTTGTCACTACTTCATAGAGAAGAGGGTTAGCAACTGTTGGGGGTAGAAAGGAAACCCACATTTCCTATTTCAGCGTTGATGCCATTGTACACACACCACTACAACATACGGAGTCCTTTACTGTGGCCAGTGCCACTTTTTCAACCCTGGTGGAGATGATCGCTCCCTTCGGGCTCTCTTCCAAGTAAATGCTTCTGAGAACTATGGATTTAAAGAATACACACGTTCTAATGACATTTAAGAAGTATTACCTGGAGTAATTCAGTAACGTCTGTTCTTTCAGGAAACTTCTCTTCCCATAACAAATCATTCTTTTGATTAGAATCTAAAAACTGAGGTTAAAAAAAAAGTTCTTTTTAATCGTAAATGATGCTGGCGTCTGTTTTAATTATGTACAAAGCCCCACCTGGCATACAAGTTTCTCAGTAAGTAAAAGTGTACGAATTTACACGCGTCCAAATCGGTACAGCAGAGTGTTTCATTTCAATTTTGTGTGCGTACTTTACTATAAAAAAATGGCTAGTGACTTACGCATCTAATAACTGATGCACCAATCTCCAATAAAAAGATCCAAAATGCTTTGGGGCAAGGCAAATGCTGGCAAATTCTTACCCCACGAATCCTCAACCTTCCTCCATTCCCAGAATAATTCTGGGCCCGTGAGGAGGCACCGAGGCGCTCAAGTCCTGTAGTAACACCCGTCGAACCGCGGTCTTCAGGACTTGGAGGAGTCTTCGAGCTACCGCCCCACCGATTCCTGACCCCACCAACAGGGGCTGCTGCGCTAACTCCTTAGCCCAGAGGCCCCAGGCTCCCGGCTGGGGGCGCGCACCGCATACACCAGGCCTCCCAGGGCTCAGGGCACCTCGAGACAACAGGCACCCCTTTCCCTCCTCGAACGCGAGAACTTGCCGTCCCCGATTCACAGCAGAGCCAATTCAAGACTGCAGGAGCCTCAGGGCTGCCAGGTACACAGGCACTCACCGGGCCCGGCGCCGCCTGCTCGGCGCGGGGATCCGCGGCGGCCCGCGGACGGGTGTCCAGGCGGGCGAAGGGGTTCCTTCGGGCCGCGGCCAGGCCGCCGCCGCAGCCTCTGTCCGCTGCCGCCGGGAAGGGGCGGAGGGGCAGCCCGGCTGCCAGGGCGGCGTGGCGGGGCGCCGGCTCGGGCAGCTCCCTGGGCACAGCGGCGGCTCCAAGGCTCCGGGCCCTCTTCCGTCGGAGCCGCAAAGTCTCCGGCGGCTTTTTGAAATCGGGCGAGTAGCCGGGAACCGAGAGGGCCATGACCCACCCAGCCACCCCGTTGGCGCTTCCCGCGCGTGCCGGCCCCGCCCCCGAGGCCCCGCTCCGCGCGTGCGCCGTAGGCCTCTCGAGGTCCCGCCCCTGCCGCGATCCTCCGAGGCGGCCTCCGCTGCCCTGGCGGGTCTTTGGACGTGGTCGCGGAGCCGGGTGCTGTGTGGTTGGGAGGCACGCGGTCGAGGGCACGGGTCAGCACTCCCTGTTGGACACCGAAACAGACCGCTATTTAAATCCGCATCAGGCGTGTGATGAGCCCGGGGTTTGGCGCCTGGCTGAAAAGGAAACGTCACACTTGAGCGGCTGCTTCGACAAGCTTACACGGCACTGGCGACGTCCAGAGCTGGGGACAGCGCTCCAGGCCTCCTTCCCTCATCCCACATGGAGAACCCAGATAGGAAATCAGCACGCTGGCTCTGCCAGCGAACCTCGAGCACGCCTTTCCAAGCGTGGCCACTGCACCCTCCACACGCACACTGCAGTTACTGTCATGCCACTTTGATCCCAAGAAAACCATGAATAAATATTTGAGAAAAATATTAAGTCCATGGGCTAGAGCCTTTGAGACTTGAAAATATACTCAAATTATTAAATTACGACAGCAAAGTCCCGTTAAGGAAGGAAGGTGTCACGAATGAAGTTGATACAAAATTAATACCGTTATTTTGACATACCATTAGACTAAGCTTTATCAATAGAGTAGCCTGGCTTTTGCTGAAAGCAGTTAAGCAGTTTTCTTCGTGGAAAGAATTTTATAACAGAGGCAAATATACAGAAACAGTAACTAAAAAGGCTTTCAGAATATTCCCTTTAGATGTTATAGAATTGTCTCCACTGCGCAATAATTTTTCAAATACTTTTCAAAAACTTGATATAACTGAGCATCTTGTCTCAGCAGCAAAATGGAACAACTTGCTTTTGTCTTCCTTGACTTTGCTGAACAATTTCCAAGCAAACTCTGGCTTCAAATACTGGAATGGGTTTGTCCAACTGAGGTCTGAGAAAGAACAAAATTAAAATTGAACAACTTGCTTTTTTCTTCCTTGATTTTTCTGAACAACTTCCATGGTAACTTTCGCCTCATACAGTGGAATTGGCTCATCCAACTGAGGCCTGAGGAAGAATGAAATTATTAGAAATGTCAGGTCAACGGAAAGATGAGTAGAGCACATAGGATGGTAGGTGACCAACTGAAAATAGCTAGAGTTCAATTCCATTACTTTAAGTAATTCAAACAACCTTGTCCATGACTCTCTCTACTGTTAAAAGTGGTTAAACTTCGAAAAGGAAAAATGCCTACTGTGCCTACTCTTTTTGGATAAAGAGATCCACTTTTAAAAAATTGTACTTTTCCCTCTTCTCATGTTAGGGGCTATTTCAAGTTGCTTTGGGAAAGGTGATGAGGAAAAGCAATGCGTGAGGTATGGTGTGGCACGGAGTAAGGAAAAGCCAGGAGCCACTTGTACCTCAGGAAAAGCTTACTGGTGTACTACAATATACACTTTGAGAATAGTAAAGAACAGCTGTTTAAATGAAATAATAAAATATAGAGGCAACGGGTATACTGTGCAAGCTGAAAAAAAAATGGAAATGTTCACCTTATCTCCTTGAAAATAGGAAAATAAACAAGAACAATGATTTGGTTACTTAGCGTACCTAAAAACACCAGTTGATAACTTCTCCATCACATCTTTTAAGATACGTAGCTGGAAAGATTGTTAAGGTGGCAATGTAAAGGAGACAGTATCAAAAAAACCAATATGCAGAAGATGCTAGGCAAGTCACCTTTTTTTCCTTAAGTTTAGCACTAACAGTTCAAAATTTCAGCTACAGAAATTCTGTAAGCTGTCAAGTTTACCTCTCAAAAAGGATATGGAGAACTGATCTGAGAGAGGTGACGTAACAGAGCTGTAACTACTAAGGACAAGTGATGAAAGCAGCAGGCCTAAGCAATGACTAGTGTGTCCCAAATGGATGGCAATGGAATGGTGTCTGGTTTGCATTTTAGCACCATGGATACAGTATTTTTAATTAAAAGCAATTTTAGCATTTATGTCTCCTACTTTAGGTGCACATTTATTTACTAAACTGGCTAATAAGAGGCTCAAAATTTCTATGCAATAAAGTTAAACTGTGTATGTGTGACATATATTAATAGAATAAAATTAAAATTAAAAAATATAGTCATTTAACTGAAATTATAAAAGGACTGAGAGTGTATGTTAATTAGTAGAACTAGAAAATTATTTATGGCATATCATTACACAACTGGAGGGAGCTGTCTGTGAAGTCACAAGCAGTAACTGGCCCATGTGTGAACTGAATGAGGAAGGTTGCACAAGTGAGGACTAAAGTCTGATCCAGGACTTTAGAAAATGTAAATATAGAAAATATGAACATAAACCATTTTAAAGTTTTTAGAAGGACTGAAAGAATACTGATTCACTTATTTCCATATTGTAAATTCTCCACTTTTGTTAATGAAATGGGCCAACAGTATGTGTATGTATATATGTATATGTGTGTGTGTGCATACACACACATAAAAATGTGTATTTTGGATTTTTGAAATTTAACATCATTTCACATATTGATGTCCATGGACTTGTCAACTAGGTTAAAATCATCTTTTCACCGGGTGGTAGGGCAACTGAGAGAATTAACACAGGCAAAACAGCCAGCCTAGCTTCTGACATGGCAAGATTCAAAACATCTTAACTAATGTTACTCTGAATACATGGCGTTCTCTACTGTTAACATCCCATGATATTCTTAATAATTACAATGTTTTTGGATATTTATGTTGCTTAAACTTTAAAGAATTCTTTTAGGCAGTTAAAAATTAAGTTTATTTTCTGAATTTAATAGGAGAAAGTAATCAGAAATAGTTTAAACTCATATATTCACTACATTAAGGATATATTCTGGTTTTGAAATGTACTCTTTAAAACTCAACATATACAGTGTATTAGTTAAATACTACTGTTTGAAAGCTCTGAACTAAGTCTGTCATTGCTACTAGAGTAGGCTGGCTTTTTTACACATCATAATTATACACATTTAACAGGAAGTACAACATTCAGTGGAGACTAATGTAAGGCTATGCAAGGCTCTTTCTTTACACATGAGTATAGTAACGAGAACTTATTTTTTAAAGAATTTCATTTTTAATGAAAACTTATAAAATTTTTACATAAACAATTTTACCATGTGCAGCTGTCTTCAAAATAGTCATCTTAGAAATAAAAGGCTTATTCTTAAGTTGACCTTGCTATTTCTTTTGGAAATGCTTTCATATTCTCAAGAAAACTTTTCATTACTTTTAATAAAACAAGAATGATTCAGTTTCATTTACCAGATTTGTCTTTGAGTGATTTACATTAAAAAAAAATCAAACCCATCTTCATTTAATGAAGAACTCTTAGCATTGATAGTCTTAAAAACACTCCACAAAGTCTAATTTTGGTAAGTATTCTCAAATGTTTTGCACAATGGCACCATCACAGGAATAAGGATGCATTCAGCCTCTCAAGGTGACATGTAATTTCCATAATGCCAGGTTAAAAATCAAGCAAAATCTTCCATCTATCTGTGGTTATCTGTCATTCAGAAATGAACAAGGCTGCCTGAATATGACTCCTGTCCTGCTTTCTTGCTGTGTCCTTGAGCATGTATTAACTTTTCTATGCTTCAAATACTTCACCTGTGAAATAGGGGTAATAACAGTACTTACACCTCATGGGGCTGTTTTCATGTTTAAATAAATTAATACCTACAAAGCACTTGGAACATTGCATGCTCGGTGAAAGTTAGCTGCTATTATTATTAGTTATTGCTGTCACTATTAAAGAACTTGATGAGAGTACTAGGTAAATGTCAAGCCAGAAATTCATATCACTAGAAAAAAGGATATAAAGGTATCTTCCCTGTTGTACATTTGACAAATTCCAAATTTCATCATTAAGGAAGGCCACCGTTGCTCCCTTGAGGAAAAGGCAATGACTATCTGGCGGATCCAACTTGGACAGAATGCATAAAGACTGATCAATTACTGTGAGTTGGACAACAGAAAGATGATTGATACCTTGAGCCAGAAAAATTTCCATGCAAATTAAATACTCAAATCACAAATAATCAGCACACAATCTTTAATAACAATATGTAAACTATAAGGTTTTCTTTTCTAATTCATTGTCCAAATTGATGGAACAGCTAGGTCAGGTACAAGGCCAATCTAAAGGTGATGGAGTGGTTGTGTGTGTGAGTTCATGTGTGTGATTTCTGGCTGCTACTTACCAGTCACGTTCGTTGTGAGGATGTCAGAAAATCAATGAAGGTTTAGTGTAAAGAATTAGAGTATCTGCATATTAACCATGATAAAAATATTTAATCTGAATTCTATTGAGAAATGTAACTGGCAGACAATATATATATACATACATAGTAAATTCCAATTTGATTAATTGGGAAATAGCCATAATTTTATATAGAAGTATTTTGTTAAGTTATGTTAACAATAATGTTTGTTGCTAACAAAAACCTTATTTGAAATACTCTTAAAATATTCAGAAGTCACTACTTCCTAAATAAAGGCCTCTACTAGGCACTATTTCAACATCTTGGCCAACATGGAGCTACAAGTTAAAAAAAGAGCTAATTATCTTTAAGTATAGGGTATAATTCAGAATGAATACTAATTTAGCCACATCTTGCCTCAAAAGACTTAGGCATTATTCTTTGTTAATTACATCCTTTTGGTGTAAATAGTAATGCTTTATTATTTCTCATAATACCTGCAGGTTTTCCTCCGTTGTTACCCAATGGCCTCCAACACCAAGAAGCGTGATGATATCATGTTTATGGGGTAGTAGTTGTAATTTTACAGCTGGTTCATCATCTTTACTATATAGTCTCACTTACAAGGGAGTAGTTTAAAAAAAAAGAGAAAGAAGAAATATGTTTTATAGCAATCTAACAAAAATTTATTCTTCAGACTAGTTCTCTTTACTTTTTAATATGGGAATGAGGAAGCATTTTTCTTAGAAAGAGGTAACACAATGTATTCAGACAGACACCTTAAAATACACTTTTTGCATTAAAACTGGCCATAAAATTTACTCTAGATTTAATTATAAATGAAATAACTAAAGATAAAAAAATCTATTTCCATTTGAAAACCAGGCAAGGTGACATAGCCCATAACTAAGTCTGATGATTTTAATTACAACATTGGGAGCTTTAATACTCTGGGAAAAGTTGACATACTTTGACATAATTATTGAAATCTTCATTTGAAAATTAATGAAGTTATATAAATTCACTTCCACTGAAAGATTTTTCTGAGTTAATTTCAAATACTGAAAATACTGGTTAAAAAGAATTGTCATAGTTGTACTTATCTACAGTTTTCATGATAAAGTATAAACTGTAACAAAGTAAACAATCCCTTCACAGGCTTGTGAAACTCATCCTAAAGGTGTGATGGCTAAGTGTGTACAGACTACGTGTTAGATAGATATTTAACTTTTGTAGTTCAACTACAAGAGTTCAAGGAAAGTAAAAAGAACAAAATTGTGTGTTTTCCAAATAGAGACCATAAAAGTCTTCATCCAATAGAGGGCAGCCATACTAGCAGAACGGACCGAGTAAACATCTGCTGAGACCTGAACTAAAGTGTCTATCTGGGAACCACTGAGAAAACTCATGTTTGTAGATTTCTTGTAGAGATATTTTAACTCAAATGCCTATACATTAAAGGTAACCATGTTCTCTCTCTTAGACAATGTTTACAATGGAAATAAAATGAAGAAGCTCCAATTTAAATTTTAAAAAGAAAAAAAACCCCAAACTAAACATCAATTTAATAATAATGTTAATAATTATTCTCTGGGTTATATATATTTTTTTCTGAAACTTATTCATCATACTAAAAAAATAACACAGACTACTGATTTAGGAAGGTACCCACCTCCAGCATCTATGACAATGTCTACTCCTAGGCCACCTGTTTCTTCTAAACAGCTTTCAGCAACATGGGCTTTCCCATTAGATACATCGATCACTCGGGCTGTAAAGGACAGGAAATTAGACAACTGTACTGTTCTCCATGTGATCAAACAAACCAAAGAAAAAGAAAAGCGTGTGTGTGTGTGTGTGTGTGTGTGTGTGTACATATATATATATAGTATATACACAATATATATGTTCTCTGAAATGAATAAAGTGGGTTAAACAATTATTGAATCCAAATTATACTTTTTTCATCTAACCCAATATTGGTAAGGATCAATTTAGATGAAGGGGCTGGTATATTCAATAAAATAAAAATATGAGCATTCTGTGGATGTGTTCCAAGGCTGGTCCATTGACACAGGGGACTATTTTCTCTAGCTAAAGAGTGGTTGTTGCCAGAACTAAGAATCTATAAACCAGAGATACAAGATTCAGGGGGTGGAGGAAGTGGGGGGAGGACCCAGGAAAGGGGACTGAAACACACAGGAAGGGCAGGGTTAACTCAGAAGAAACCTTTCCCTTCAACAATTCCATTCGTGCTTCCTCCCCACTCCACTCCATTTTCAATCTCTTCTCTTCCCCTTTTTCCTATTTTCTTCCTTTCTCCATGCCACCTTAACCTTCCTTCCATTTTTTAGTTATCTGCCAGAAGCATTATGTAACAGTGGAAATAAAAGGAGCTTTAAGGTTAGACAGGCCTGGCTTCAAATCCCATCCCAGTCCTTCTGGTTGTGTATTCTTAAGACACGCTACTAAACTCTAGATGTGGTTTCCTGCTTAGCCAACACAGGGCTGTGGGAGACTTAGGGTGGCACCATCCATCTCACACTCAGTAAATCTTACTTTCCTTCCTCCTGCTTCCCTTACACTCTGCTCATCCTTTTTTTCTCCTGTTAGTTTTTCCATTACTATCTTTTTCCTTTCCTTTTTCATTGTTTTCAGTCTCTGTTTTCATTCTCCTTTCCATATTTGTTGCTGTCCAGCTAGGTTCAATCTTTTCAAGAGCTCCTGTATCTCTGCCATGTCCTGTTCACCATATGCTCTATCTGACCTGTTACTGTGTCAGTGGATCATCTCCCTTCCTGGTGTATTACAGAAAATAGGCAACTTTAGAGGTATGTCACTAGGTAAAAGAGGCTGAGAAATATACAAAGTGATGCAAAAATCTGATTTACTGAGTGTAACCGGAGAGACACCAGATACTTTAAAGCTGTGTCAAAGACTGCCTAACTCAAACTTGGGGGAGTTGATAATCATGCGGCAAAGAAAAAAACATTAAAAAATGTAGGTTTAAAAAACACATAATTAAAAAATTAAAACTATCACTTAAGTAAACTTGGATATTTAGCACTGGGACTAAATGCATTTTAAGTGATTTTCATTTGGGATTTCATACTTTAACAGGTGCAGTTTTTAAGGTGATATCCCTTCAAAATTTTGTTTGAAAGTCTACTTACCTAGCGAAGGCCTGAGTCTTTCAAGGCGCTGCTTGTCTTCAAGGCTGCGTGCTGTGGCGATCACTTTGGCTCCTCTGTGGTGTGCTAACTGGATAGCTATTGTACCAAATGCCTGTGTGGAAAAAATTACACACTGGGTTTGCAGACGTAGGGCAGAGGCCGTATCTAACTTATTTTATGGTTGTTTAATTAAGTATAATACTTTAGTGCTACTTTAGTATATTTTTAAATGCAATCTAATAGAAAAAGAAGAAAATATGGCCAAGTTCAGTAGGTGAGACACTTTTTGGAAGGGGTGGTGGGAGGGACGTGTGCCACATGTTCCCCCAAGTCTAATCACAGCATGTCATTTCAGGATGGAGGGCAACATTCATAAACACAGCCTTGGAAAGAGAAAACTGGGCCTTTAAGGGCCTTGTCAGCATGATTTTCTAAGCAAATGATATAATACCTGTGGGAGTCTGGCTACCTCTCTTTGAAGATCAAAGCACCTCAAAAGCTCCACCCTTCTGCTGACCCGTGGGTTAAAGTTCAGGAAACACCACTGTCCTGATGTTGGACATCAGATTGAAGTAAGTACTGAAGACAGTTTCGCCCTTTTCTCAAAGTAGACTAAAAACATTTTCATCAACAGCCAGCTAGGTAAGAAGAAATTCACTCCAAGCTTTATAACATTTTTTGGATTATAATATTCTATTTTTAATGTATTTTCAGTGTCTTTATTTTTTTGATGATATATTTAATATATTTAAATAAGCACATTTTTTATCCTGTGGGCCCCATCTATAAATGCAATATACTTTACTAACATAAGTGTATGGGATATATAAAATGGGTAGAGTTTTGGTGTACAGCTTCAAAGACTTCATGAGTTATTTCAGGTTTGTTTGCTAGGCATGAAGAAAAAATGGCTTGTCTGCTTTTTTAATGCACTAGCCGATTCAAAATAACAAGAAACTAACCACACTAACTTTTATTTCCTACTGATGAAAGCTGTTTAATAAAATGGGAGTTTGGTAAAGAAATCAATGAATTAGCTGTTGGCAAACAATTATATTAGCAAATGGATGCCCCATTCCGTAAGTCTACTAGTACCTACACTTGCTCCATCCATTATCAGCACTGATTTTCCAGAAGACAGATGGGAAAGATAATGCAGGGCCGTATAGGCTCGTACTCCATCCCGAATAGTTCCAGCAGCTTCGGTCCATGTAACTTTTTCTGGTTTGTGAACTATCACAAGAAACAAGAGGAAACAATCAGTCCTATTAGTCCTGCCTCCTGGATCCGTCTGTTTCTCTCTCTTCACTCCCACCATGGCCTGGGCCTGGGCCTGTACCCCTATTGTCTTTCCCCTGTACTGTGGTTTCTTTGCTTCCATTCTTGCCCCTGTACAACCCACCCGCAAAATACGACCAGAGTGTGTGTCCATTTTAAAAAACACTTTATTGTGAAATCAAACACAAGCAGAAAAAGACATAAAGCATTAAGTTCAGCTGGATGAAGAGATATAAAGCAAATATATAAGCCATGACTGTCCTGGTTGAGAGTACAGCTCTCACCCAGCAGCCTCGTCTCTCCCACCAGAGGTCACCACCATTCCTTTTTTTGTTTCTTAAATCAAGATATAACTGGCATCAGTGGTCACCACCATAATTTCTTATTTGCCTTCATGGTTTATCACTCAATTATGCATTCCTAAACAATACAAATTAGTCTTGCTTCATTTTGGACTTCACCTAAATGGAATTGTACCATGTGCATTCTTTTCTATCTTGCTTTTTTGCTTAACATTGTTTTTAAGACATCCTTTTTCTTGTACACGTGGCTATAGTGTTTTCACTTTTGTTGTCTTATGGCACCCTGCCATGTGAAAACCTTTTCATTTGGTTATCTGTTCTCCAGCGAGGAACATTTGTGTTATTCTGTTTTTGGCAGTTATAAACAATGCTGCTAAAAATGATAAAAGATAGTGTTATGCTGGTGCATGAGTCTTCTTTAGGATGCTTGCTGAGGAATGGAAATCCCAGGTCCCAGGGTATTTTACCTTATCTAAAGTGACTGTATGAATTAACATTGCCATAGCAATGTATTAGAGCTCCTATTACTATGGACATTATTGTCAACCTTCCTGATTATCATGCATTTTTACCAATCATGCAGGTGTGTGATTTTTTTTTTACTGTGATTTTTAATTTTCTTTTCACTCACTACCAAAGAAGTTGAGCATCTTTCCATGTTTACTGGCTATCTAGAGTTCCTTTTATGAAGTACCTGTTCAAGTGTTTATCAATTTTTCTATTGTTATCATTTTCTTGTTGATTTACAGGTATTTTTTTATATATTCCAGGTGAGTCATTTGCTTGTTTATGTTATAAATATTATCTTTATGGGCTTCTCTTTTCAATCTCTTTAATGGTGTCTTTGAAAAAACAGAAGTGTCAGAATGATCTTTTTAAAAACATAAACATTCTAACACTTCTCTGTTTAAAATTCATCAATGACTTTCCATCGCACTTGAAAGAAAATACAAACTCCTAATATAGTTTAAAGATTTCTATTCTATATGATCTGACCCTGAAGCTGCTCCTTAATGTTTAATTACTTATTTTTAAAGTTGCACACTACATGTGATTTTTTCACAGTACAAGCAAACCTTCCTCATTTTACCTAAAATCAACTTTATAACACTTTTAGTCTTTACCAGCTCTGATATATATTTTTCCTCTAGTGGGAAATCAGAGGGCATAGCACAGGACAGTCAGCACCACACTTACCAACTAATAGTGCCATCTAGTGGAGAAACACTGTCCATGTGCACATGGCGATGTTCAGACAAACAAGGAGTTAACAGTAAAACAAACCAAACATCAGGTGGTATCACACACCGCATTTATTCCTTACCAAAATCTTTAAGACAGCTATTTCTATCTTAAAATATCTTTACTATCTTTACCCTCTTTTACTGTTTATGAAATGGGATTCAGGGTAATTAATTAATTAGTCTGGGGCCACATAACAAGTAAGTTTGAATGTCTGACTATAAAGCACATTTACTCTATCAGCACATGTTCAATCTATATGCAATTTACTTACATGGAGATTTTTGGGAACATTTTCCATCATAAGAATTGGGACTACTTATATTTTCATTAAAAATCCTAACAAGAAGTTCTTAAAATTCGAACAGGAATAAAACTAGTTAGATAGCAAAGGCTCTAAAACTGCATGGTTAGATGTGATTTAAATAAGAGATCCTTGTTTTTGTGTTAGATGCTCCACAAGTATTTGCGTTATAAAAACTAACAAAATAAATAAACAGCTATGTGTGAATTAACAGTAACAGTGTATCAGAACCAAAGAATTATTTCAACTCTACTTTAAGTCCAAAGAAATAATGTCAAAAATGTGTGCCAAATTTTGAATGAAAAAGTTTTATTTTTATTTTGACAGACAGGCTTGGGAACTGAAAGCAGAAGAGTTGGAATAATTACTCAATTTTTAACTCTTATCTTCAACATTTTCCAACAGGATCGATAAGACGTTTTGGGAAGAGTTGTTTGGAACCTCATTCTTTGGTTTGGTGAAAGAAAAGACTTATTTGAGGGTTACTAAGTGCTGAATTTTCATTAAAAAAAAAAATAGAATAGGAACTAAAATAGGAATCCATTAATCTTTCCCTGCCAATCTCCAGGGAACATACTGAAATTACTTCCTTTTTCACAAACCGTTGGAGCTGCAGCAGAGCTCAGAGGTTATCTAGTTTGACATCCCTTTTATAGCCAAAGTAAACATGCCCAGGGTCTTGCCTGAAGGTCACACACAGTGGTCATTCTTAAAGTACTTATTTAAAGAAACATTTTACCGTATTTTCTTTCTCAAGGAATATCTGCAATTGTTTTCTCTATATATGTTCATGAATTTTTGGACTATAATCATGCTGATTTGTAGGAAGATAAAAGGTCATTTGTGTGGCTTCCCAGTCTTAGCTTAAGCTTTACAGCTAGGAAACCGATGTTCTAGTTTGCTTTTCTCCATTTGGCCCATTTTATCATCCTCCAGTATTTGGCAATGCCTAAAGGGATGGGCCTTTTAGTAGTGTGTGTGCTTTTTTTTTTTTATGTTTTACTTTTTATTTTGGTATCATTAATCTACAATTACATGAGGAACATTATGTTTACTAGACTCCCCCCATCACCAAGTCCCTCCAACAAACCCCATTACAGTCACTGTCCATCAGCGTAGTAAGATGCTGTAGAGTCACTACTTATATTCTCTGTTGCACAGCCCTCCCCGTGCCTGCCCCCACATTATACATGCTAATCGTAATGCCCCCTTTCTTTACCCCCACCCCCTTATCCCTCTCTTCCCACCCATCCTCCCCAGTCCCTTCCCTTTCCCATTGGTAACTGTTAGTCCATTCTTGGGTTCTGTGATTCTGCTGCTGTGTTGTTCCTTCAGTTTTTTCTTTGTTCTTATACTCCACAGATGAGTGACATCATTTGGTACTTGTCTTTCTCCGCCTGGCTTATTTCACTGAGGCGTGTGTTTTTTTAATAGTTAACCTTCTATAAGATTTAGTTAGGGAACTCAGTCAAAGTTCAAGCCTGGGAATCCAAATCAAAGGTTTTAATTGACTGCATAGTTACAAGGTTCTCAAAAGAGCAGGTCCAATAAGGCCCAAGAAAATCCTGGGGGCAAAAATAGTATAGTTTCTGGCGAAGGAGTCAGTTGTGGTTCTCTAAAGATATCTTACTATCTGCACAGTATCTATCTAAATAACTATGGACCAGACTTTCATTGCATGAAGTGACTTACTTATATGAGCCCCAAAAGACTGAGCTGCCACATACCCAAGTAATGCTCATGTACTCTAACCACGTCACAAAGTCCAGGGTCTTCAGAATCCAGGGGTAAGATTCCTGTCAATTAAAATAAGATACTTAAGGGAAAGAAACAATCTCAGTATGAATTCATCCCTAATGAGATGCCAGTGAGTATCCGTCTAAATTTTGGTCAGTGGTATTCTGATGAAGAGTCTAGGAATTACTAATGTGGGGAAGGGAGAGACTTTAGAAACATGGAAAGTAGATAGCTCATTTTCTTACATGAATGCTCTATCACCTGTACTCTTTTTCTCCTTCTTTCAGTGTAATGGTAAGGATGACTGGTGATGTACAGAGCCAAGTTAGAGTATTGTGAGCAGGGCACCTAGATTCATCATTAAATAGTCTCTGATGCCTTTCCACAGTTTCATTCTGTAAGATACCCCAGGAGACTTCCAATAAACTCCCATTTTCCCCTAAACTAGTCTAATTTTATCTTTGGTCTAATACAAAAACAATCTTGACTATATAGGGTCACTGACTTCTTAGCCAGATAAAAAAGATAAGACAGAAATAATAAATTCTCCAAGAAAATATGCGAATCAAAGGCAACACTGTAAAAAGCTGATGAAAATCTTCCTACAAATTTATTCTTAACAGCTTTAAGCATGCTGTAATGTTAAATATTTTGAGTTTATATGAATATATTCCTATGAATATTTGCACAGAGAAATGGTAATTTCAAGACTACCACTAAAGCCATATCTCATATGTTGTTCGACTGTCTCAGATACAGGTACAAAAGTATACATATTTGCAAAATAGCATGGACTCTGGATTAAAAAAACAACAAATGTTTCTAGTAAATTTTTACTTTTACAAGACTAGTAAGGGAGCAGCCCTGTAAAATTCAAGCTGGGTTTGGAGTAGAGCTTCTGTATTAGCGACATCAGTCAGTAGTCTTCAAGCAGATGCCCTGTGGCTTTTCTTGTCTCTAGAGTCTCCAGTCCAGCCACAGACTGGTGTCCTGTCAGGAAGGGGCTCAACGAGCACAGCACAATGTGTCATCTTTCTCTCCGTATAATGTTAGAGAGTCAAATACTGAAAAGCTTTAAATGTTCTGCTATTGAGAGCAGACTCCCAATTTTCTTGATCAATGGGTATTTGAGAGCAACTTCCCGAAATCAGGAAAGTATCTGAATATGAAGTAAAGTCACAATGAACATTAATAATTGTCTAGAAAAAAAGACATGACAGTAAAACAGATGAGTTCAAATAGCACTATTAACTGTAACTTACCAACAACTTCATCATCTGGTTGAAAGAATGTTACCTTGCTTCCGACTAAAGAGTGGAGAAAATTAATAATTAGTATTATGAGGTCATTAAGTAACTATTATTTATCTATTAAATCAAAAGGTCCACATGTTTATAAAAAGCCACTGATTCAGAGAAAAGGCCAAGAACTTCCAGGACATTGTAATGGTCTATAAGGACTATTGGACAGAACACTTCAAATCTGGATTGTCTATAAAATTTCTACCAAATCTGGGCCATATGGCTGTTACCACAGAGGACATCACTCTACTTAGCTAAGGATGAAGGATTAGAGGAAAATAATGCACTCCCCAGCTCCTATGACGATCACATTGCTTTCCACCCTTCCTGTGGCTAGCCCAATCTTCTACCTTTATTTTAGATGCAGAATCTCAAGACACTCCACAAGGAATTCTGGTTAAGAGTCACATGTAAAATTACTTTAATTTAGGGTTATGCAAATAAATTCAGACCAGTGCCAAGAAATTTTTTGGAACTATACAGAAATGATAGTTACATTTTCTCTGCACATAGAAAAATCCCTTACCATCATTCACAAATCTTTAGAATATTTTTGTTCAGTTACCAAGGGAAAGATGAGGAAAAAAACAAACAGTTGAAAGCCTATGTGTGTCCAGCATTTTGGTGTATTACCACATTTAATCTTCATGGCAAAACACCCATGTATGGTAGGTATTATTTATTCCTATTTAACAGTCAAGGAAACTGAGGTAAAGCAGTTAAGAAAGGAAGAAACCTGAAGTCTGGAGTGGCCCCTCTGGCTGGCTGTCAGCAGAATGGCCCCAGAGTTCATTTGCTGGTGCTCAACAAGTAACCCTAAGTCTGATATTCCTACACTCATGTCCTCTTTTTATACTTTGCCTTTTCTCTGGATCCCTCCTGTGCCATCATCCCCCAGTATTTTTGGGTTCTGATCCACTGTACATTTCTTTCTGTTCTGCTGCTGATCCCTCCCTCCTGGGATCATTCTGATTCTTGTTTCTTGGCTTCCTTCACACTCCTTTTAATTGTCACTTGAATAGAGGCCATGTTTGTACCTCCTCCATTTCTACTCTCTCCCCGAGTAAATTCATTAACTCTATGATTTCATATATAACCTACATGCTGACTGCTCTCCAATATGAACATTTCCAGCACAGATCTCTTACCTTTGAGCTTAAACTCACATAGTTGCTTACTAGATATTTCCAGTGAAGTCACTTACGGACTTTGAACTCAACGAGCATAAATTTAAATTCACTATCTTCCTCCAGGTTGGATCCTTTTCCCTTGTCAATTGGTGCTACCATTTCATACCTTAAGCAGAATCCAGTAAATCACTCCTGGCTTTTATCTGCTCTTAATAGACCTGTTCCAGGCAATTATTAAGTCCTGCTGATTTTACTCACTCAGCATTTCTTGAACACACTCCCCTTCACCTCTGCCACTGTCTGGGCTATAAACTGTCATCTCGTTTGCTGGTTAACAATCCAATTGGTCCTCTTGCGAACAGCCTGGTTTCCCTCAAAACTACCCTTCCATATGGCTACTCTAATAATCTCCCTAAAACCCAATCTGACATGAGGCTCATTATGGCTCTGGCCCTTGTCTGCCCTCTGCCTCACTTTTGGGGGGCAAGGAATCAAGTGTTTATATCATCATTTAAATATTTTACTATCTTTAATTCTGCTATTTTTGAAGGAGAATTTTCTTTCCCAAATGTTTCTCTGCTGCCATGTCTTTTGCCTCCAACACCTGCACAGAACTTTATTTTGCTCCTGCAATACCAAATTCTGTAATTCTTACATGTATCATATTATTACTTGCATCTTTTTCTTTGCTCATGATATCCTCTCTGCTGAGTGTGATTCTCCTCCTGCCTGCCTCTTACTGTCTGGTTAACTTACCCAAGAAGTCCTTCCTGTTTCTTTCAGCTGGGTGGGGCACCTCTCTTTGGAACTTTCATAATAATCTGCTTATATGTGTGTATCTGTCTTCCCCTAGATAGTGAACTCCCTGAGGGTGGGGACTTTGTCTTAGTTATTTTCATATACCAAGCACTTAGCAAGTGCATATTAAATGTGGAATTAAGGTTGGGGTGAGGATTTAAAAATATGTGTAACTGCTGAATCACTGTGTTGTATACTTGAAACCAATATATTATTGTATACCAACTATACTTCAATAAAAAAAAATGTGGAATGAATCAATGAATGAGATTGACCATGTTCTGGCTATTATAATTCTTATTTTTATTTTCTGAGAAGAAAGAAGAGGAAATGAAATTATGATTTAGTTATATCCAAAGAAAACATTGAGAAAGAACAACAATTATAGATTAAAATCACAGGTAAAACTCAAACTCACATTACGTATTCATTCACTCACATATGCAGAAAGAACAAGCATATACCAATTGATCATGAACTACCTGTTGGCAGTGAATATGAAGAGTAGGTCTATTTACGTACAAATTATTTCAAATTCCATTCTGTATGTTAGGACCATTATTTACTAAATAAAACTTGATTTAAAAAAAATTTAAGGCAATCATAAAATCTTACTGGTTATTTCTTCTCAGAATCCATTTTTGGATGATCAAATCACTTAACTTTAAAATACTCAGTTTAGGCAAACTTAAAAATTGAATGCAAATGTGGTTATATTATAAAAATTTTGGCCCAATGTCAACTAAAACAAGTATGCTGGTTTATAAACATAAAAAGGACAACACTGATCATTCTACTCAATATTACTTATGGATTTAAATATGTAATCCCTAAATATTTACCAAACTGTTGTAAGTTCTTCAATTATAAAACACCAATTAAGTTCTATTTTCTTTTTAATTAAAAAAGGAAAACATTTATATATAATTATATTTTATATTTGAAGCAGTGTGTATAATGTATTTGTAAACCAATTAGTTCCTGTCTACCTTAAAAAATACAGATTTCTTTTACCTTAGAAAATGGGTATTTATATCTGCAAACTTACCATCTAACACAATTCCAGCAATTTCTCTCCCAACAGGGAAGAAATCCCTCTCCATCTTCATTTCTGCCAGAAGCTGCATCATGATAAAGGCTGTTTAATGTCAAGAATAAACCCTGGCCTCTGCTCGTACACAAGGAAAGCAAGAGCAAAAATCAAACCACAGAAAGAGCAAATATGAATTCAATTTTTTGGAATTAAGACAGAGTAATAACTTCACAAGAACAGGTTTCTCTATACAGCAGAAAACCGAGTTTGCTGAGGAATTGATATGTAGGAACTGATATGTTTATGTTAAATGACAGTTGATATGCAGGATTTAGGTATGAGTATTATTATTCCAACCACCATTAACATCCTTTATTTAACATTTTTACTGTGGTACATATGAAGGGAAATTATGGTCAAAACACTTCTTGGTTGGCTAAACACTTTTACTAGCCACCTCAATCTGGAGTGGAGTTTGGAGAGGACATCATTCAATAAGGGAGATGTGGCCAATAAGAACAAAAGGTTCTCACCCCCACATCCTTTAAAATCATCTGAGTGTTTCTCACAAGTCTTGGGTTAGGGGGCAGGTAGGAAGAAGTGATGGATGTACATAAGGGAAAGTCCTGTATAATTTCAGATTGGAGGTTTTTTTTTTAAAAGGATAAATTATTTATTTTTTCAGAAATGAGCATTTGTTAGATTCTGACCAAATTAAGTACTTGACTTTTAAAGTGACAGAGTATACACAGATAAGACTGTAGCTCTTGACACACTTTTATGATACTACTAGAGATACAGAACTTATTTATAAATATTGTAGTATTTTAGGAGCAGTAAGAAAAAAATTGAAATAATTCTCTTGTATAGTTCCTTTATTTTTGACCTCCTGCATATACTTGAAAAGTCTCCTTTTCAGTACAAAACTTTATACTTTTTCTAAGATGTTCATATGACATTCTTATACATAACTGGGTGTTTTTCAGTCTGTCTTTTGTGCAGCTTTTACAGAGCTATCCTCATGGTTTTAGCAATTACATCCTATGTCCTTCACTGACTATATGCATTTTCTTACATTACCACACAGTTTTCATAACCATTATGCTTAATGGTTGGGCACTATTTCATTAAATTGATTTTACTATAATTTACTATTTCTTTTTGTTAGACATGGCGATAAATTTCCTAGACTAGGATTTTAATGGGTTTTTCATAGTTTTAAAAGAACACCTGGGAAGGGCTAAAACACAGAACTCTGCAGACAAGTAGTAGTAATAGTAGTAATATTCCTGGTGAAAGGACTTCAAGGCATCTCACTAATTCACTTCTCAAGTCATGTTCATGTTAGAGTTGCCTAATGGAAGTCTGTAATCTTGGTCCATATTTCTCTCAATGTGACTTTACTGCAGAAAACTTAGATTCTAGAATGCTGGTGACATTTTAATCCAGTAAGTTAAGGGTTCAATAAAACTACGGTATTACTATTTATAAAACTGAGTAAATGGACCTGGCTCTACTTATCTTGGCACATTTAACCACACTTAATATACTATTTGAAGACTTTTCATCTATTTCATAGTCAGTCATGGAAGATTATTGTGCAGTGATTGATTGAGGTTGGTGATGTGTGTGTGTGTGTGTGTGTGTGTGTGTGTGAGTGTGTGAGAAAGAGAGAGAGAGAGAGACAAAGAGAAATGATAATCAGTATATATATGAGCCCTATCTGAAGACATTACCTAGAAATACTTATACAATAGTAAATAAATTACTTGATTAGGTTTCTCATTTCTATTTTTAATATATTTATAAAGGTAAGTTCTTTCTTGGTTATAAGCCTTAGTAATTATAAATTCTTAGCCTTTCACAATGTAAAAGAGTTCATATTTTCATATAACAACATGTAATGCATGACTTTAACTAGACTAATAATTTATCTTAATGTAGGAATATACACAATTCACATGTTTTCACTGGCTGTTCTATTCTTCTAAGGATGCTAACAATTTCTTGGCATTCAGAAGTCAGTTATCATTATAATATAATTGTGTAATAACTATACTATGAAACTCTCATTTGACTTTTAGCCAAAATAAAAGCACCAATACCTTTGTATTTATCTGGCTCAAAGCACAAGCTTTCACTTGAAGTTTTACATAGTTATCCTCTGTAACAGGAAGGTTCTCCTAGGACCAAATGATAATAAAATAATTATACATTTCTTTGAGAACACTGCCTTTATGTTGTGAAAGGTTTCATATATAATTGAACAAGATTAAAAAGACTCCAAATCTCTTAGTTAACTAAAAAATCTGTAAGTAATCATCTGATACTATGAATAAAAAAAGTAGAAAGGGAATTTTGGGATAAAATTTTTAAAAAGGTGTAGGATACTTATGTTGAAAATGCACTCAAAAACTGACATGGATATATGTGTAGGCAAAAAACTTAGGATAAGAAAGCAGAGCAACAAGTAATGTACTTTATTTCAATCTAAATAATCTCAAAGCAGAGAACCTTCAACACCTACAGGGATATCTTTATACATACAACATAGAGACTTTACTGATTTGGGAATTTTCTTAATGCTATAAATGAAGTTATTTAGTGTCATTTAACTTAAACTTAAACTTATTTAACATCTGTCTGGACATTTCAACATGCCCCATAGGATTCTGGGGTCAAAATATAAACTTAATGGAACTTAATTACCCTTCCTATTCTATACCCAGGTATAACTTTAGATGCAAAAATATTTCTCACTCAGGCACTTGATGTCATCTACCCATATTTTTAAATATGGTGTCACCTCCCCCAAATAACCATATTCTACCACCAAATAATTAAAATGTTCTCGTTAACTCCAAATATAACCCCAAATTAGATCAAAAGCTGGCTAAGAATATCTACTTGCACTGCCCGTCTTATGGCCTATCATTGACGTAAACACAATATTCTGGGATTATCTTTTTAATTTTGGATTTGATAATATTTGATATTATAGATACAAAAATATCTATGAATTTGTTAACCTGCAGATTATTCTCCCTGAGAGCCAATCAAACCTCTTAGACCTTTATCCTGACCCAAAGTAGAAGCCAAGCTATTTGAGATTTAGACTCTGAACTGATTTTGTAGTGAAAGATTAACAGAAAAACTGGATTATGTTCATGATCCAGAAATTCTTATTATTACTATGAAACACATCTAGCACTTAGTTTTCATCCCTATGTATACTATGGAATGGTTTCGGCTTCTGCAAGCCTTTCAATCACCAACATATGAAAATTCCATCTGTTTAAAGTGATCAAACACTAGAGACCATTTAAGGCTTAGTGAATGAGATAAGTTTGCAAAGCTCAGAAATGAGTGTGGAAAATAATGCTTTTCTACCTTTTTCATTTCATACTAAGAGAGAATGTATTCTTTGAAATATGGATATGATCTGAATATTCACTTTATTGTATTGTGGTATTCAGACTAAATTGAGTTACTTTGCAACATATAAGACTATCAAGGTTGTTGTGTTTTCCTAATATCTTTTATAACACCAACCAGGGGAATTAAAAATTCTTCTGTAGTAACTCTTTTAAAAATATAGTTATACTATAATATGGACCACAGTTTTCATATGGGAGTAAAGGAAAAGTAATTTGTAGAGTTTCATTTAAGTAATTTCCCCTTATTTAGTTCCACTCAGAGTAACTTACAACAGATCATTTAAAACTGAATCTATTACATACAGAAAAGATACTATCTTGTTTCATTTAATGATTCAATAATTTTTCTTACCCTTTCTTGAAATACAAATGTTATTTCTTCGTTTGTTGAACTCTGTTGAAAATATAAGCCTTTCATATCTAAAAAAGGAAGAAAAAAAATACACATGAAATAAAAATGTCTTCCAGACCAAATGAGAGGAAAAATGGAAAATTGTGCTGAAGGCTAAAATGACAACTATAAATGCAGTATTCAAACAAATAAATTTAGATAATAGTTCTTGAAAATGATCAAATAAGACTATGCAATAATCTTGGGGTATGTGTCTTAATGAGAATGGGTTTGGAGTTCAACCTTTCACACAAAGGTGAGTATGTGCTTAATTTCACTTTGCTATTGAATAAAAATTACTAGATGCACTTAGAAAAAAATACTTATGAGAAGTAGAGAGTTCAATTTTAATCACCAAAGGTGCCATTTAAAGGTCTTTCAATGTCTTAAAAAAGACCATTTAAGAAAGGAAAAACTTACAGTTAAGAAACTTGTTGAAATTGTGTCCCTAATTCTTCTGTATCAGTTTATAAACCGTTTAATGAAAGTATTTAAACCTGTATTCTGTGGACCTCTTGAAGCATCTCTAAGGATTTTACAGATGTTTCTTAAATTTTCATAGTAATTATATGGCAAGGCTATTTTTTAAAATGGAAATTTTACAGAAGTATAAATACCCATAGAAAAATACACAGATGCTAAGTGGATAGCTTGCTGAATTTTATAAAGTAAATATGGCTGTATCACAGCAAGGAAACACTTTACCATGAGAACTCCAGATGCTCCTGTTGTGTTCCTCTTCTAGTCACTACTTCCCCTTCCTAAGGATACTTAATATGTTGAGTTTCAATAGCACAGATAAGTTTGGCCTGTTTGCAACTTTATATAGATGAAATCATACTCCTTTATGTCTGGTTTCTTTCTCTCAACATCGTATTTGTGAGTTTCACTCACGTTGTTGGCTGTAGTTGATCTACATCACTTTCTCATTGCTCTACACTTACATGAATAAATTACTATTTATCCATTCTACTATAGATACTTGATTGTTTCCAGTTTGGGCTTTTGCAAATTATTTTATTAAGAACATTTTTGTACATACTTTCTGGTGAAAGTAGTATTGTTGCATTCATTTTATGGATAAGGAAACTGAGTCTTACAGAGGTTAAGGCACATATCTAGGTCTCATAGCACCAGCTGGGCCATGGCTGGGACATACGAGGTGCTACCCACTCCAAAGTTGTTTCTCTTAAAGGTTATATTTAACGGTTTTCTACAACTAGATTCTATATCCTTTAGTTTAGGGTAATTATTATAAAGAACTTGTTGAAAGAACTAGATACATAATTTGCAGGGCTCACTTTAAAATGAAAATGTGGGGAACCTTGTCCAGTAATTATTAAAATTTCAAGACTGTGACAGCAGAGCATTAAACCAAGCACAGGTCCCTGAGACTGCAGTCCAGTGTGACTGCACAGGTCCTACACACACAAAGCCAGCCTCACATGTTGAATCTTAGTGGATCTAATGGATTTACATGAGGGGCTTTTACTGATTGGTTCAGTAATGGTTGCTACTTTCTAGAATGTGATAATCAAATGCTGGAACTAACAGAAATGAATACACATTGAAGACATATATGTAACTATGTATGTAGTATGTATCAGCAAGTATATAAAAACAGGATGAGCTAGGTGAGATCGTTAACTAACTCTTAGCTTTTGGTTGTGGAAGCTGTATGTCAGTGTGTTTGTTGGGATGGTAGGGGAGAGGGGAAGAACCTAAGCATCGATACACAGCAGCTATATATTCCCTATACCATAAAGTCTAACCTCTTTTCCCTAGTTTTCAAGACTGTCTAAATGCATACCCACTGTCCCTAGTCTATCTTACCTGTCCCCCCAACGCTGCCCCATTTTTCTAACATACTCTCTCTTTTTGATCTGGTCAGTATGACTTCACACCGTCTGGTCACCTGTCTCAGGGCTTCCAGGCAGTGCTTGTTCTCTGAGACTGTGAGGTCCTTACTCTACAGACTACAAATGAATACTGCTCAAGTCCTACTCCCTCTCTGAAACCACCAGCAATGGTACTCAATCTATCCCATCTGTGCCATGCTTCTAGCTTTCGTTACATACTAACAAAGAAAACCTGGCCTTATTCATATACTAACCAGAGGGTTTTCCCAGCTATTGCCTAGGAGAATCAATAACCGTTATTATGAACTATAATTTCTGCTTCTACACAGTCTAGAGCTACTAGATTTGACTTTTCAAGAAATGGAACAATTATATTTCAACACCTTGATTTCAAAGCAGGTCACTTTGTAATTCTGGAAGCCACTGTTTTCCCTGCCCATTTCAGCTTAAAACATGGCCTGCCTCTCAGATCACCAGTCATGGACCTCATATTGCATGTATCCCAATTCCAGAGACCCTGGAAGGTAACTCTTTGTATACCTAGGGTCCCCTAGACAAACATTATATACATAATAATAATGCCAATATTTTCAGACAGATCATCCTAAATAGTTTCTCCAAATTAGGTTAAAATTGGCCTGGTTAGTAAAATAATGATTAGTTGGTCCAATAAGAAACCATTTAGGAACAATAATATCCTATAACTTACAATTGGAGTAAAGAAGTGTTTTTTACAAAAGTGGCCAGAATAAAACTGAGAAATATTTACTTGTTTTACAACCCCAAAAAAGGAATACTGAGTAATTAACATGAAGAAAATGGTAGAATGGATGGCATTCAAGGTCCACACAGTTTTGTAGACACTGGTCCAGATAAAATGAAACAGCCCATTATTTAATTAAGATTTTATTGAATGTAAAGATACTTGTATAGAGGAATAAAATAACTGAATATCTTTTAAAATAAAAATATAAATCAAAATATGCAATGCTTATTAAGTGCCATTTACAAGAATGAATGTCATTGATTTCAAAACTATATATTCTACTGTTTCCTTTATCAAAAAGTGTTACCTAAAACTTTTAAATGAAAACAAACCTGTTTAAAAATGTAGGCTGATAAGCCCTAAGAAAGCATAAAGATTTTATTTTTTCCAGATACATCATTCTTTAAATATGTTTGACATAAGTCCACAAATTGAGGGTTATGTTTGTAATATTTTAAATTTTTATAATGGTCACACATTAAGCCTACTCAAAATCTGGAGAAACAAATAATAAGACACCTATATAAAATAATCTTTAGTACAAAGCAGAAAAAGGAATTTGTATAAATTAAACACTTGAATATAAATAACACCTCAAGAAAGTAGTCAAGAAAAGTACTAATCTTTTAAGAGATATCTAAAAAAATCATTGGGAAGAAATGTCAAGTGGTTTCATTTTAAATTTATAACAGCAACATGAACTCCACTTGCACTTCTCTCGCTACATTTAATCGCCCAAGGAACTCATCTATTAATAATTGTAAATAAAACCTCCACAGATCATTCTTTATCTACACTTTCAGACTGAAAGTGTTCTGAGTATCCGATCCACCTCAAATTCAGCAGACATAAAACTGGACCTTTCAGTCATCAAGGATATCTTAAGAGTCTGTCGTAATTCCTTCCTCTGTATTAAGTCATTGATCATAAAGCTTCCTTTTCCTTTATGATGTCTTGGCTCACCTGCTCAGTTTTTTTCATGGGTGGTTAGCACAGGTGATGCTCAAATTTCTCCTTCCCCAACATCAACTTTGCAATATTGTGGCCACTTAAGGTTCAGAATTCAGTTGTAATGTTGCTAACCCACCCTCACTTTTATTTTAAGGAAAGCAAAGATACACTGTCAAGCAGTTAGGCTACAGAAAAAAACAGATGAAGTAAATGTGGCCCCATATGCTTATCATGTCAGGTCTGGTGCACAGTATTATGATACTAGCTGGCTGGATTGTACAGGGTAAACATTCTGTTATATTGAAGAGGTGACTTAAATTGTAACAGTGCTCTTACTTAATTGTGAGACTTTTCATACATGTCCACATATCAAATAAAGAAGTATGTCAAACCGCATGTCCAAATATTGGTTAAAAAAAATGGTCCACACAGTGCCTGCACTGGGGCATAGGTGGGGACTTGGTAATATGGGTTAATGTAGTAACCACATTGTTTTTTCATGTGAAACCTTCATCAGTGTATGGCATGGGTGGGGACTTGGTAATATGGGTTAATGTAGTAACCACATTGTTTTTTCATGTGAAACCTTCATAAGTGTATATCAATAATACCTTAAAATAATTTTTTTAAAAAAGGTCTACAGAATGTAAACTAGTTCAACTTTTGTGGAAAGCAATATGGAGGTTTCTCAAAAAACTAAAAATAAAAATACCATTTGACCCAGGAATCCCACTCCTAGGAATTTACCCTAAGAATGCAGGATCCCAGTTTCAAAAAGGAATATACACCCCTATATTTATCACAGCATTATTTACAATAGCCAAGAAATGGAAGCAACCTAAGTGTCCATCAGTAGATGAATGGATAAAGAAGAGGTGGGACATAGACACAATGGAATATTATTCAGCCATAAGAAGAAAACTAATCCTACCATTTGCAACACATGGATGGAGCTAGAGGGTATTAGGCTCAGTGAAATAAGCCAGGTGGAGAAAGACAAGTACCAAATGATTTCACTTATCTGTGGAGCATAAGAACAAAGAAAAAACTGAAGGAACAAAACAGCAGCAGACTCAGAACCCAAGAATGGAGTAACAGTTACCAAAGGGAAAGGGACTGGGGAAGTAGGGTGAGAAGGAGGGAGAAGGGGAATAAGGGGCATTACAATTAGCACACATAATGTAGGGAGGGGGCACGGGGAAGGTAGTATTGCACAGAGAAGACAAGTAGTGATTCTATAGCATCTTAGTAAGCTGATGGACAGTGACTGTAATCGGGTATGTGGTGGGGACTTGATAATGGGGGGAATCTCATAACCACAATGTTGCTCATGTAATTGTATACTAATGATACAAAAAAAAAGTTAAAAAAAATGGTCCACATAAAGTAATTAGCTGGAAGTTTGGTTCAAATGCCACCCTTTGTAGGTTGTGCAGAATGGTAGAACTAACTAGATAGGCCAGCTCTGCCTTTTGAGGAGGAAGGTAAATGCATGGTCAAAACTGGAGGACAGCCCTACATTGAGTACACAATGGCCTCTAGAAATTTGTATACTCTAAGGACACTTTGCATAAGGAATGAGTACACAGGTGTTTTGCTGCATACAGCTTGCACTTGTTGCATACAATTCCTGTTACAAGATGGGCACAGGACACATTGTGATAGCGGCTCACATCTGGCTAAACTCTGGAAAGCATTTCTAGCTAATAGCATGTGTTATATGAAGTTTTTACTTTCACATTCAGTTATCTAATTTAAAACTTAGGAAAATGCATGAAGTTGTATGGCCCCTATTACTATGGAGGGATTTAAACAGAGGGTGGATATACACTTACAGTGGTTGCATAAAGGGGATTCAAGCATCAGTCAAAGGGGATGGGGGATGTGATGACCATATTAAAGCTAATTATAACAATCTAGATTTCTTATGAACATTATCAAGACATACTCAACTGAATTTACACATGTGTAGCATAATCTTTACATCTCATGCAACCTGAGGAATTAGGAAAAATTTTATTTTTGATTTAGGCTTGATGCAGAGGCAAATAAATAAAAAAAGCATTTGTTTGGAAATGTTAAAATATTGCCTATCTGCAACAAGTGATTTCCATATTTGTCTAGAATACTAGCTCCTTCTGAACAATGACCCCTTCTGAATCTCAAAAGAATTTTTTAATAACTCTCCAATCTCCCAGAGAGCATAACTTTAATCATTTGTTGACTTATATCTTTTCACTTAGAGTCCTTACTAAAGACATTTCCCAGCCAGTACCCCAGTACCTCTCAGGGGTGGTAGTGGGTAGGTCAGGGAGACTGGAAATTTTTGGTTCACTTACAACTCAATGTAGGACCATTTAATATAGTAAGATCCAGAACAAGAGAGACTTAAAGACTTGCATTTTATATATCTGAATTAGTATCATATTTTCCCAAATTGTACAACTGGGGAACAATGAAGCCAAACATATGTTGAATGACAGCCTTACTATTATGCTAGGGCTTAATCATGTGACACTGAGACAATGAAGATGGTGATGAGGACTAGCAGTTGAGAGATCCTCCCTAAATTTCTACCACACTCTTTTGGTCCTCTCCAATTGATTTAACGGATCTTTTTTACTGACTAACATTAGTGCAGTTTGTAAATTCTTAATTTTCTAATTCACTATAAGATCCTAACAAAAGAACTTCTTGCTTCAGATGCAAAATAGGAATCATAATCTTGATTAAATATTTCTGATAAATTTACAATCATAAAATCATTAACAAGATATATCATATGTATCAGTGTGTAAAAATAGAAGAAAACTACTTTGCAAAATACTGTATTTTAGCATGTGTGAACGTGTATTTTTGCTCTTCTACTCATAAAACTCTCATTAGCTCAGTGGAGTACTGTTCATGGAGTCTAGAAAAATCATAAAGTCTTTGAAATACTGTATGTGAAATTCAAAGGAGCAAGAAAACATTCATTTCTAAGAATTAAAAAGATGCCACCATAAACAAAACCAAAAAACACTGTGATTCCATTTTAAGAATTCCCAAGCTTTCCCATATTCCTATTTTAGAACAGTACACAAATGAATCAAGACACATTACTGTCCAGGGTATAGTACTGGCCCAGAGGCCTAACTCGAGGTTTTGAACATTCTTCTTCCATTCAGAACTTTGATTTTGAATGCACAGCATAGAGAGTTGTAAAACTACCAAAAACTTTCACTGCAACTTATAGGTAACTTCACCTTGTATGGTGAACTCTCTCTGTTTTAAATCTGAATATCTCTTCCCCACCTGTAATCTGGAGCAGAGGCATCAATGAGGTGAAATCAGTGATAAAAGATATAATTATCTTTTGGTGGTGGCAGTGGATGACAAAACAGGATCTCGAAGTTATAACTGACCAGAGTTTGACTCCTGGTTCTCCCACTTACTAGCTGTATTACTTTGAGCTATTTAATTTTAACCTTCTGGGCCTTTGATTCCCTATCTATAAAACAGAGATAATAGTAGTAGTTACTAGTTACCTCAAAGGGCTGCTTTAAGGATTAAACAATATATGCAAAGCACTCAGGACAACACATGGCACAAAATCAGCATTCAGTAAGTGTTGGCTATTTTTACTATTAAGTCTGTAAACTGGGTAGAGAACCTTTAAAATAGTCTGAACCCATCTCACACAGCAGCAAAGGTCATATGCAATCTGCACTTAAACACCTTTCAGTTTCTTTAGTGGGTTATTATATTATCTGGATCTCTGCTGTCCAGCAAGAGTAGCCACTAGCCACAGGTGGCTAAGGAAACTGGACTGAGTCTAGTCGTAAATGAGATGCGCTCAAGTGTAAATACGCACAGGATTTTGAAGACAGTAATAAAAGAAGAATGTTCAGTATCTGAATTTTAAAATATTTCATTACGGATCGAAATGATAATATCTTGGATATACTGGGTTAAGTGAAGCATATTATTACAATTAATTTTAGGTGTTTTTCATGTTTTTTAATGTGGCTACCAGAAAATTTAATCTTAAATAAGTGTCTCGCCTTGCATTCGTATTGGGCTGAGCTGATGCTACTCATAACGTGGACCAGAGGCTCCTGGAAGCTTGTTAGAAATGCAGATTCTTAGGCTCCAGAGACTTAACAGAATCAGCCATCTGCAGTTACTTAAACGTGATTCTGAGGTGATTCTTAAGCATTGCTCCAGAGTTTTCGTTGTTGAGCTTAAGAGGGCAAATATAAATGCGAACATCTTTGCTTTAGATAATAGCTCACCGGTAAAGGAGCAATCATAAAGAAGAGAGAGGGGGCAGAGGGGTACAGGAGAAAGAAAAACTCATAGTACAGGAACAAAAAGAAGCGGGGTAAAACCCAAACTGAAGATTCAGTGGAAGGGAACTTCCAGACTTTTTCCTCCATAAATGTGGAGGGAGATGCAAACTGAGATAATACAACCAAAACCCATAGGGACCAGGAAATGGTCAGACAAATCAAGTCTTACCAGCCGCCCCTCAGCGGCCTCAGCTAAGCTAGGCCTGGGCCCGAGGCAGTCTGAGGTTGAGGTGCGACGCGAAGCACCATCCGCCTCAGGGCTGCACGGTTCTGCGGGGCTTCTCTTAATCTTTTGCCCAAAGGCCCGGTTCACGAGGCACATAATGCGTTTTCTGGGACTCACCTGCTTTCGAGCGGCCCTAGCGGCTTGCGCGATCGCCACCGCCACCTTGGAGTCCCTTTGCAGGAAGCCCGCCCACGCTGGCCCATATGCTGCTTCCATTGGTCAGGCCGCACGTCATTCCTGGACGAAGGCTGTAGAGAACGCCATAGCAACCGAACCCAGAACTACAGCTCCCGGCGTGCTCTGCTCGGAGGAGAAGCGAGACGCCATAACAGGGTCTACCAATAAATGGGCAAAGTTTTAGTCTCCGGGACGGGTTCCGTTTTATGCAAATTCCGGTTAAAGACCACACCCTTCCTCATTCCTTTTGCTGTACATCCTTCTTTGAACCGTGCCCGCACCTCCCTTTTCGCCTCCAAATTTTCTCTCCTTTAGGACCTTCCGTAACTAAGTTGAATGCATCTTAACTAGTTCCTCGCACAACAACGGACAGATACACCAGAGTCGTGAAACAAACACCTTCATAAAACGAGTCAAGGAAATTCCGAGCAGAGGCCTACGGTGACGCCTTTTGGGAAGAGTCTGGGAGGAAGGAGATTCCTACTCCCACCCCCTTTGTGGTTGCTCATTGGCTTACTGGTTGTCACTCCGTCCTCTTCCATTTTTATCAACTTAAAGCCCTTTGGTTCCCGCGGCGGGCGGGGCTAGCGATAGGGGGCGGTGAGGAGGTTCAAGCCCCTTCTCTCGATTGGCAGGCTGCTTGTCCCCACCCACTTGTGGGCGGAGAGGGAGCGGTGGGTGGTGGCGGGGGAGGTGGCCGAGGGAGATGATGAGATAGGCGGGAGAGAGGGAGCGAGGGAGGGAGCGAAGGAGGTTGAGAAGAGCGGAGGAAAGGGGAGGGAGCGCAGCTTGGTTGCTCCGTAGTACGGCGGCTCGCGAGGGAGAATCCCGAGAGGGCTCCGGGGCTCACGGAGAGGCGGGCGGGCGGGGATGGTGTGCGGGGTTGCGGCTCCTGCGTCCCTCCCCTCGGCGAGTGAGCTCCACTGATTTGTCCCTGGGGCGGCAGCGCGGATCCGCCTGGAGATGAGGTGAGGAGCGGGCTGGATGGTGGCGGCCTGGACCGGGAGGCGGCGGGGGCGGGGGTCTGCCCGGGGGTCGGCTTGAAGGCTGCCCGGGGCGCCCGTCCCGCTGGCCGGCGCCGTTCCGTTCTGCCGCCCTTCGGCTTTTGCCGCGCACCCGGGAGGCGCGGCACTGACCGCCCTGCGCCTGGTCCTTCCCCATCCTCCCGGGGGCGGCAGCAGGGAGGCCGGCTGGCCGGCGCCGGAGGCCGGGGCGCCGCAGCTGCTGGATGGGCTTCGGGTTGAATGGGCGTCCGCAGCCCTGGCCGGGCGGGGTTTTTCCCTCCCCAGGGGGCGTGGGGCGGTCGGTCCTTCCAGGGCTGACCTGGCTGCCCTCAGTCGCCCGAGTGTGGCCGGCCCGCCAAGCCTCGCCTCCCTGCTGGCCTCCCGGGGATCCGGAGCGGGCGGGGAGCGGCATCGCGCCGCCAGCCTCCCCCCGGTCTCGAGTCCCCGGCTCATCCCTTTTTCTTCCTCGTGTGCCTGCAGAATCCCTGTCAGTGAAGGGCAGTCAATGCCATTTGGCCCCAAGTCGTCCTGTCGGGGCTGACTGATGGTATTTCACAGAAGGCGGCTCTCTTTTCAGTGGGAGCGCATCCCCGGTGTCCGCTGCTTCTCCTTCCCTTCTTTACGCACAGACACAGGTTTTATGCTGTGGACCGAAGGCACAATTGCCGTCTCTCCGTGCGTGAGTGAGAAAATGTGATCTGTATGCCCTGGAAAAGAAAAACCAACGAGGGATGGGGTTCCACCTTTCTTTACTTCTTTGGATTAGAAAATTTAGTAGACAGGCATCTTTTGGTGTGATTCAGACTAAAGAAGGCTTTGCTTTTGAAGAAATAGATTAGCGGCTTCTCTGTTGAGTTGGAGGCTACGTAGATTTTTGATGGCCTGTTAATATGAAAGTTTCCTTTAAACTTTGCCATCATCAGTGCTCTTCTCAAGGCAGCACCAAGCCTGAAATTTTAAATGTATGCAGACTCCGGACAGATCAGTTTCTTTGTGCTTATCTGCTGGATCCTACCTACTCTTGCTATTACCGTGGTTAGAACATACAAATAATATAAAAAGTACAGTAAAAAGTTTATATAATAGAAACGAATGCCATACGAACAAACACATCTGGAAAATCTCAATCCTGTTGCTGGGGAGGTAGTTTTACTAATCTCTGATGGATGAAGAACAGGCTCAGATCTCATGGATTATGTAGTGGATGGGACCTGAGGGCAGCAACTGGGGCCAGGACCCAGCAAGCCAGCTGGTTTGTGAAGTGCTACACTTAAGCTACAAAATAGGAGGAATGTATTTGTTTGGGTATGTTTCTTTTGTAGGTGACTTAAGGTGCAGAAGATTAAGTCCTCCTCAAAGTTATGATTCATACCTGTCTCTGAAAACAAAATACTGTATTTTTGTTTTAGTTTTTTAAATTAGTTTACTTGAGACATTTATGTTGTGATGGGAGTTTGCTTGTAATTACAAATGTGTATTTCTAATATTGAAGAGAATTCTTTCTGTAGGAAGTTTGTAAAGAACACAGGAATGTTTAACACAGAAATGTGGGACACTAATTTAGCGATGGCATTAAAACTGTTTAAAACTCCTTTAAATATCTTAAGTGAGAAGTGTTTCTGATAAAACCTTTTTGTTTTAAAAAGGTATTTACATAAGAATGTATCTGTTGAAATTGCTGAGGCACATGGTATCTTCACAAAACCCTATTATTATTCTGCCTGAGTAAGAGGAAATGAACAAATTTTTGATGTACTTTGGAACCCTGTGTATTGTTCAGATACTAAGCGTTGTGAAATAGGGCATAAAATGAGTGGTAGCAAGTTCCGTGAAATGTTTGTCCCTCTTAGCATTTTTTTTTTTTGTTGTAGACTGGAAATTTCCTTTTTCTTAATACTTATCTCTAATATTGGCAGTGGAATTCTCTCAAATTCATCTTTTCTTCAGATGCCTAAGTTGAGGCAAACTCGAGTCTCCTGTAAGAGGATAAGGAGGATGTGCTGGAGCATTCCTCTACTCTTATTCATCCTGTTAATTTGCTGGATTTGTGAATTATAGGGAATTAGTTACATGAGGGTTGGGCTTATATTACTCAGTTCAAATTCCACTGCCTTAGAGCTATTCGCTTCTGAATGATCATTCTCTCCTGAATGGTTCCACTTTCTGGTGGCTTTCTCAAAATCTAGACATCAGATCACTTACATCATCATTAACTGAGGTTCTTGCTAAATACAGATTGTTTGTTACTCATCTCAGAATCAGACTCCTGGAGGTGAGGCCCTGAAATTGGTATTTTCAGCAAGTCCTCCAGGAATTTCTTCTGCACAGGAAAGTTAGAGAACCACTGGCATTCTGCTTCCTTCTCAGTAAGCATCTCCTAAGACCATCTCCTAAAGTGGATAGCAAGTTTTTCAAATAACAGAGTAAGTTTTATACCTTACCCTGCTAATAAAAAACTTATTGTGACATTCAGATATATAATGTACCTGTAATACACATTTTAGAAGGGCAGAGACTTTGGTTCATCATTGTATCTCCAGTGCCTAGAATAGTGCCTAAAGGAACTTGATTATATATATATATATATATATATATATGTGAGTGAACTATACTGCAGTGAGGCCACATTTTAGAAACTTGTAAATTTACGTTTAAAAAATAATTACTGTTTATAGCAGTAATTTGGAATTACTGAGTGGGAATTGGAATACTGAAAAATAAAAAGTAGAAACTATAAAATACTCATAAGTCTGCTACCTGAGTACATACCTCTCCAAACCCTTTTTTGTGTACATGTGGCTATTCATATACAGTTTTGGTAGCAAATATTGGATCCTGTTATACATATTGGATCCTGTTGTACATATGATTGCTTTGTAACCTGTTTTTTTGCTGAAAACTTCATGAATCTTTCCATGTCTATATTCACTTGTAATAGTTCAGTAACTGAATAATATTCCATTTTATGGATCTATGATAATTTAACCAATTTTTTTTTATTAGGCATTAGATTGTTTCTTTTTCCCTCCAGCTATTATCAGTAACTCTGCAGTGATTATCCTCCCACATACACCTCTGTATATACTTGTGAGATTTTTTCCTTTAGGATAAGTTCTAGAAGTGGAATTGCAAAATCAAAGTATATGCTCAGTTTTAAGGGATTTGATACATATTTCCAATTTACTATTTAGAAAGGTTGTAGCAATTTACACCCTTCCTATGATAGGTGAGAGTTCCCTTTCCCTCCCCACTCCTTTTTGGGGGGGAATGACTTAACCAGTGACAAACTTAGTGAACTTTTTTTAAAATTCAGGTATCATTGATATGAGCAACATTGTGGTTACAACATTCACATGAGCAACATGGTGGTTACAACATTCACGCATATAATCAAGTACCCCCCAACACCCGCTTGCAGTCACTGTCCGTCAGCATAGTGAGATGCTAGAGTCCTTAGTGAACTCTATTGTTAGGAAGAAGAATGGAATGTTAATATAACCTGATGAGTAGTATGATATAGAAAGTCAGAAAAGTCATACATCAATAATAGTGATTGGCTAACATCAAGTCCTTTTGCAGAATTTTACAAGACTTAACTCAATCTTTTCTTTGTTTTTTTTAAAAATAAATATGCCTTGGAAACTGAGGTACTAGCAGTTGAGTAGCTTAGAGAGCCAGTAAGTGGCTGTGCAGATGTGTAATTCCAGAGCCCAAACTCTCAGCCACAGTGCTGGGCTGCCTATTTCCTGGACATTTTAATAGGCATTGCGGGACTTTTGCATTCCTGGTTTCTGTTTTGGAATAACCTAAAGTTTCCCTGATGTGCATTAATTTATAAATTAGGTGGGGCACAGATTTGAATCTCTGTCATTGAGAAGTTCATCACTTAAGTTAGCTCAGAAGTAAGCCTGTCTACTGTCATCTCTCAAAGCAGCTGGTTATCCTTAATTCTGTAATGTTTTTCCTAAAGTGCACCTGCATAAAAAATGGGACTAGCATCATAGAAAAGACTAATGAAGTTTGAAAAGGCAGTTCACTTGTGATGAGGACTTGCCTTGGAAACAAGACTACAGATAAAAGTGTGATTAGGATGACAGCCAGGAGTCTGT